TGCATTTGTAGCTATGGGTGGAAATGAAGATACTACTGGAAATGTTGATGCTGAAAAGCTAATCAGAATTATTAAAAATGAATTTGAATTAACAATTGACATAGAAGGATTAATAAAAGAGGTAGACACTGATGGATCAGGAGTCATTGAATTTGGTGAATTTAAAGAATTACTTAAAACTAATTATTTATAAGATGATGAAAATGACATACCTTGATGTTGAATATAATATATTTAAATATATTGCTATAATTCTAATCCTATTTATATAATTAACATAATTTATATATGAATTTAACTGAGGAAGACATTGATATGTGTTAAAGGGCGTTTGCTGAAATGGATGAAGTAAATTCAATTTTTCATTTAGGATGGTGTTGGAGCTATTAGAGGCTAAGATTTAAAAATTGCTTTAGAAAAAATCGGTTTCAAACCATCAGAAAATGAACTCTACAAAATCATTAGTGAAGTTGAAGAAACTAATACAGGATTAATTAGATTTAGTGATTTCTTAGGTGTGTATTGGAAATTTAAGTATTCTAATTAAGATGGTAAGTACTATCATATTAATAATTTTAGATGATGATTAAGACACAATTGATGCCTTTGTAGCCATGGGTGGAAACCCCGATAAAACGGGATCAGTATCAATTTTTGATTAATCTCTAGATAAGTACAGAAAAACTAGTATAAATTATTAAATCTGAATTCGAGTTAACTATTGATATAGAAAGTCTTATTAGAGATGTTGACAAAGATAGTTCAGGTCAAATTGAATTTGGAGAATTTAAAGATTTGTTAAAAACTTCATACGCTAATGATGAATGACATCTTAATTGTTAAGTTATTTTTAAATAATTCTTCATTTTATTATCTTCCCATTTTGACTCTAAACTAATATTTCGAATTTCAAATATTATTCAGTAGAATATATAAATTAATATGACCTAAGTAATATTCTCTAAATAAGATATCTAACTTTCACTTAAACTTAACCTAAAATTTTATCTATTCATAAATATCTATCTATTAATTGCACCTTTTATCTCTGTAATCTTCTTCTTATTCTATTATTAAAACAGTCAAAAATATTCTTTTTTTCAGCTATTATGATTATAACATCAAAATTGATAGTTAAAAATTTCAAAATTATTATAACCTTTAAACCTAAAATAACCACTAAAATTCAATTATAATCTTAAATTTAAATATATTATCTCCTTAAAAACTTATATTTCACAATGTGTGAGACATTAGAATTTTTAAATTGAGAAAAAACACCCTAAAAATGTTCCCTTCTCATTAGAAAGAAAGATCCCAAATTTTAGTCTTTTATTAAGGAGATTTCAAATCTAATTAAATAAACAAATTATGGTGTTAGAAAATTATAAAGAGTATTGACTAATTTTTTTTATAATAAATTTAAAGTTCAACTTTAACTTTACGGAATGAGATTTATTTATGTTTATTAATATTAAGAATTTTTATTTAAAAATCATTATTTTAGATTTAATGTCAAAAGAAAAGCACTTCCTTCTAACACACTATATCACAATCACATTCATACTTAAAATGAATTCGTCAATTTCAAGGCCCATGTCGATAGTTTTACATTTTATTATTACTCTTTATCCTTTGCTTATAACACTAGAATTAGATTGTTTTGAAAATCTCAAGCAAAATTGGATTTATTAGTTTTAAATTCTTATTTTTAGGCCTGATATCATAATATAAAAGTATATAATAATTACTAATTCTAAGCACGCATATGCATCTCATATCCTTAATAGTATTTATTATACATAAACTTTTTTGGGCTCTTTTATTTTATCATTACATAAAATAACAAACTTAGGAAAGGTTTATTAAATTCATTAGGAAGAGTTTGTTGTTAAAATTTGTGAGCTTCATTTTTACATTTTATTAAAAAATGATGAGCACATATTTATTTATGTTACTTAGTCTATTCTGTATAACAAGTTTAAGAAAATAAATATAGATATTTGAGTAGGAAAAAATAATGATCGTTCATATCATAATAAATTTTGTAACAATATTAATTTTATTGCTTGAATCACTATTTAATTTATATTATTTTGATCAATCAATTACACACTAAGTTAAAGATATAGAAAGAACAAGACTTACAAAACCACGTGTTATTTATTAAATATTAATTATTTTTTAGATATATCATATTATATTGATCAATTTAGATTACACAAAATATATATAATCACTTTTAGTATTACTAGCAGAGATCACATTAATTTATGATTAATTTAAATATTTTACTCTTAATCTAACTTATCAATAAAAAGCAACCTTTTTGGCAATTTCAATTAACATAGCTGTTCATATGCATATCCTCATTTTTACATAAAAAGTAATTAGTCACATTTTATTACCAATTTTAATTTTTGGTTCACTAACATATTATATTATCAATAATTATAATTAATATTTAAATAGTTTAAAATTAAAATTGCTTTTTAAAAAAAAATTTACTTCAAGTTGGCAAATGAAATACTCTTTGATAAAATTACTGAATAATGATTTCAATTCAAAATAGTCTGAGATTTTCATAAAATCACTTATTGCTGCTGATCATCGTTTTAATTGCAACGATGTTAAATGCTTCTACTGTTATCATCAATATATAATTTTTCCTTCTTAAACTTGTGGAATAACTCTTTAAATTTTTAGACAATTTACAATGAAAAAAATGAAATAATTTCTGCAATAATTTTAAATAAATTCTTAATAAGAATTAGAATATTAAATACTTTTAGATTATGCTTTTTTGCTTTATGATTTTGGATTGATAATGAGATCTGTTAAATTACTTTGTTATTTGAATTATAGTTGTAAGAATAGCAAAAATATTAAACTCAATTCATTTTCATTCTCTAAAGATTAAATTTCATAAATGAATAATTTTGATCTATCAACAATTAATTAAACATTTTTGTAGGATTGTTTAGAATAAAATAATACCTTGTTACAAATGCTCTTATATTATAATTTTAAATTTCAGTATTTGGATAATTTAAAATTATCTTTTATTTTTAATTAAGCTAAAAGTATGATTAATGCATCTTTAGGTACTTCTCTTCATGCAACCTAAAAATCATTTATATCAGATTACATTGAATAAAATATAGATCTTGATATAATTATGACTTAGAATGAAAAGCTTATATTTGATCTTATTGAATAAAAATTGCACTTTTATTAAATAATTGTATAAAAAACAATGATAAATGATTAAATAAGTATTTTGCATAATAAAGTATATAAATTGTGTTACAGTTTACATGAAGTAGAATAATAATTAACTTTAGTATATTAACATAAACCATGTTTTAGACTACACAGAATTATTTGCTTTTTTTATGGTGAAGTTTTGTGCGATTACAAAAAAGCGATAAATTATTTTAGAAATTTAGACTTTGTCGAAACATAATAATTACAATGTTAGTAAATAAAAAATTTCAATATTAATTCTTAAAATGTTCATTATTTAATTTTGGAAGTTAAAGATGATATGGAAACTCTATAAGTATAATAATTTTCTAATAAGTTTTTTAATAAATTTGGAGGAGAAAATTCAATAACAGAAGAGCATTAATTTAATGATTTGTTACCAAAATATTTAGTTTAACAACATTGTAAGTTAGTAAAAAAGTTTTTTGAAACTGGTGAGTCAAAATATTATTAAATGTTTAATATAAATTACATAAAGAATAGGAATTAACTTTTAACTCCAATAAATATGTGTTTTATAATAACAAACAAATTTATTAATTAAAATATAACATTTGCTTCATTTATATAAGAAGCTTCATAAGATTAAGTTTATATATTAGTAGATGGTGCTAGTTTAAGATGTACTTTTACTTAAACTTTACTTACTTTAATGGGTTGGTTTGAAAGTGATATTGAATTTTTATGTTAATAAGAAAAATATGAAGAGTTATAAATAACAAGAATATATCCTAACTTTGTAAGATTTATAAGATCAAATAAAATCAATTATTCGAAGCTCAATTAAAGTATTCTTGTATTACCAAAACCATAATATAATGTATAAACATAAAGATCTTTGCTTTCCGGAGAGGCAAAACTAATTCTTAATTATGTTCAAACAGAATGTGACTTGATTATTTCAAAAAATAAAATAGCAGCTTCTGAATATTTCATAATAAACGTTGTTAGAATATATGAATAATAATAAGCCTAGATATCTTTGACAAAAATACCAATAATTTAAAATAAATTTTATAATGAAAATAAATATTTAATAGATCAAACTGAGAAACCAGGAATTTAATAAATAAATTCAATAAATTTTTGTTATTAGAATATTCCAGAATCAATAGCTAATATAAAAATTTAGAGTTGCAATTCTTCAATAAATTAAGACTTAAACTTAAATAAAAATCTTATAACAATTTAATCATTAAAATAATAAAAAAGTACTTTAAACAATAATTAGTAATTGTTTTTTGCAGAAAATGATGCTTTTGAACAGTAAGAATAGGGATTTGCTGTATCAAATAAAATTGAGAATTAATTAATTAGGAGAAATAAAGCTACTACAATTTAAAGTGAAGCATATTTAGATAATAGTTCATTCAATAAAAAGTATAAATTAATTTAATCAATATTGGGTGTTAAATCTCCAAAATACTTATAAAAATTCTTTTTTTTTATAGTTTTATGGCTTTCAATGTTTGTATTGTTTATTTTTCTATTTTATATTTCAATTAGAAATGATATTACAAATGTTAAATTTTAATTGGAAATGTTATCATTTTATGCTTCAATAATGGCTCCTCATGATTTATTTTTTTCAATGAGAGTAACGATAACTGCATATGAATAAATGTAAAGAGAAGGATTTATACCACATGATAGATTAAAAGAATTAACTGATCCTTATTACCAATATATTGATTTAGGATATTCAGAGCTAAGGGACAACTTGTATGAATAATTAAATAATGAATATTTATAAAACTTCCTTAATAATTAAGATATTACTATGTATTTTATGGAAGATAATGAGACTCAAATCTATCCCATAAATCTATAATTTAGAGATGCTCTCTTTGTAATATTATAATATCAATACTCCTAAATGATGACATTTTATTATCGATAAAGTACTTCTGGAAAACCATATTAGATTTCTTTATTTGCTAATTACTTTTAATTACATGATTAATGTTAAAATATTACAAATGATATAATTAAGTATTCTATTGAAAACAAAAGTCATGTCTATTAAAAACAATAAATAATCTCAATCTTCGGATTTTTGATTGTACTATTATTTTACATTATTATTTAACGTTATTAGATCTAATATTTTATTCAAATTGATTTGCTTTTTTTACTGCTAAACACAATGAGTTATGAAATGATAGAATCAGAAATTAATAAATTCACAGATCATAAGAAACAATATAAATTAGATAGACATAGTTTATAAGAATATGATCCAATTGATAGAACTTATAATTATATCATTAAACCCAATACATGTTAAGGGTAAAGATATCTTAAATTGCATATAGGACCATTCAATAACTAAAAAATAATTAATTATTTCAATTTAATATGCTTTTTTATAATTATTTCTTTCTTTTTTATACTAACTTTTATTACTACTCATTTTTACTTAACCAAATATGATGATACCTTATATTTGTTTGAAAAGATACAAGACTTTAAATTAAGAACTGGAAGTTTGTATTTATACCGAGAAATATTTTTTAGATGGAGTAATTTTACATTTTTGAATGATTAAAATAAAATATAACTGTATACTCTTATTGACTCTGCTTAATAGTCTATCTAAAATTATATATAATTATCAGACAAAATGAGATTTGATTAATTTTTGGTTGACGATGATTTTGTCTAACTTTTTCATTCTATCAGCAAAGAAAATCTTTGTTAATATATAGATGAAGTAATTTTATTAATAAACTCAATAGAAATTTAAGAATCTAACTTCTAAATATTGTTAATTAGCATTCGAAGGTACTTTAAGTCAAGGAATGTTATCTACTTTAAATTATATATCAAATTCTTTCAAAATACAATAAACTATCAATAATTTTACTTAACGTGTAGAAATTGATTTTTATGAATAAGAAGGTTCTTAAATAGTAACAAGAGTATTCTTTACTCTTTCAAAATAATTTAGTTAAAGTGCTGACACTTATGCTGATTTCACAACAACAGTAATATAAGTAGATTATATACATAATTATAATAGTTCTTATCTATCTGCTATTTTTGTTTCATTATTATGATTTTCTTTTTCTTTTAGTGCTTTTATCATCCATATTTAGCATGGCTATTCAAATCTATTAAAGGAATTGTACATTTAATACCTTTTGAAGCTTTATTATTTAGTGATTCTCTAGAAATTTAATTAAAAGAATTAATTTATAGGTTGCAATTACTTTGAATAAAAATTCTATATTTATAAATTTAATAAATAATTTATTTAATTTATCATAAAGTTTTCACTTCTGCAACACTAAAATAAGTTTTTTATTTTTTATATGCATCTTCTAAAAAAGCCAACAAATCTTCTCTCTAGCAATCAGAATTTCTTATTCCTTCTTAGATTGGAGGCAATCTCATTCTTATATTTGGTGTCTTTTTAAGCAAAAAGGCTGCATCATGAAACTTTAATAACTTTATGCAAATACTTTTCCAAATTTTAACAAATATTCTAATAATTCTTCATATTTTGATAATCTAAAAAACATGTCTATTCCTAATTAAAAAGCTGGCTCATAAGGTTAAAATTTATTTTATAGATTTTTAGAAGCAAGAGATTCTTTGCTACTAATATCAATCAATAATTTTGCAAAATCCACATTATCAGTTAAAACCTAATATTATATTAGAAAATGTAAATGAGTATATCTATGAGTCTTAATTAATAATTTAACTAATAAATTTTAGATCTCTGTAATAGCTATTTTATAATCCTTTAACATTTCCTAAAATTATCTTATAAATTCAATTAAAATCTCAATTAAAAATAATTTATTCATATTTTCATCCTCAGATAACGCTTAAAAAAAATAAATTTTGATGTCTAAAGGATGTAATACAGTATATCCATTTTATAATTTTTCAATATGAGCAACTCCATTTCTTTCTTAAAATGATCTTAATAGTATTTCAAAAATATGCTTAAAGATAGTAGAAAAGACTGAAATTGGCTTATTATTTAATGCCATTTAAATTAGAAATTCAAATACTGCATTTTTACAATTATTTCTTCTTAATAATCCACAAAATGCCTCTGGTTCATCATCAAAAGTGTTTGGTAAATGTTTCAAATGCAAGGTAAATTAATAAATTTATTTTTCTTTATAATTAATGATTAAATCATCTTCTTAATAATTACAACTTTATTCATCTATAAAGATTAAAATAAAAAATTACAAATTCTGCTTTATTCATTCTATTGAGATAAATTATTTTATGTAAGAGTTGACCATTTCATTTTTACTAAGAATGTTGAAAAATAATCATCAGCTTATTTTATTTCTTGGATTAAAGTTTAAACATCTGAAGTGAAATAAAGATTACTAAATTATTGAATTTCTTCATTTTATTGAATTTGTGTATTTTAAGCTTATTTAGAAAGGTTTTATTGTTCAGTTTCATCTGAATATTATTATTATTAAGCAATTTCTTATTTCGTCCCTAATTACTCTTATATTATTTTTGGATCAATTTCATGTTATTATTTTTCTTAATTTAAACCTTATATATTAGAATCCTGATCATTTTGTAAATCATCTAAACTTTTATTTGAATCTTTTTAAATTGAATCATTTGATTAAGTATCTTTATTAATTTAATGTTAATTAACACCTTATTTTTTTTATACTTCTTTAACTTTAATAGTTGAAATTTCTTATTATTATAAAATAGATTAGGGTGGACCAAGTGGTGAATCGGATCTTTATTTTTTAACATCAAAAACAATTGAGATTTTTTCATTAAATGTGGATAATACTATAAGATTATCAACAACAGACATATTAATCTAAAATTTAATTAAAATTGAATACAGTGATATCAGATGGAAAGTTAAGCAAATATTTTTATTTATTAATTTTTTCAAATTGAAGTTAATAGAATAATAATTTACCACTATATGAATTAGAATATGCTAAGAGTGATTTGCCATAGATATGAATTAAATACACTCTATAAATAGAATCAGATATTAGTTCATCTTAACATAAATCTTTGTTTTTTTTATCAGTAGGAGCAACAAATTATTGAACATCTGATTTTTTTGATTTGAATAATGAAGCAAAAGCTGAAGTTCCTTCTTTAGGTTCAAAATCATCTAAATGAAAATCAGGTCCTCTATATTTAAAATCTTTTTTCTTTTCTTTAAAAAAGTAAGTAGATATTAATCCATTATTAGAATTACTGCATGTTGCCAGAACCTCATTTTTTGGTTCATACCAACACCAAGTAATCTTTTATTAAAAAAACTTAACTTTTCTTACCTAATCATCAATTTTCAATAGATGTATTCCATGATTTTCAATAACCAATATATCATACATTCCTAAAGAGCCTTTAGCCCATTCAAACTGTATTATTTAAGAATTCTTCTCTGATTATACAGTATAAAAGAATTATCTGTTTGCTCTTGTTGAAAACAAGTACTAAATATTATTAAAGAACAAATTACTAATTAGTTTTCAGATGTTTAATAAGCAACATATGAACAATCTTATTGAATATTCATACTAATTATTAATCCATTATAAGGAATCTTAATTCGTACAACTTTATTCAATTAATGTTTGTAGATTACAAATATTTAATTCAATTCTCTAAAAATGAAAATTTCATTTCCTCGGTCATAAAATAACTAAATAGATAAAAGAGGTTATCGTACTTGTGCTTCTGGTCTAAGAGTATTCCAAAATTCATTAAGAAAGCTTAATTGACTGTATTGTATGAATTACGCTAATGACATATAAATAATAATAAATTAATATATTAGAAAAGTAATTTTTCATAGTATATTGATTTTTTTTAGTTAAAGAAATTATTAAATCACAGAAAGAATTAAATTCATATCAAGAATAAATATCTTTGAAACTGTATTTCCTCAAATATATTTATTAAATTATTTTATAATATTTTAATAACCATTTTCTCAAGATCTAAAAAAAGGAAATAGAAGATTTTGTAAAGTTTTGAATATTGAGGTATTCTAGATTATAAATAAATATCAGTTATAAATAATTTAAAATTTAGAGAATGACTCTTTTAAATTTTCAGATATCACTTCGCATGAATGTTTACGACATAAAAATTAATTTTTAAAATAATTAAATAATTTATTTTGCAAAGTCAACAACTTGCTTAAAAATTAAAGGGTCAAATATAATAATATTATTTGTTAGTATATATATTTAAAATTCATAGATTATGAGTAATATCTTTAATGATATCTACTTTATTAGTTTTATTCCCTATACACAAACTTTGATTTCTTCTATGAGGTATCTGTTTTGTAGTAACATTATTAAAACTAATGCAATTTAAACCATCAACAGCATTCATAGATCGATCACATATAATCAATTGAGGTATACCTTGTTTATTTATATTTTTATCAAAAAACAATTTAAACTTTTACATAGTTGGATATTCAATTAGAGGACTAGTAATTTTTGTAGTTCTTAAGGGGGTTTTTGAAGTTTTTTATCGTATTTCTATCATTCTAGGAATAGTTTTTATTCTCTATGTTTATTATGAAAAGGATTTTCTTGCTTTTTCTTAACTAATACTCGTTTGAACACTTTAATCAGTTGTAATTTTCTTTTGTTTCTCAAAAGCTTGATTTTCATCAGCCCAACCAACTATCTCTTATTAAGTAAAATCAATTTTACTTTTCGGTTGCTTTACTTTGATTAACTAAATTGTTACATAAATCAATTCTTTATTAATTATCGCATATAGTTTAATAAGAACTTAAAGCTTCTAAATTTTATTAAGCTGTATTTTCAACTCGTTTTCTCATTGGTGATTGATTAAGTGTTGATTTTCCAATTTTGTTAATCTGAACATAATTTTAATTCTATACTATTTTTCTTGCCATTCTTTACTAATGTATTCGATGAAATTAGTTTTCTTTATTAGAAATAACTGACTTTATCATTTGCAAGCAAAATATTTAATATTATATTTATTATTCACTTAGTCGTTAATATAAACACTATATTCTAATATAAAATAAAGTGGATTTCTATAGAAAAAAACTTTAATTAGAGATTTGCTACATAACTTTATCATTAACTTTATTTTATATTCTCCTTAATTTCAAAAACTTATGAAGAATTAAAAAAAGATCTCTATATTACAAGATATATAAGTCTAATTCTTCATTTGAATTATAAGATGTACAAACAATGTAGCAAGTCGATCCTATTTATATAAATTTTATTAAAATATAATAATATTTAATAAACATTAAAATTTTTTTCAAAATTATGCAATAAAATATTACATGTCCAAATCATGGAAAGTAAATAGAGTATCTGAATTTACATGCAGAATAAAAAATAAATTTGTTTTGTGCAGAATGTATGAAAACTTTAAATGATACAAATTCAGCAGTAAAAATAGATAAAATTAGGGATTGTGTTGTAAATGAGTTAAAAAGCGTATATAATTATACTATAATCTGTAGGTTAAATTATAGTAAGAGAAATATTAAAACAATATTACAATTATTTAAAATTTATTAATTTCCTTAAAGGAAAGAGAATAGTAATTAAGTAAAGTTATTGATAATATTGATATCTATTAATTTTAAAATATTTAAGATGATATTATAAAATTTTATTGTATAAGCAATGGAAATACATAAAAAAAGTTAGAAAATTATTTTTATCAAGATACTAAACCTATAGATTAGCTATAAAAGATGTTTTATTTTAGCTAAGAATATAAAAATGACTCAATTGTATTAATGAATAATTTTACGATGTAATAAAGTATAATGAAAGATAATTCATTGAATAGATAAATTAATTATGAATTCCCTAGCAGTTATTGAACCAGAGTTAGATTAATTTTAAAAAAGCTCTATTTATCTTAAAATAAATGTAAATATATGTTTATAAATCAATAAAGCATCTATGTTAAAGTATTGCAGTTGGATTTTGTGAATTGGAAATCATTAAATAATAAAAATATCAAATAAACAATTGGAATAGTTTAGGACATGGATGTTATTTAATCTCAAGTGGAGGATGTATCAATTATTATTATTATTAGATATTTATAACTAAAAAGATTGGAAATTTAATTTCAAAAAAAATGGATTTTGTTTCAATAAAAATTAAATTATTAAAATTTGTTATGATCCTTTAAATAGCTTAATAATATTTGAAAAATTTAATGATTCAAAAAGTCAAATATAAATGAAAATAGATGCCTAAAATTTATATGCTTGTGTATATGTATCAAAACCAAAGGATGAGATTGAAATTTTAAATTTTTGATAAAATCCTTAAATTTGTTTTATTGAAACTTATCTAATCTTCATATGAATTCTTCATATAAAAAATAAGTTTATTCTTGTAGATAATCCTATATATAAATAATAATATGTGATGAAAATTTCATAAGTTCATTTCTAACATTTCTCTCTTGAGTTTTTCAATAACTTTTTCTACTAATTAGACTAGAGTTTCTTCTGTTTTCTCTCTTTCAGTTCTAGTTTTTTTAAGTTATTCTTAAATTCTTCCTGAGATTTCTCTCAAACTTTCTACTATTTCTTCTTCTTTTGTTTCTCTTTCTTTCTTTTCTCTAATTTATATTAATAATAATATTACCTATCAAATAATTCTCTTAAATCATTTAATTATTCGACAAATTAATGATATATTTTTTCTTCAACGTCTTTTCTTTCTGTTATCTCATTTTATAATTCATCAGCTATTTTTGGTAAATCTTCATTCAAATAAGAATCAATATATTCATGAGATGTAGATTGAGCCTAAANTAAACCTATAGATTAGCTATAAAAGATGTTTTATTTTAGCTAAGAATATAAAAATGACTCAATTGTATTAATGAATAATTTTACGATGTAATAAAGTATAATGAAAGATAATTCATTGAATAGATAAATTAATTATGAATTCCCTAGCAGTTATTGAACCAGAGTTAGATTAATTTTAAAAAAGCTCTATTTATCTTAAAATAAATGTAAATATATGTTTATAAATCAATAAAGCATCTATGTTAAAGTATTGCAGTTGGATTTTGTGAATTGGAAATCATTAAATAATAAAAATATCAAATAAACAATTGGAATAGTTTAGGACATGGATGTTATTTAATCTCAAGTGGAGGATGTATCAATTATTATTATTATTAGATATTTATAACTAAAAAGATTGGAAATTTAATTTCAAAAAAAATGGATTTTGTTTCAATAAAAATTAAATTATTAAAATTTGTTATGATCCTTTAAATAGCTTAATAATATTTGAAAAATTTAATGATTCAAAAAGTCAAATATAAATGAAAATAGATGCCTAAAATTTATATGCTTGTGTATATGTATCAAAACCAAAGGATGAGATTGAAATTTTAAATTTTTGATAAAATCCTTAAATTTGTTTTATTGAAACTTATCTAATCTTCATATGAATTCTTCATATAAAAAATAAGTTTATTCTTGTAGATAATCCTATATATAAATAATAATATGTGATGAAAATTTCATAAGTTCATTTCTAACATTTCTCTCTTGAGTTTTTCAATAACTTTTTCTACTAATTAGACTAGAGTTTCTTCTGTTTTCTCTCTTTCAGTTCTAGTTTTTTTAAGTTATTCTTAAATTCTTCCTGAGATTTCTCTCAAACTTTCTACTATTTCTTCTTCTTTTGTTTCTCTTTCTTTCTTTTCTCTAATTTATATTAATAATAATATTACCTATCAAATAATTCTCTTAAATCATTTAATTATTCGACAAATTAATGATATATTTTTTCTTCAACGTCTTTTCTTTCTGTTATCTCATTTTATAATTCATCAGCTATTTTTGGTAAATCTTCATTCAAATAAGAATCAATATATTCATGAGATGTAGATTGAGCCTAAAATATTATTTAAATAATATACCAATCCTTCTTTTACAACTTCCTATTATAAACTTTCTATTTATTATCCAATAGTATAAACAATCTTTTTTTCTTATTCTACTCTGTCTTTGGAATTTTGTTCAATCAATCTTCGAGCATGTCTTTCAAGATCTGTTATTAATTTAAAGGTTTCACTTTCTTATCTCTCACGACTAATGTATTATTAAATTTTATTACTCCTCTTATTCTTATTCCAAAAATTCAGTTAACTATCTAACTTTCTGGGCAATATAAGCAAATTTCTCTTCTTTTTAGTCAGATTAATGTTATAATTAAGCTTCAAATGCCATTATTAATTAGCTTATAGTATGGAATCGATTATTTTTCCTATGAAATATAATTAAACTCTTTACTCATCCTAAACACTTGTTGAAATGTTGTTAAGCTTTTCAAAAATTGATGAAACTCTATTTTAGATGTTTTCTGACATTGTTTTGCTTAAAATTATTAATAATTTTTATTTCTGTGTATTTTATATAAATATCAAATAAATATCATCTTATTTTAAGAGTCTCTTCAAATTCAATTTTTCATGACAATTGCTTTTCAAAATATTGTTTTCATTATTTACAGAAAAAAACTTTACAATTCACTCCTCAAAAAGAATCTTAACATTTTAAACAATTTTATTTAACTTAATTAAATAATTGTTGAAAATATAGAAAATCCATTTTAAAAGAAAAGATACTAAAATTAGATCTAAGAACTTTTTATTTAAATTGATATTTATTAGATATTTTCATAAATTTCCTTTCTTAAATTTTTAGAGTAAATTTGATATAAATCTCAAGAATTATCTCCTCATAATTCAATAAAATTTTAATTATTTAGAATGAGATCTTAATTTATGTTTATATTTGAATGTTAATACGCCAAAATAATTTATCTAACTCAAAATATTGAATTCAAATTTATTATTTAGAGAATTAATGAACAAATAAAAAGAATAAAACATCTTAAGGAAATATATACAAACAAACTTAAGGATGCTAATAGTTATTCATTAAAAGTAGTAAATTATTTATTAGACTCTCAAATATGTATTTTTTATTTTTGGATAATTGCAGAGCGCATTTTTCTACTTATATCCCTGTTATAATGCCAATTTGAGAATATATAATAAATTTATATTGATTTACTTGATAAGACCAGACTTAATATTGATTGATAATTAGATGATTGGTTTAGAAAATAAATATTTATTTTTACTTCCATTGATGTTTTGGTTATTTTTTGACATTTTAATTTAACAAGGATAAGTATTTTATTAGATGTTCAATAGAAAATATAGTGATAATCAAAGCAATTAAATTGAGATTTCAGGGTCTTTTTAAAAAATGGTAATTAATTTAAAATCGATATATTCTCAATTATTTATAATTTACTTTTATATTCCAGCTCAAGTGATGTCATTTACATCATTTGGAGTTTCTAAAGGAATCATGAACATTGATATATCAATTTTTAGTATTATAACTATTATATTAACTGGAATTAATCAAGCTATTAATCTATATATTAGCAACACTTGTTTAGATTTAACTATTAGAGGTTTTGAAAGACTTTACTTTACTAAATTTGATTTTTTTAGAGAACTTTTTATTTTAATTTAGTTAATTCTTTATGGAATCTTAAATGATTTTGAGAATGCCTAAATTGTATAAGCAATTCTCACACTATTTGTAAGTTTAAGTTACATCTGTAATGTATTAATTGATAAATCCATTATTATCGAGCCTTTCTCTTAGATTATTTTAATTGTACACATCAGTTTGATTTCAATAATTACAACAGATTTGTTATAATAATGGCAATTAGGTTTAATTTTAATACCATTAGGCATTTCGATAAGTTGCACATATCGTAGCTAAATGATATAAGATTTGTTTCAAGGTATTAGATTAGAAAAAAATGTTTTAAAAATTATTCAATATATATCATATTAGATTAATAATAAATAAAGAAGTTTTGAAAGGATAGACTAGGTATCATAAGCAATTTTACTCTTTTAACATAGGTAAAAATGCAATGAATAAATTTGTCATTGTAATTCAATCGAAAATAACACAGATAATCCTATAAATGTTTTATTTTTATCATAAAAACTTTAGAAAAAATTTATTATTTAAAAAATTAAACATTGGAATAAAGAATTAAATTAAAAGAAGGATATTTCATCAAACAATTCTTGTGTATTTTATATTAGTGCATTAAATCATTATGGCTTTACAACTTTAGCTTTTTAAGAGTGTAATCGTTTATTATCATTATCAATGCATTAAAATAGAGGATTTTTAAGTCACAGTGATGTAAATTCCTATTCTTAAAGTCATCAATAAAGTATTCCTTCTTAATCTTCTGAATCACAGAAAAAAGTTAATCAAGCAAAGTTATAGGAACTTAATGCTAAATCTATCGAAAAATAATAAAAAATAAAATTAAATGTTCGAAACAACTTTTTAGATTTATTAACATAAATTAAATTGAAAATCATCAGCAAAGATATTCGATTAGAATTATAGAATAATTTTTTAAAACAATAAACCAAACAACAAGAAGAAATTGCAGATGCAATAGAATTATATTTATAAAGTGAATAATAAAATTAGATTGTTAAACATAAGATTCTAAAATGCTTACAATAAAAATTTTAGTTTTATAATATGATTCTTAATAAAAAAGGATTAAGATCCCAATAATTATTTGATAATGCAAAAATATTATCAAATTTATTTTACTAAGTAGAAAAAGAACTTTTATACTAATATTCATAATTTCCAAGTTAAAAAATTTAGTCTATTAATTGTTTTTTTTAATCTGAGATTCTGAATAATTATTTATCGGCATTTAAATTGTCAAATTTCAGTACTATTGCTGATGATAAATTAATTAATATGAAAAAGAATTTAAAAATTAATTTGTTTGGTAAAAATGTAGTTTATATGATATTATATTTATCAGATAATTTGTAGACTTTGATGATATCTTAATTTAGTAATAATACTCATTAATTTTTATAATAAAATTATGAAGAATTTACAAAAAAAAATAAAACTATTGACTAAATTTTACCATTAGCATTAAGAAATGAGCATTACATGTTAGTATAAAGATTTATGAATGATGGTAAAGGCAAATACTTTAGAAATATTGATATTAGTTTTCTTGAATTACCAAATGGATTTTTAAAACCTTTCAATTTAATTATTGACATAGTATTAAATTAAACAGAACATTTATCATTTGCAGCATTTTTTGAAGATGTTTCTCTTGGAAACAGTTACATTTTGGTTGATGTTAATGGTGTATGTGGAGGTATCACTGCAAATCTTTTGGAAAGATCTGGTTGGAAGGGTTCAGAAATTAAATAAAATTCAAAATTAATTAATGCATCCTATTAGATAGATATTAATTTAATTATACCAGATTTTAATGAATTAAAATTGTCTTAAAAAGAAATAAAACTTTATAATGTTTAAATAAATTTATTAAATAAAAAATTGTTGATCGGGTAAGAATCTCGTACGCTTTTAAATTTTCATGATATATGGAAACATCTTGGAAATTTAATTGCTTATCGAGGGACTATCATAATATCAAGTAGAGAATTATATGGATATTATTATTATGTAATTGAAATTGAAGATTTAAGATAGAATTAAACATCATCACATATGTCTAATTCTGATGGAAAAGGAATGACAACATAAAATAATGATCTTGATAATACAAATGAAATTGAAATTAGCGAATTAGAAGTATCACAGCCTGAAGCATTAATTAATAAACCGTAGTCCTTAAATATTTTTTAATAATCTTTAACTGAAATTTAGTAAGATATCGAGAATAATTAAAATTTCAATCATTCAATGCATTTAGGGTTATCTTAACATTTAGTTATTAATAGATAATCTTTTGTTGAGAATTTGATAAAATTGAATTAAACCTTTAATGAATAATCGTTTGATAATAATAAAAATATAGAACATAATAATGTTGTAGATATTAATCCAAATTAAAGTATTCGAAAGTTGATTGATACAAGCAAGTCCTTTGGTTAACAGAAATTCTTTAATTAAGAGATATAAGATTTAGATTAATCTAATAGCAAATTAAGTGAAGGACTTCAAAATTAGATGAAGGATGTAAATTAATTATATGATGTGGATTTAAATAAAATTGACAAAGAAATGAGAGAGAATATATAAATGTAACTTCAATTAGAAATAGATTAGAAAAATTAACCTAATTAACAAATAGATGATGCTGCTTCTTAGGTTTCTTCATTAATTGGCTTAAAGAAATCTTTATTCTATAAAAAGTATGAATTAATAAATGGGATTATAGATAGCATTTTCAAGCCTACCTCTTATAAATTATGTCATACATTATTCTTCCTTTAATTAATTTTGATTGCTACTTATTGTATAATAATATTATAAAACTTGAACACTGACTTTAATAGATTTATTTAAGAAGTGGATATGTTATTATTTAGTTATAGTTTTATGACTCCTTTTGACATATTTTTAGCTTTAAGGTTTTCTACTGTTTATTACCAATTATAAGTTCCTTCTCAAATGACTGCAGCTGAGAATACTGTATTCTCTGCTTGGCTATCTAATCATTTAGGAGAGGGATATGATGATATGAAGTAGAATTTTCTAGAATAATTCTCGAATCCATAATTACTAGAATTCTTTACAGATTAAGATTTCGATGTTTAATTTATGAAGGAAAATTCAACTTCTATGGAAATAAAGACTCTATCATTTAGAGAAACTTTAAATGTATTATTGTAATATTAATATCAATTTAAAATTGCCTATTTAAAAAAGACTTCTCTAACTAATTAACCATTTTCGGCTTATCCATATTTCAATTATTTAAATTTACATGACAAGTTTGATAACATGACCAATGATATATTAGATTATACTAAATAAAGAAAAAGCATTGTTTAAGAAAATTGGTAAACTATTTGGATTCCATTTTTAGTTTTGGATTTTGTTTTAATGATTGCTACTTATTATTATTATAAACAGTATTTGTCTATTTATGAAAGCTTTTTAAATTTATTTAAATTTACTGATGAAATTTGGTTAAATAGAGATATGGAAAGGTTTAAAATTTTGATTAATATTTTAACTAAAAATTCAGATGTTATGTTTAAATATCAATTTGATTTAGAATAAAAAGAAAAATTTATGATGGCTGAAAAGTATAAAAAAGAATCAAAAGTTATACATGATTTAAAGAAGAAAAAAAATTATCAAAATTATGATAAACTCTCATCAATTTATGGACTTATTGGAATTTCATTTGTTTTTTCAATATTCTTTATACCTGCACTACTAATTTAATTATAAACAAATAATTATCTATTTAAATATGTGAACACAGCTGATTTTTATAAATTTACTGGAGATCTCTGCTTTTAATTACCAGGAATGTTTTCATAAAGACAATTTTTATATTGGTGGTCATTTTATAATTTGGATGTAAATGATAAACCTAGAATGATAAATAGATTATTTAATGGAATAGAAAATCTAAAATAATTTGATGAGCATGTACAACAATTTAATTAAGATGATTATTTAACAACTAAAAGTTTTATAGATAAATTAAATTTGCTAACAAAAAACCCTGTCTGTAAATTTTTTTCAGGTAATTAATATAATGATTATTCCTTTTATTGTTCAAGATCTTTTGATGGAGCTTTAGATATGGGTTTGAATCAAGCATTAATGTATGCAGCAAATCAATATAAAGTGACATTTGCATTAAATAATTTTACTTCAATTGTACAATATTTTAGATATGAAGCAGAAGGAATGTACATCATGGTTAAAGGCTTGATTGAATTAGTAACTTCACTTAAAGAAGCTTTACTATAAGCTACTTATTCTCATATGAATTAAATTGTTGGGTTAAGTGTATTTTTGTTAGTTTTTCAATTTTTCTTATTTTTCCTCTAGTTTTTTATACTTCATAAATACTATAGTGAGGAATATAATTTAGTGAAAAGATACATGTTATTATTACCATCATCAACATTATTATTGGATGACAACTTTGAAAGAAACATTAGAATATTCTATGCATAATATTAAATATGAATGATGTGTTATATCATGTATTAAAAATAATATTAAAAATGTTAAAGTTTTATTGTTTTTTCAGCATTGCTATTACATTAGGAGCAATTTACAATTCTTTCAATGTTCATAAATAATTTTATCCGTCAGTCTTATATTTAAGCACTAATAAAATTAATAGAACTATACTTGTGAATTTCGCTATTATGATTGTTTCTACATTGATAATGATATTTTTAAAAATAATGTTTGGAGAATTGAAGGAAATAGAAAAAATAGTAAGACTTTTATATTTACTAGTGAATAGTCTGTGATAGATAAAACTAAGAGAAAAATTTTAGAAGTAGCTTATTTATTATTCTTTTTTTATTAATCATTAGATTGGCAATTTATATGTAGAAAATTAATAAATTATCTAGTTTTAATGCTTTGGTTAGTTGCACTATCAATAATTCATTGGATTTCAATAAAAAGAGCTGGATTTCTAATTGCAGAGTCTTAAATAAATTTTAGTGATAATCTAAAATTAGTAATGACATTTATTGTGCTATTTTATATTGATATAAAAGTAACAAATTTAGAATAATTTAGTTAGATAAGTCTCTATTTTTTTTATGGAACAGAAGAAAAATTTTAAAATGTTTTATTTGGTTTTGAATTCATGCTTTTACCAATAAGAATAGCTTTGCCATTTATAAAGTATGTAATTAATCTCTTTGAAATTTTAACTCTTTCATAATTTGATTCAAAATAAACAATCTTCTCTGGATTAGAAGTATTATCAACAATGTTAAAATTATGTGTTTAAATTATGCTTTTTTAATACGTGTTAAATACATAAGGATTTTTGTTGATTTTATTTGTAGATACTTTTGAAAATGCTTTTGCTATGCTTAAAAAATTAAAAGCCTTTTACAATTAGATGAAACTCGTTAGAATGATTGATAAGATTTAAGATGTAGATAAAATAGAATCTCATGATTCTACCTGTTTAATATGTCTAAATGAATTAGAGAATGGAAAATAATTATCTTGTGGCCATGTATATCATAAAAGTTGTTTAAAAACTTGGATTTCTGGGAATTCTAATTAATTTTGTCCTAAATGCAAATAAACAATTAAATTAGAAGAGAACAAAATTCAATAGACTGGTGTATAAACTAAGAAATTAAAATAATAAATATTATTTTAGGAATTGAAAGAAATTAAAAGCAATATATAACTCTTACAGATTTTAAATCAATGTCGAAACATTTCAAATAATGTATAGAATACTTAAGGAATTGGGAATGTATAGTATGGATTACCATGTGAAGCATTACAATATACATCAGGAGTAACAGAAATTAAAAGACTCTAAATTAATTATATGAATAAGATAATGAGTGGGATAGAGAAGGGGATCATTGAAAACCATTTATTACCTAAATGAAAAATTAGAATTTATTTTTATTTTCATCTAAAAATTAATGAATAAAAAAATGAACTCTCTACTCATTAAAATTAGCATAAGTATTTACTAATCTCAATAAAATACTTAGTTATAGAATGATACTTGAAATAGTTGTTTATGTTAAATAAAATAAATAAAAATGGCAATAACAACATTTTAATATTAATGATTTCACTTTTTAAAATAATAGAAGCTTTCTGGACAGACAATACCTTCTAAAAAACGAGTAATATATTTTAAATGAGTTAATTTTGTTGATTCTGATCTCATTTGTGAGTGCATCACATATGAATATGCATGCTTAGAGTAAAACTCGAAAGATAATTCTGAGAATACTTTTTTATAAATATCTCCATCTAAAGTCCATATTCTTTTGAATTATTCAAAATTCTCTAACTTTTAATTAGTAACCCATTTCTTAAAATGAGAGACATTATTATCAGGAATGTATAGTGTAATGATTTTTAAGGCTTGTTCATTATGTAGTATAAATCTATTTAGAGCATTTCCAAAATTTCTTAAGAGATTTTTTGTATCTTCTTTTTTTTGATTTTCTTCTTTTGCCTTCTCAACCAATTATTAAAACACAGTTAAAGGTAGAGTAATTTATTGATCTTCTATCTTTATTTTCTTGCTTATGGTAAGTTCTTCTTGTGTATATTTGTAAGGTCGAAAATTGGACATTTTATTCATCATTTTAGTTGAATATCCTTTAACTCAATTTTAATTCGATTCTTAATAAATATAATTTATTTGTATAATATTAATGATATTTTAATGCAGCAGTATTTTAATAATGAAAATCAAGTTTGTTTGCATATCCTATTGTTCTTAATGTAAGATGTAAATAGAACATCCATTACAATTAAATCATGATTATAATTATCTTGAAAGAAATTTTGGAAACATAAAATAAGACATTTAGTAATTATAAATTTAGTTTAACTTTATGTATTAAATTGGCAATGGTATTCAATCCACATTCAAGGGTCTTGAAATTTCTATGAATATTCAAAAATAATTAACAAATTAAAAGGCTTTTGAAAAAACCAATCAATCAATCATAGATTATTAAGTAGAGCTTTCGATGTAGAAACTAGTAATTATGATCAATTTAACTTACATATAGATAAATCATAAAAAGATAAACAATAATTGATATTTGCTTTGAACATTGTAAAAATAGATTTACATAATAGTAGTTTCTATTACAAAATTAGAGAATGAAATCTTTAATTGGTAGATTAAAAAAAAATTAGAGAAATCTTTAATAAAATGTAATTTATAGCTATTTGTTTTAATAACTACTAAATTTATGAATTGAATAAAAAATCGCCAAATATTTTTTAATTATGAAGATTTCATAAACTGAATATTTTTTTGAGGGTATTTTATTTTTTGATCAAACCACTTTTAAGAAGCTTAAGTATTATGTAATAAAGCATTCCCTATTTATTATAATAAAAATAAATATATTATACTGATTGTGCAGCATAGGATTAATATTTTTGAGTGAAAATAAAAGATCTTTTTATTGGAATATGAATTAGAAAGATGTTGATTTTAGAAAAACTGTGATTTATTTTAATGGAAAATAACAAATCTTATTTAAAAAATGAGATAGATCTACTTTGAAAGCAATTAGAGTAGATAAAATAATAATTTTAAAAATTGAAATAGGAGAGGAATCAATTAATTTTGTAGTTTGAAAAAACAGAGAGATAATGATGAAGATAGCAGTTGATTGTTTTTTATAAAAAAAAAGCCTAGGCTTAGTAAAATTTTAGAGAAAAGAGTGAGAGAAGTTAGAAAGAGAGATGAGGAGTTTAAGAGAATAATTATAGAATAGATTTTGAGTATACTTGATTATGAATAAATTTTGGAGAAGAAAGGATAGAGAAAGACTTTTTTTAAGATCTTAGAAATTATAAAAGATTGGATGATAATTTTAAGAATAATAAGAGAGTTGAAAGATTAGGGGAGTTGATGTAGTTATAGGAAATAAAATAATGATGGAAAGGATTTAAAATAAAATGAGATATTTATAATAAATTTATTAAGGAAAATATTAGAAAGAAATTTTAATATCTAAAAAAGCATATATTAAATTTAAATATAATTAAAATGATTGATATTGGAGAAAAGGGTGTGACAAATTTGGAATTGAGTAGATATTTAATAAAGAGACTAAATTATCCCTAATGGAAAAGAATTAATAGGTTTGAATTTGCACAGATATTTTGAAAAATATTGATTATATACTTTATACTATAACACGTCAGGCGATTGTTTATTATAGGTAAAAACTCTCAACTTATGACTTGAAACATCTTAATACACATGAGAAAGAGTTTCGTGTTGTCTGGTCTCCAAGTTAGCCACCATCACCATCCAAAGCGATGTGCGAATTTTCCTCTGGTGATTCTAGTCCTTGTGATGATGATCAATATTAAGCTAAAATAGAATTCATAGGTACAAAATTATCAATTCGTGATATATGTAATTCTGTTCTTAATTCTAATCACTATGAAATTCGAATTTTAGAACCCACTAAAACAGGAAAATATGAAAAGTTTTAAATTTTTAATTAAATCTTAGAATCCCTTTAGAGTGGCAAAACTAAAAAGATATAATTCTCTTTTATTTTAATTCTTCACTTGAAGCATGTTAAGATAAGCATTCTATTAAAAAGTATTTAAAGGAAAAGTAAAATTTATTTATATTATTAATATTTATTATAGATTCAAAGATTATCATTTTATTAATTTTGAAGAAGTTTAAAAAGTATATCTAGCAGGAGAATAAATATATATTATTAAAATTAATGAAGATAAATCAGCATAATTTTTTTATTTTAATATGAATAAAAATTAACCAAAACACAAGAAACATCTTGGAGAAAACTTTCAAGTAATAAATTGTATCTCTATTATTTCAAAAGGTTGGAATTTTGAAAAAAGTTAGAGATACTAAAATTCCATATAAAATAATCCTTAGATTTCTACCAATTTTATTTTGTAAAGAAAAGATTGAAAGTATTATCTATGAAAGAAGGAATGATAAATATTAAATTGACATTAGATCCTTTAAAGTAGAAGAACTATTTGAATGTATAAATTTTTAATATATAATAGTTGAAGGATGTAAATATGGAGTAATTTATTGTGAAGATTTAAGATAATCTTAAAGTTTAGTTGATATATTCAACAAGTAAAAAAAGAGGGTTATAATATTTTAGATATTTTTTTGAAAGAAAATTATCATAGCCAGAAATAATCTTAGTAAATGAAGAGGGAAAGAAAGTTCCTTAATTCTCAAATAAGTCAGAATTTCTTAATTATCTATCAAACAATTGTGATACTGAAAAATAAATGAAAATTACTCTCTAATAAGAAATTGATAAAGAAGTTTAGGAAAAACAAGAAAAATTGGAAAGATAAGAGAGATTGGAAAGACAAGAGAAATAAGAGAGATTAGAAAAAGAAAGATAAGAGAAAATAGAGAAAGAGAGAAATGAGAGATTAGATAGAGAGAAAGAAAGAGAAAGATCTGATAGATAATAAAGTGGAAGTAAATGATATTTTAACTAATGCAAGAAAAACATTATTAAGATATTAATATCAGTACTGTAGAAATTAACAGCAGTAAAATTCATGAGAGATAAGAAAAATCAATAGAAAGAAATCAGAATTCTTATTACAGTCATTATCATCATAATTATAACAATAAATGTATAAAGATAGTAAAACTAATGTAGATGAGAATGGAAGTAGAAACAAAGGTAGAAGATCAAGATCACAATCCAGAAAGATGAGACATAGTTCAAGTGACAGTTCTAAGTTAAAATATATAATTAATTATATAACAGAAAATATCATGATAGAAAACATCGATAGAATAGATATGAGACTAAAAGGAAATCGGGATGGGAAAACAATAGTAGTAAGACAAGAAAATGAATAAATTTTACTGTAATTTTAAAACAACAAGGCATTTATAGAAATAGACAATTATTTTTACAAACAAAACAGTTAAATAAAAATGTAAAAAAAAGCAAAACAATCAAACAGAGTTCCTTCTGATGTCAACCATATATAGCATACTCGATAGCATCAAATTACTCAGAAGTGAAATTTAATTAAGGAGAAACTTGCTTCAACTCATCTTTTGATATATTTTCTTTATTTGATTTGTATATGTTGACAAATGATTACAATAATTAACAATTTTTGCTAATACTTTCTCCTCCTTTTGAATATGGTACTATATGATCAAATTAATAACATAATGGTCCTCTGCAACCATTTAAAGCTTTACATATTGGATTACCAACTGCATCCAATCTCCATCTATCTGGATTTCTACCTTACATTATTTAAGCCTTTTAAATTATATAAATCAACTTATACGTTATTCCAACATTCTTCTCTTGCTAATTTATCAAATCTTCTAGGATTATAAGGTGAAGGTGATCTTCTTTAATTATGATGATGATGATGTGTAATATTATTCTGATTAGAATTAATATTATTTTCTGACATTATTTTAATTAAAAATAATAATAATAAAATAATCCTATTGTTTTTTTTTAATTCAATTTAATCTACAGCTTTACATTTTAATTATTCTCTCAATTTCTAATCCAAAAAACATTTAAAATTATTTGAACAATTAGAAAATAGAGTGAATATTTAAATTTAAAAATAAATAAAATTAGTTATTTGTAAAGAAAATAAATTTAAATCTAAATTGCATAACAATTATCAATTTTGTATTAAATAGGAAAATTCCATAAATAAACTTTATTTTTCTTATTGATTTTAAAATTAGATATTTATAGTTGTTTTTGAATCTAAATTAGAAGTTAAATAGATGAATTGTTCAGATTCATGTAAAATTTGATTGAATAAATGACAATTTGGTAAATGGAAAAAAAAAAATAATGTAGGGTAATGTAGTAAAATTGGAGAGTTTTGGCGAAAATTATAAAATATATTTATCTTTATTCTGTATAAATATTTTATATTTTTATGAATTTGAATCATATAAGATAGAAGGCTAAATCAGAGGAGGAGAAATAATCACAAAGATTATAATAACTAAAGACAGTATTATTGATTGGGACAGATGAAAAAGTTCTAACCCCAAGATTGACAGCTAAATCTTGGATTGTTATAGATTCAAATAATGGAGATGTCTTATATTCATATAATGAGAATTAAAGAAGGGAGATTGCTTCGATTACAAAAATAATGACTTTCTATGTTGTTTAAAATATGTGCAAGACTATGAATGTTTAAACTAATAATACATATGCTGAAGTTAGTTTATAAGCAAGTTTAGTGGGTGGGACAACAGCTGATTTGCTTAAAGGAGATGTATTGTCAATTGATGATTTATTTTATGGATTAATGCTACCATCAGGCAACGATGCAGCTATGACATTGGCTGAAAATTTTGGAATTTACGCTATGTATTAAAATAAAATTAAAGGAAAGAATCCAATAATTTACTTTGTATAGGAAATGAATAATAAAGCAAGAGAATTAAGAATGACTTAAACTACATATGCAAATCCACATGGATTAAATAATAAAAATAATCTATCATCAGCTTATGATGTAGCAAAATTGTGTAATTAGTTATTAAAAGATGATTTCTTTAAAAAGGTTGTCAATACGAAAATACATTTCTGTACAATTTAAGATGAAGAAGGTATGATAGTTAATAAATATAATAAAGGATTTACAAGAGATGCAATGTGGGAAAACACAAATAAATTACTTTATTAAGGATTTAGAGGTATAAAGACAGGTAATACATCAGTAGCTGGTCCTTGTTTAGCTAGTTATTATTAAACAAATAACAGATCATTTACAATAGTAATATTGGGTTGTCGAACTTAGGAAGATAGATGGTCAGAAACAATGCAATTGTTATAATTGTGTTTATCTTAAATTTAATGATCTTATATATAACTTATATATCAATTATCAGTAAAATCAGAAAATCTCGATATTTTTGTTTTAATAGTGTTTAGATCACTTTACAAAGCCTTACTTTCAAATTACAAACTATCAAGATGTTTTTGTACCCTAGATTTAGCATTAATCTGTTTAGATTGATTGATCATATTATCAATTTCAAGTAGGTTGCGTTGACGATCATCTTGATTACCTATTATCTATGATAATTGATCAAGTTTAGTTTATAATTAGCTATAATAAAGTCCTTGTTCTTCATTCATTATTTTTTGATATTTAGATGAATATAATTTGATTTAGCTTTGTTAATCAATATAGTCTGATTTTCTATAGGATTATGGAAATTGAAAAGAGTTCAATTAGGATTATTAACTTTTGGAAGTGCTGCTGTATATTTATTTATTTGGACTCCTAATTGGTTCATTTTATTTCAATCTTTAAGGACTTTTGAAAGGTTATTTTTTAAGAGGGGATTAAGGTTTTTATTTCTGTGGACTCAAAGGAATATCTGAGAGGAATATATGATTTGCATACTTGAAATAGCAGATTTCACTTTAAGACGTTTGACGTTTTTGCCAATTGATTATTTTAAGATGTCAACTGAAAATTCTTATTTCTTTGATGGTGTTGAAATAGTTTATATTTTGCTGTTGTTGATTGTTGGAGTTGTTAAGGTTTTGTTCATAATTTACTTTCTAAATTCGATGAACTATTAGGATATATCGTAACTCATAGGAGTTAACAGATAAATTTATATATATATATATAAAATCAAATTAAGAATTCAAATAAAAAAGCTTATAAATAATAATATTAGCAATCATTCATAAATTTTATTAAATAAAATAATGAAAACTCTTCTTTTCATCATTTGTGGTATCCAAATTTTGATTTTTGGTAGTTGCATCTGCTTTGGCATCACATGCATACTTGTATCCATTCAATGACAAGAGTATAAATGACTTAGAAGGCCTTAATCAAAAGTAAATAGCTTAATTGATTAAATACAATATTGGATTAGTCGAACACATTCCAATAGACTAATAAAAAGTGTTTGAATAATTGATAAAGTACATTTTTTTATCATCAAATAGGTCATTTGGTAAAGGTAATATCTTATCACCTACTAACATGAACTATTTGATACTAATTGAGAGTGAAAAATTATATTCAGGATTAGACTCAAAATAATAAAGAATTACTGAGGGATTCTCTTAAAGTTTTAAAATATTAGAAAAAGATCCTAAATCTATTATGGAGACACTCTTTGGATAACAAGGTAAACAATTCATTCAAAATTTAGATGATTCTCTCATTTAAAAAGCATACAAAGTTTATAATAAAAATAATTTGAGATTCAAAATATATTAAAATGAAGATGATTTAGATATCAATTATTTATAATGGACAATCACTCTTTATTTGGGAAAAAATGTAAAAATTAATTTAAAATATAGAATGAAGTTTATTTCTATGAACCAAATAAAGATAAGTCATATAAAATTGATTCAAGTTTGGAAAAATGTGTTAATACCTTCTTTGGAACAACATTTGATTATTCATCTAAAGATAAGAAAATCTATAAATACAATACAAATGAAATTATTGAAATTAATTAAGATAATGAAGAATAATTAATTGGATTTTTAAAAGATGTTTGTGCAATGAATAAACTTTCAACACTCTTTAATAAATGTATTTATATTATTCTATTTCAAAGCTGATCAACCAAATATGTTATCTATCATTAACAAATCTATAGCAAAATTAGAAAAGATTATGAAAGAATCAGAATTAGACATGATTTATGATATGATGAGAATAACACATAAGAAAGTATTCTTAATAATAATCTAAGTTATCTAAAAACTTTAGAAATACATTTGAAAATGAAGAATTATTTGGTCTCATTTTAATTGAAGAAGAAAAGAATCCTCAATTAACAACAACTAAGGACTCAGCTAAAATTTAAAGAATTTTATTAGAAACTAGAACAAGAATGTTAAATTAAGTTACTGTATTTTTCATTTTTAATATTTTAGTCAACAACTCAATCTTCTTAATAAAATATGGATTCCACAACTTATTAAATTTATATTTGGTTTGGAGTATTCTTTGTTATAGTTTTGATTGGTATCATCTATGCAATGGTCACAATGGATATTTAAAAGGATACTCTATTGTATGCTAAATTCTTAACAACAGATCAAAGATGATAATTTAGTATATGTAATTATACCAAGCATATTAATTTTTAAATTAAACATTTAAATTTATTCAATAAATCCTACTTAATATACAATAATATCAATAATGTAGCAAACGGAAAGCTCTCAATTCTCCATCTTCATTTCCAATCACCAAAAATCTAGAATCATTACTTATTCCAATTGCTGAGATTTTCTAATTTAATTAATATCTATACTTTCAGACATGTAGTAGCTGTTGGCCAATTTTCAAATACTGTAAATGTATCTACATGTACTAATTTTATAGCTGAATCTTTCCATTTTGAACTTATGCATAATATTTCACAAAATTTATTAAATTAAACTTCACTTACACTAGTAGTTAAATTTTATATTTCTTTAATTGGATCTTTATTAAATTATTTTGTGGTAGAATTATACTTAAAGATATTTACAATACCTGTTCTACTACCAACTGCTAATAGATCAAGTTTAAAATCTAAACAATTCACTTCAAATCCTCCTGGATTATGAAATACATTATATATTTATTATTTTTACAATGACCATTAATAAATCTTACCACCTTAACCTGCAGATATTAAAAATTCATCAGTAAATGTTACAGCTTTACATGCCTCATTCTATTTAAATTCATTGAGAAGAATTTTACTATCTCCACTTAGAATATGAATATAACCAGATTCATTAAATAAAGCAATATATTTATCATCATCACTAATTGCAAATTCTATCTATCTATTATATTTTCCAGATTAATTAAAATGTTTAGCAAATAATGTTGATTGTATCCTTTTATACTTTTGAGAATTGATGTCTACTTCAATTAGATATGTTTTGAATGGAGATGCTACTATTATATTATTGTTTTCATTCATAAATTGTAATTTACATATTGGAAATTTCTCCAGTCCTATAGATTTTATTAACTATATATTTTTAAATACTTTCATACTTAAATTTATTTATTTGGATTGAATTGATATATTCTAACCAATTTATCAAAGCCTCCTTCTGCAAATATTGGTAATTTCTTATGAAAACTAATTGATTATATAACAGTATTTATTTTGGCTTTTATTATTCCAGCTTATTCGATTTGTATTATTCTATTTGGAAGTAGACTACTTTTACTTACTTAATTTTAAAGATTCTATGATAATAATTCTTTTAAATTGTTATTTTATTAATCTGATTTATCTTTTTCTTATTTAATTTATTATTTAGATTATGCCCAACTTAAAAATTCATTATTTTGCTATTAATTTTTATAAAATTCTCTTAATTTTTTTTGATACTCTTTGCCTGTAACTAAATTTTATCCATTTTTGATTAATTTTCTTAATTTTGTCTATTTGCTTAAATCAACTTATATTTTTTCATCAAATTCATCTACCCATTATACAGAATCATCTTCTTATGTTATAGTTTAATTAATATTTTCTTATTCTTCTCTTTTAAGATTTGATTACTCTTATTTGATAGATGAATCACTTTAATTTTAATTATCATTTTCAAATAATAATAGTTCTTCTTATTAATATTTTTAATATTTCTATTAAGGTACTTATTCAGAGAGTTTTTTAAGTTGAAGTGCTTTTTTAGATTTCTTATTTTATTTGTTTTAAAGTTTTACCATTATTAAATTAATATTATAATTATAATGAATAATTCTGATAATAAAATTCTAATAGAAAATTTCGAATATCACCAATAACTTTACACAAATCAACCAGCCATTTAATATTTTAATTTAGAAAAGAGACAAGGTTGAATTACATAATTACATAGATTATCATCTAAAAAATTTCGAGAAAGATATTCTTCAATTGAATAGACAAAAAATATTAAAATACCAAAAAATAATTAATATATATCTTTCTTTGTAATTATGATAAGGTAGAAGTGGGATTTTAGTTTTATTTTTTATTAAATAATAACAACAAACTATTAACAATAGATATTCTTAATCTATCAAATTTTGATTAATTAATAAGTTTTCTCATTTAAGAAACAACAACAATGAAATTACAAAAGGAGAATTAATTGAATGAGTCTCTATTAGAATTATTTAATTATCAAATATTTATTAATAATATTTTTCTGTTAATTAATGAAATCATTATTAGGTGACAGTCCAATAACACCATTAACTGAAAAGTCAATAATTCTTACTGAAAATAATAATTAGGATTAATATTATCTTATTACCTAATAAAATAAATTAATACACTAAAAATAATAAAATTAAAATCAATTACTAAATCCAAGTATTTTGACTTAAAAACAAAACTTACACAATAAATTAAACTAACAATATAAAGACTTAATAGATAGAAGATATTAATTAAGAAATAGTTATGAATAATAACAAATGCAATAATGTTCATTCAAACCAAGGATTAGTTAAAAAAGTATAGAAATGAAATCTTAAGATAAGTCACAACCTCGATATATGTCACCAAAAAAAAATTATATATAGGAATACTAGTTAAATCTTTAGACATAGTAATCCCCATAATAAAAAATCAAGAAAAAGTTAAATTAAGAAAATCTTTGGGAAAGACTTAGTTAGAATAAGTAAAGTGCTTAACTATTTCCATAACATCAAAATGTTAATGATAAACCAAATTAAGAAAAAATAGATTAAACTAAAATCAATTAAATTGTGAATAAGTTATACAAATAGGACATTTTACCTATAAAATAAAAATAATAAAAAGACAGTAAGAACTTATAAGGTTCTTTAAGGGGAAGCCACAATGAAAAATTAGTAATTCATTATTTTGTAAGAGAATTTCATAAAGTATTAACTATGGCAAGATGTGAAACTTTGGAAGATTCAAAATTCAATTAACAATATTCATTTGACTTTTAAATTTAATGTGATTTATGTTTAATTACAAATAATGAAATGTGTTATATCTTAGATAATTTGGGATTTTTCCTATAGAAAACAAAAAATTATAATTAGAGATATTTCAAAATTTGCAATGTCCTCCAGATTTAGATTTAATATTGTCAAGAAATCTATTATGTTTCTTATTATGTGTTTAAGGTTTTCATAATGAAATTGAATAAATACCAAATTATGAAAATTAGTATAAAATAAACTTTGCTATTCAATTAAATAATGGAATAACAAAATTTATAAATGGAAACTTAAAAATTTATAATCCAGAATTATTGCAATAGAATTATAATATTCTAAATATAAATCATTTGACTTATAAAAAAAATTTTGAATTATATGAGGATGTTAATACTTCTTTTAAGACTAATAAATAAACACAAGTATTAGCAAATTAGCATCGAAAAAGAGTTGCATCTGAAATATAACATTCAAATGTTACTTTAAATGATTATGATTAAATTTATAATTAAAAGAAATAAAGACTTTTTGAGGAATAAGAAAAAATTAATCAGGAGCAATGTACTTTTAACCCTTAAATAAATGAAGCTTAAGTAAAATCAAAATATCTCTAATAAAAACCATAGAAATAAAATGATTAAGATAATCAATCCGAAATTAATAAAAATTTATTTACTCCAAATACTACCAAATCTAAGCCTATTATATTTTAGATGAAACCAGCAAATAGCAATGTAGCTATTGAGAGAATGATCAAAGGGAGAGTCTAAAGATAATTGAGTTAAGCAATTATAAAATAGGGAACTTGTAATTCAAGAAAGAGACAATAGTTAGAAGAATAAATTTATGAATAAGAAATCGGTCACAAATATCCATTAATGTTTATAGATGTTATTATTGATAACAACATAAAGGATAGGATTAATAAATGAATATATTATGAATTTTGATCATCTGCTTTTCTTATTAAAATAATAAAATTTATATTGTTTTGTAAAATGAATGCATTTGAACGCACCTTAGAGGAAATGAAATCAATAAAGATGTTCTGCAAAAAGCTTGTAAACACATAATAGGATTAATTAGACAGAATGATTAGAATTTTTTAATAAATGCCTAAAAAGATTTATTTTAGCAATTTTTATCAAAACTAATTGTACAAAAATACAATGGGAGTTTTTTCTAAAAAAGATTGGAACAGTGATTATGTTTCTATCAGTGTTATTGATTAAGAATTTTAACTTGATTGGCCAGAGTTAATGATTTATATGTAATATGAATTTAATAAAAATAGGAAGCCATTTTTAGTGTTTTTTGTAGTAGATTTATAAGAAGGGTTGATTCCAATAGATGAAATAAATAAATAAAAAAAAAAAGTTAATGATGATAAAATGATAAGATTTCTATTGTTGAATTGTGGAGTTAATTCTTTTTAAAATATAGAATAAGAATAAGCATTCATTATTATTCCTCCTTTAAGTGATGATAAAATGATTTATTACTTAGAAGATTAATTATAATTATATTTATGCTAAATAATTGAATATTTTGCATCAGAGATACTAAGATTAAAGTATGAATATTTAATTAAATAATAAAAGGAATGATCAATCCTAAATTGTTATATTTAATATGAAAGAAGAGAAATTAAATGATTAATCAAAATTAAAAAAGAGAAAATAAGGAAGATAAGTTAAAATTATGGGTGATTTTGCTTTAATGGTTAATGACCCTTAAGATGCCATAGAGTATTATAAATAAGCATTTGATATTCTAAATAAAAACAATGATTATTTATGGTGTGGAATAATTTAATAACATTTGGCATCATCAAAATCTGTCTCTGAAGAAATTGAAGAACATTTTAGAGAATCTTTAACCTTTCTTAAAAAAACAAAGTTTATAAATTTAGAAATTGAGTGCTTTTTCAAATTAATGCAATATAGAAAAACCTCAAATGATAAATTAGGACTTAATAAAACAATTGATTTATTTACTAAAACCTTTGATCCTGAGTCTCCAATTGAAAAATGTAAATTTTATTTATTTGTTTCTGAAATGTATGGTCAAATATAAATGAAAAGAAAATAAGCATATTTCATTCGTTTAGCAAGTTTTGAATTGGCTACAATAAATAAATCAATGGCTTTAGAACTTACTAAATTATCAAGTACTATGTATGGTCTTAATTCCTATTTCTCTGATAAATAAAGTAATATATTTTGGACCTCCCTTTAACATAACTTTGTTTAAGAGATCTAACACAATTTTAAAGGAATGTATTCATTTTCTCATTATAAGATCCGACATATTACATAATACTCAGATATAAAGAATGTAAATGTTTAAAGCAGATTTTACTTAATAATAATTATAAACAATGCTTTAAGTTTTATAGGAAGAATCAGTTAAACATGAATTAACATAAACTTATTTGTTAATGATTCCAATAATTGAAAGACTTGAAATCTTACCTTTCAAAGATAAATATAATTAGATTAATAAAGAAACTAAGTTATAAACTGAAGGATAAGATATATTTATTGTGAATCCTTGGGCAAATAAGGAATCTAAAACTGAATTAAAATACCCTCTTAATGCCATTATTCAATTAATTTTGTATATTTCAAATGATTATCCCTTTGATTTTTAATTAGATAAGTTAATGCTATAAATTGAAGGCAGTGATTGTATTACTTATCCTAAAGGAATCAATTTATCAAGTAATACTAAAAATCATCCTGTGAATTTTACAATTAAACCAAAATCTACAGGTTAATTGAAAATAACTGGAATTAAAATTTAATATTTGAATTATGAATACATTCATTAATTAAATTAATTTGGATTTTCTACTCTTTTATCATCTAAAAATTAACAATAGGAATTATCACTTTTTAATTTACATAATATTAAAATAACTGAAGATATTCCAAATGTCTAAGCATAAATTTATAGGGATTCCACTTTAATTAATGAAGTTGAAGCTGTTTATTTTGATCCAAGTGAACTATTTACTTACTAATTTTGTATTAAAAATAAATCAGAATTATCAATTTAAAACTTAGCATTTGAATTAATAGTTGAATCTGAAGATCCTCCCATATATGAACATAAACAAACTATTCAAAATTTTATTTTAAATGGATTTAGTTCTATTAATGTTTTACTTACTGATTTTGATAATGAAAACCAAAATAATTAGATGCACATAAAAATCCCAAAAATTCCACATAAAACTCATTTCTTTAAGAAAATCTCTTTGACTTTATTCTTATGGTACAATAATGCCTTGTATCAAAGAGAAATTAAAATGAATCGTTTGATCTCAATAAGATAAAGAACTGTCATTTAACAATGTCAATTTGTTAGCAAATATAGATGTAATAATGAAAAAATAAAAGAAATTTATGATTTACAAGATAGTTGTTTTTTAAGTATTCAAATTGCAAAGAAAGATTTGTTAATAAGTTTAGAATTGCAATCTTAGATTTTAATAGATGGTTAGTTTAACTAAATATTGAATGAAGATTGTGACTATTATGCATAAGCATTAAAACTTAGAAAGTTACCATTAAATTAATTAACAAATCCTGATTTGAAAGTAATTTGGAAAAACTTATTTAATGGAACTATTGGTATTTTAAATCCATTCTAACATCTAAGCTAAGAAGACATATTCAAACATTGTTGTAATGATTTGATGGAGATCGAATGTAAAGAATCTAATAAATAAATACATTATAAGTTAATCTTACATGAAAAACTTACTTCCAGTCAAAAAGTCAACGTAACTATTAGTCTTACTAATGAATAAGTAAATTCTAATTTAAGTTGTGGAAAATCAATGGTTTCATCTGTCTAAAATACAAATAATCCTATTATAATCGAAGGCTATACATCATTTAATCTTGATATTTAATAAAACAAGTTGACAACTAAGAATGGACAATTAGGTTATTATGGATAATTAAATTAATCATGCCTTAAATTTATAGTTAATGATCATGAAAATTTAAGATAGTATATCAAAAGATGTGAAATAAAATGATAATAAATATATTCATATCTATAATTTATATAAAAATTATTTTTTTAGTATTTATTCCATTAATTAATAATTCAATCAATTTTTAACTTCTGAAAAATGATATTAATTTTCCATTTAAAATCTATTTATAATTATTTTTATATCCAAAAATAATATTCCTTTTTCTGATATTCACCATTCATTCTATTTACTCCATTTTTATTAAAATCTTTAAAAGAATATATGATTCAAGTAAAATCTCAAATTATTTTATTAATATTTAAGAATAACTCTAAAAGTTATATGAAAACTAATAATTAATATCTACCTTTATTTTTATTTTCCCATCTTTTATCCATAATTTGCAAATATCAGTAAATACGACAAAAATTTCAGATAAAATCAAAATTCTAATCAGCCCATTTATTTAAATTTATATAATAAAATAAATCAATTAATTAATCGAAAATTTAAATCTAATAAAAACCTTAAAATATTCTTCCATTTAAAATCATAAAATATAAAAAAATTTAAATCAAAATCTAATCTGTAAAAATAATTTATTCAAATCACATTACTTGGATTAAAAAAACTATTCAAATCAACTATAAGTTAGTTATAAACTAATTTTAATAATTTATATTTAAATGATGTATAAATTTTTTTGTGAAATTCTTTTAAAAATATCATTTTACTTATTAATAATAAGAAATATAATAATCAGTTGATAAAACAATTATATATATTCAAAATTCTCCAAAAACTTGATAGAGTTAAATAAGTAGTAGGAAAGATTAATTTTAAATTTGATTATGTAGAAGGAATAATATCAATAGGACTATATTTTGGATTTTATCATCATAAAAGATAGATAAAGGTTTCATATCAATTAGAAATAAAAAACAAATTGATAGGAGAAAAAATAACTTTGGAATTTGGAATAATGTAATTGTTAATTAAGCAGTTGCATTTAAGGAATGTTCTAAAATTTTAACTAGTGATGATGGGTTAGATTTAAAACAAAATAAATTTTTAGTAATCGGTGGAACAGTAGTGGCTGTAAATGAATTAATAAAGATATTATAAGGTATTTCTGTTTGAACATATACTTGTAATTGAAATAAAAGATTGAAAAATAAGAAATAGATTCAAAAGTTACTGTAATAGTAGCTCTAAGAGATTGAAGATATTATTAATGAAATATAAATTTAAATCATACCCTTCTTTCTGGTTTTAATATTCAAATTTAGTTATTTGGAGAGATATTTCAATTAATAGAAATGGTTAACCTTTATTTCATAAAGATTGATTCACCTTAGAACCATCTTTTATATAAATGAATATCAATATATATTGATTAAATATCTTAAACTTAATTATAGATAAGTATTTAAATTATTTTAAATTTATTCTTTTTTATAATTTGTTTGAGTTTTTATATATGCCAAAGATGCATAACAAAAGTTTTTACTGCAAAATTAAATTTTTTAATAAAAAAATGAGTGCAATATTCTTTTATAAATATTTATTATCAATTCCAGTATAATGTGTATTTGTTAAAAATTTAAATTAATAATAATTTCGAATTTAGACAGGACAATTCGATTCTTCCAATTATTTATTTAGAAGTACTAATGAAATCGAAAATAACTGACATTTCTTTTTTATCTATGGTTAGTTTGAATTGTATTTAAGATCTACTTGAGATTTAAACTTCAAACATATTATTTTTTTATATAAATATCAAACTGTATATATCTGAAACAGTTTTCTCTATTTTGAATTTTGTCAACCCTTTAGATGATTAAATAACCATATCTAGGGCTTTTGGTCATTAAATAATAATTTTATTTTTGCATTCAATTCTATTGTTTAAAAACAAGGAACAACCTTTATTTTTATATTTTTTGCTTATTTCACTTGATTTTGAAATTCAACCAAAATCTAACTCTTCAGCTAGTATTATTATATTATAAATAACTAAAATCGATATTACAACTGTAATTGAATTTATTCCTTATTTGTTTCAAATTTATTAACTGAATTATTCTATATTTATTTATTATAGTATCTACCCTTCATAATATATTATCTATTTTTATTTAATTATTTTCTTATACAACACTAAGGTTATTTTGATTGGCAATTAAATATATTAACCTACTTTATTGGTCAATTATTAATAAGTCTTTAAACCCACATTTATAATTAATTCACAAAGAGACCTTATTTTTTTAATTTTATATTTTTTATTGTTCTCCTTAATTATGATGAAACTTAGCATAATAATTTCTAAATTAATGATTTTGAATTGAATTAATAAAATATCTAATTAAATATTCCATCACTAGTAATTTAAAATCTAACATAATTTTTAGAAACTTTATTTTATTTCTCTGTTTAATTTAAATGTAATAATCCTAAACACTCTTCAGAATAAGTATTGCATCTTCTTTTTAACTAGATCTGATGGATTGCATAATCTAAGGCTAAAACAATAAAGGAGGATTATATCTAGGTAATCTAGACAGTGCTGGAAATGGATATTTATTAAATCACTATAAAATTTGTTCCATTTTAGCTGCAATGAGTACTTAAGAATATATATATGATGGAAACATCTCATCTATGGTATCAATCTAAGTCTAATCACTATTTAGTTCATCAGAGTAGATGATGCTGATTTTGTTAATTTAAGCTAGTTTTTTTAATAGGCCTTTGATTTTATAGATTACCATCGATAATTTACAAATGTTCTTGTGCATTGCTATGCTGGAATCTCAAGATCAGCTACTATTGTAATTGCTTATCTCATGAAAACTTTTAAAATGTCTTTGATTTAGGCATTTAAATATGTTCAAACACAAAGACCTATTATTAATCCAAATCCTGGTTTTATGAAATAACTCTAATCATTTGAAGCTTAGATTTTTTGTTTTAATTTTCTTAGACATTCTTAAATACTCTCAAATGAAATAACAACATTCTAGAATAGTTTAACATTAAATTAACAAAAGGAATTTTTTATTAAAAATGCTCAATCTCAATAATATCCAATTAATTCTTCATAATTTTTTGGAGAATTTTAGGATTAGAATCACAAATAATAAAATTTTGAAAAAAATAATCAAATGTATTATTTTAATTATATAACTTTAATTAGGAATTCACAATACCAAATCGTTTCTCATTAATTCCTTCCATAAAGCTAATTTCAAAGGATTTAAGTACGTCAGGGATCAAATAACCTTTATTCCAATTAGTAAAATTTTGAATTTATATAAAATTGATAAAATATTTAACTATCAAATAATACTCTTTGAAACTTTATATTGATTTTGATAATTAGATCCACATTATATATAAGAAGTCTTGAAAAATTCAAAATATTTTGATTTTTCATGATTTTCTCTTGAAGGTGGTTTTTAGGAATGATTTTTTTCCAATTTCTACATAAATTTTTAAATTTCATTCATTTCATCTAGAACTATAAAAAAACATAAAACAATAATAACTACCATCATCTTCATCATCTAATTTTGATATTGTATTTGGAAATGATTTAGTATATTCACTTTATTCACAAAGTTCTATAATAGTATTTAAAGATGGTAGATGCTATTTTATTATTTCCTATTATGGCTTAAATTTTTTTTATTTAATATTAATAAACCAATGGTGTTTCATAGCCTCGTCTAATGTGATTCTTTAATCTTTTCCTTCCAATAGTCTCTTTAATAAATCTAATTATGATGCACTAAAAGCCATCTTAAATTATTATTTCAAATCAATTTACTGAGACTAAAATTTTGATTCATTTTTAAATTATTCCTCTAATTCATTAATAAGAGTCATTTTTATTTAATCATTTTTTTGGCAAACTTTATTGTAAAATGTTAAATAATATAATACTACTCCAATTTAAAAAAGATCAGTATTAATTGAAGGATTAGACTAACCATCAAGTATTTCCGGAGCTAAATAATTATTTTGAGTAATTTTTTTATATATATTTAAAGATTCTTTATCATTTTTATTTAAAGGTTACATATTGATGAGGTAAATGGATAAGTAAGTAGATTATACATTTATTAAAATATTGTCGAGAGTAATATTGCCATGATAAATTTATTATTTTCTTAAGAATTTAGTTAACTGTAATAATTATAGAATGATCTACAAATAAATCAATTCTTTACAGATGCTAATTATGTTTAATCTAAATTAAGTCCTGATTTTAGTAAAGTACTAAGTTTTTCACATCTAAAATATTCATAAATTAAATAAATGAATCTTAAATCTTGATATACCCATTTTAAATTAAGTAAGGAAGGATGTTTAATACTTCTTAAGGTTTAAATTTCACTATTTAAAAGTTCAATTTGTGTATTTTAGAGAGATATCATTTTAGCAGTATATATTTTGTTTGTTTTTTTATGTTAGATAAGGTAATAATCAACATTAGTTTATTATTAGACAGAAAATTTCTTAGAAAAATTAGAAAGTTTACAGAATTATTTTAACTTTTAATTCCATAATTTATAATGTTCATTATTAGAAATGAAGATTAATAGATTACCAATGTTATTTGAAAGTTAAATACAGTATCCTTGATTAGATTTAAATTTGATAATTGTGCAATTAGAGAGTACTAGATAATAATTTTAAATGATTAATAAATTAGGAATGAGAGTGATAGAATTTAAAATTAAAGAATCTTAATGATGATGATAGATTGTTAAGGTTTATTTTAGGATGGGTTTAGTTAAATTAATTTGTTCAATTTATGATGTAGATAATTAGAGTAAACAATTTGAATGTAAATTGTTTTATTAGATTGTTTTGATTTTATTTAGAATGAATCTGAAGTCATTATTCATTATTATTTTAATTTATAATTAGATTTTTTGATTTTATAACATAGTAAATTCCTAAACAGAATGGCGATTAAATTTAGAAGATAAAAGTATAATGATTAGTAATGAGATATATATGTATATATATATATAATGATTGTAAATGAATGAAAGAGATAAAAAAGAATAGAAGAAGGATAGTAAAAATTTAAATGAAAAATATATTGGTTTGAGAGAGAAATAAGAGTGATAATAAAAATGAAGGGATTAGTTATAACATAGATAAATGAAGAATAAAATGGTGATATGCTATTGTATATTCTTAAATATTAATTTAAATAAATATGGACATAAAGAAAACTAAAAAGAAGCCTGAATTAAGTGAGCAATTGTTCGTTGGGAATTACGTTGATGTTTACCATCAAGGAAGTAAACAATATAAGTTAGCATACATTTTGTCTAAAACAGATAAAGAGATTGAAGTAACATATGATGGATTATCAAAAAAAGAGAATGAGGTATATTAGTGTATTTAAACATTATGTAGATAATTAAATTATCGTAAAATAGAGTGTAATTCGCAAGAAAATCTTCTTAAAGTAAATAATAATTTAAATTAAGATTACACGGGTGATGACTATAGATAACAAAAAACTTCACGTGATTATTTAAAATATTCGCGTGAAGATTGTGAGAAATATACAAAAGAATTGATTACAATAATGTAAACTAATTTTTAAGGATTGACACCTATAGAGATTACTTAATGTGTTAGAGTTAGATAATTTATATGGTTGGATATGGTGCTTTCAAGTGAATTATAAGCAAAAGAACTTCCATTTGCATTAGAATACATAAAAATATATTTTAACTTTATCAAATGGTACTTTGACTAATTTCCAAAATACTTTGCAGATGTATATTAATCTTTGAAAATAGTATGTGAGATTTTTAAATAATGCTGAACTCTTTATAATTGATGAACGAGTCTCAATAGCAAGTTGTCTTTAAGAAGTCTGTGAAGCCTTCTGTATGTTGTTTGGTTCTATCTGGAGATTATTGAAATAAGAGAATTCCTTTTTTTATGTATTTATTTTATTTATTTATATATTAGTTAAATTATGAACATTTGTAATAATAAATAGATAAGATATTTGCAGTTCCTGTATATTAAGGATTTATAACTAATCCCAATATAGATGATTGGAGACTCTATTAAGGTGCTGGAGATGTTATTAAATGTATTAAAAAAACATGGCCCTTTTATTTAAAGACTATGTCATATTTTAAATAAATCTAAGGTCTATAAAGTTGGGATAATCTATTGAAATATTATGAAGGAGGAGAATATAATTATATTCCTTTAAAAGCAATGTAAAGAATTGTATTAACATAATAATATTTATCTTCATACTTTCCATTATAAGAATAAGGAAATATGGCTAAGAAAACTTTAGACTGGTTTTAATAAAGAGTAATTAATATGACCATTCAAGATATTAAAGACACAGATATTGATATAATTAGAGAAACTGTATAAGAAATGCAATATTATTTTCTAAAAGGATTTACATAAGATTAATTAATTAAATTAGTTGATGAAATTCAATTACAATTAGCACTTAAATTTTTGAAATCTACTTTTCTTGAAAAAAGAGTTAAAGGATTATCTGAAATTAGAGATTTTACTGAAAAGTTTAAATTTGATACAGGAAGTTAAATTAAATTGAAAACTTCCATTAGTAAAGAAGAACTTATTAGATGGATAACTTAAAATAAGATTTTAGATTATACTGTTTTAGGAGATTCAGTTCATCCAGAACTCATTAAAAGAACTAGTGATGTTGCAGTATTTTTATGTAGAAATTCAGCATTCTAATCTGATTATGTAGATAAAATTTGGTTTAATAATTATGACAAACATGAAACTACTCAACTTGCATTATATGAATTTTTTAAAGCTGTTTCTCCAGTTTTATAATTCTAAGGAATTGAAAAACTTTATAATCATATTTCTAATATTCCATATACAAAATATAATGAAAATATTGTAGGAATGATTAGAACATTTACAGAAGCAGCCTTATCTTAAAGATTCCATGAATAACAATTATAATTAAGACCTGATAAAAGATTTATGACATTTAATTAATTATGGGAATTATTATAAGATAGAGATGATTCATTAGTTGGTAGTCATATTTAAGAATAATGCTTTTAAGCAGCTCGTATGATTATTTCCCAAATTCCATAAACTAAATAATTTATCTCTTAATATTTTGGAAAATGTTTTGAATTGATTGGCAATCATAAATCTGTTTATTAAGCTATAAGTTTTGTACATTATTTCCTTGATAAATAATTTAAAGATGATAAAAGTAAAAAGGAATTAATTCAATCTACTGATGAAAAATATAATATCATAGAATTATTTGTTAAAGATATTGAAGTTTATATGGAAAAAGTAAGGTTGTATTTTAAAAATGAAATAACTTAAGATATTATTATTAATGGAGTCTAAAAATTTAGTTAAAATGTCTTCTTTAGATTATAAATGCTCAATTATTTACTTTAATAAACTGATCTCAAAATTAATTATGATTAAAGTGTAAGATTATGGGATGCTTTAGCTTCTAAAACTAAAGGAAATATATAGAAAAAAGAATTAAATAAAATTCTTATTAGCAATTGTTATACAGATTTTGCTTAATTTAGAATTAATTAAATTTATTTTGATAAAGAAGGTGAATCTAAGTTCTTCACCTAAATTTTATGCAATCCTGAAAGGAATGATTATGAAAAGTAAAAGTGTTTAATCAATAATTTAGTTATACAATTGAAGATTTCGAATTATTTTAAGTGTTTTTCAAATCCTACAATCAAACTAGACAAATGTTAAAATATTATAGTAGTTCTATCCGTTTCATTGTAAATGATCATAATTTTGAAGGAAAAAATGCCATTTGGTAAATTTTTGCCAAAGTTAAAGATCTTGTCCTCCTTGAATAAATAGCCAATTTCATTATTAATTTATATACTTCACTAAATTACACTCTCGATGCTAAATGTGATAAAATATATCAAGAAATGATGGATAAATGTTTAGAACTTATTTAGTAATAATGTCCTAGTTTAACAACAAGATCTATTAATCTTTTACTCTCTTTATTCAATTATTTCTAAAGTGGTCCTATTTCAAAAAAATCAGCTAAACCAATTAATTATATTTAATTTAAAGCTTAAATTATAAGTGCTAATAATTAAATGTCTGTTAAAGAATTTAAAGAAGGTGATACAACAACTGTGAATTAATGGAAATAAAAATTATCTGAGGAATTATAAGTTGCTTATTAACAATTAGACATTTTTGTAGATAATAAACCAATTGAACAATAATTTGATATTGTAGAAACTTAAGCTAATCATGTATTCTGTTAATTGCCCTCAGTAAAGGTGAAAATTAATAATAAAAATCATCCTAAAAATTACCTTTCTTAAGAATAGCGAACTTTTGATATTCTATTTAAATTACTTGATAAATAAGAAAGTATTGAATTTTTGTCATAGGTTTGGGATTTAATTAATAGATTGCCTACTAATATTTAAATAAAAAAGTAAGTTGAAAATTGTAAAGATTGGAAAAAATACTTAGATCACACATTCTTTGATATGTTTTATGTATTATAAATCATATAAGCATTATTAGAAAATGGATAATGGTGTGAATAATTTAATAATTCTGATGGAGTTGATGTGGTAACTTAAAAATTCTTAGGTTAAAATTTGTAATTTGAACAACGACCACTTGAAATTAGATGTTGTTTAACATATTTAGAAATTTTAAGCCATTAAAATATAAAGATAAAAGAACCTTAAATAATAGATTAAATTAAACAAAAAATTTTAGATATAATTTAGAAGCTCTGTTATTATATAAAATCAAAGAAAAAGTTGGAATTAGGATAAAAGAAAACTCCTTAATAAAAAGAAATGAATGAAATAGAAACACGTCTTCTTAGAAGATGCTTTAATTATTTAAATGAATCAGGTTGTAAAAAATACATTAGATAAAATGATGAATTGTAATAACAACTCTATAATTATTTTGTAGAACATGAAAATTAAGATTTAAAAAAAGAATATGGAGCTTAATTGTTAAATTTGGTTAATACTTAAGAAAGTAAATTATTGATAAAAATAATGCTTAATGATGTTTTAAAGAATGTTATTACAAATAACAAATAAAAATGTGAACATTTTTTTGAATTTTGTTGTAGTCTTTTACAACAAGAAAATAATTTACATATAGAAAATTTTGATTGTGAAGCTTTATTATCTTATATAAAATAAATACTACAATAATTACCATTGAATGAAAATACAATAAAAGATTAAGATTAAATTTTGATAGGTTTACTAAAACTTCTTAATGTAATAATAGATAAGTCACCTCATTTATCAAATAATAATTAATTATTTGAACAGATTTTAAGTTATTTGTTAGAAAATGAAGGTGAAACAAGATGTAAATGTAAATCTTAATAATCAAGAACTGCTGGATTTAATTGTTTATTTACACTTTTGAAAAATTAATAAAATATGAATAGATTTTTAAAGACTGTATCACCTTTGCATTAAACAAATACTTGGAGAACAAAGCATTTAAATGATTGGAATATTTAGAGTAAATTTCATGAGAAATCATCTACAGGATATGTTGGTTTATATAATTTAGCATGTATTTGTTATATGAATTCTTTATTATAATAATTGTATATGGTTCCAGCATTTAGAGAAAGATTACTGAGAGTGGAAGATAAAAATACTTGTATTTAAGAAGAGAATTTGTTACATTAATTAAAATGTTTATTTTTAGCATTAAAATATTCATAAAAATAATATCATAATCCAAAAAAGTTTTGTCATGCATTTAAAGATTTAGATGGAAATCCGACAAATATATTTGAATAAATGGATGTTGATGAATTTTGTAATTTATTAATGGACAGAATTGAATTAAATATAAAGTCAACTTCAGATGAAGATTTAGTTAAACGTTTTTTTGGTGGTGTAATGTCAAATGAAATAATAGGCAAAACTTGTCCTCATTATTCAGAAAGAGAAGAACCTTTCTTTGCTATATCATTACCTGTAGCAAATAAAAAGAATTTAGAAGAATGTTTATAAACTCTAGTTCATGGAGATCTACTTGAAGGTGAAAATGCATACAATTGTGAATAATGTAATAAAAAAGTTAGTGCTTTGAAGAGAATGTGTATTAAGAAATTACCGGATCATCTTATTCTTGTTTTAAAAAGATTTAATTTTGATTTTGATTTAATGGCTAAAGCTAAAATTAATGATAGAATAGAATTCCCTTTTGAATTAGATTTACTACCATATTCATAATAAGGATTAAGATAATAAGAAAATAGAGCTAATAATTCAAATCATTAAGATAATCCTTAAGAATATTATTAATATAGATTAACAGGAGTTGTTATTCATATGGGTTCTGCTGATAGTGGACATTATTATTCATTTATTTAAGATAAGAATGATTTAAATAAATGGTATGAATTTAATGATATTGTTGTGACTCCTGCTGATATTAAAGATCTTAAAAATGATGCTTTTGGAGGTTCAGATAAAATGTTAAAGAATAAATATCCAACATAATTAAAAGATAAATCTAAAAGTGCTTATATGCTTTTCTATGAAAGAATCAAACCAGTTAATATTACTGATTAAATTTAATCAATTAATGTTGAATTAGATTCTAAAACAACAAAATTTTTAGATGAAATTAAAGATGAAAATAGGAAATTTTAAATTCAACGATTTATTTTTAGTCCAGAATATTTTAATTTTATATAAAATGTCATCAAATTCTAATTATAATAATAATAAGTCTAAGATTAAATTATTAAAACACTTGTTTTCTTTTATTTAACATGTGCAGTTCGAGAAAATGATAAAACATTTGTTTCAAATAATATTTTAGATATATAAGAATTATTAAAAAAGTCACCTAATACTTGTTAATGGTTATTAAAATGTTTTAATTAACCATAATATATAAGAGAATTTTAATTTGATTGTTCTAAGAAAATGGTTAGAAAGTTTGTAATTTAAATGTTGATTACAGCTATAGAGACACTTTAAAAATAGGAAGGATATAAAGAATTGTTTGAAATGGTTGATGATAAACCAAAATCATTAGTAGCTTCTTTAATTAATGCTTGGATATTAATGATTCCAGAATTAAAAAAAAGTTTAAAAAATTCAGTAGAATTTTATGATCTCTTTTATAAATTTGCAAAATTACATCAGTAAAATGCATAATATTTAATTTAAAAAAAGTTAGTTGGTAAATTGTTGGATCTTTCTATAGATGTACTTTTAGTAAATCCTAATAAAAACTTAATTTAATAAAGAGAAATTGTTAGAAGAATGGATGATATAAAAGTAATTAAATTTACTGATGAAGATCTCAATAATTATTTAGGATAATAAAATTATTAAAATGTTGATGTTGCATCTAGTTATTATGATGAATTATTGGAAAAGAAATTTGAAAAATCAATGAATTCTGGTCCATCAACTAGTAGAGTATATTTATGGAGAACAATAGCCTATTTAATAAAAGGAGAGTATAAATAATTACTATCTACTGAAGAGCAAATTCTACTTTAATTCGATAATTAGTTTATATAAGTTCTTTTAGAAGAAGGAGATTGTAAATTGGCTATTAGAATGATCTCAGATATACTATGTGTTTTTTCAATGGACAATTAAAAATAAAGTGAAGCTGTTATATCTTGTATCATTAAACAAATCAATGACAAGGAATACAAAGAATATCGTAAATATTTAGTTGTTTTGAAAAGATTGTTTCAATTCAAGGATCAACTTTAACCTATGAGAGTACATTTATTTTTCTAAATTTTAGATTAATATGGGTATGACTAAATTATTGGATGCTATGCAAAAATAATTTCAATACTTTTTTGAGACTGATGTTTGTTAATAATATATTTTAAGAGTAAATAAATATTATAATATTTATAGATGGTTTTTAGAAATTATTTAGTATATCAATGGATGGTCAAAAATTAACGATGTTGGCAATGGATCCTAGAAAATAATAATTCTTAACCACATCCTAATGATAAATTAATTGCCAATAATCAAATTCCTTAAAAATGTTAGCATAGATTACATAATATCTATTTACCTAATACTTCTTAAGGATATGCTAAATTATTAAGTTGGAAAAAATAACAATATTTAAATTTAGCCAAAGAAACATTTAAATAAAATGACGAATTTGATACAGATGATGATTTGACTGAAAAAAATGTTAAAGTAGATGAAAAGATAGATTACTAGTAATATAATTATATATATAAATGTTTAGTGATTAAAGTTAATGGATCACTGCAACAATCAGCAAAGTTATGGGTGACTACATTCATCTAACTTTTAGTGGTAAGATGGCTCCTTAAAATATGGATATAGAATTAGATAATGAAAAATTAGCTCCATTTAATACACTATCAAATAATAATAAAATACCTGGTATTTATAATATTTATAAATAGGATACAATAATCAGAGTTATGAAATGAATGAGCATCAATCCGATCATGATAATGATACAGAAGAGGGTAACAATAATTCTAATAATTAAACTGATTCAGATGAAGAGTGAAATTAATAATCAAGAAAGTATTACAATATACAGTCAATATATATATAATAATATTTTTATTATGTCAAAATAATGGCAAATCCATTAAAGTTTGCAAGAGAGTTTATGCTCATCTCTCAATAAAGATGAAATTCTTGAAGAGTTTTTAAACATTTGTAGTTATATATCATAAGAAGATTAAAATAGTATTAAGAGTTTAAATTCAAAAATATAAACCATTAAAAAACACTATGCTTAATAAAAATGTAGAATTGAACATCAATTTAAATACATTTAAACTTTATTAGAATAGAAAAAGAAAGAGTTAATTACTTTATTAAATAATCATGAATAAGAATTGGATAAAACATTCAAAAATTTACATGAAAAAGTAACTCAAATATAATCTGTTATTTTTAACATCTAAAATGATATTCTAAGTAATAGATAAGAAATTGTATCAGAAGTTGATGATGATACCTTTCACAATATTCTTTCTTAATTTGATTAAGAAATACAAATGACTTAAAAATACAAAAAAGAAATACTTTCATCTAAAATTACTCTTATTATTATTGAAGAATGGTCTTCACATCATTAAGATGTAATCAAAAATTTACTTAATTAATGCATAACTATTAAAGACTATTAAAAGTAAATTGAAACATAACATTCAGAATTAAGTGCTTCAACAAGTAGTGAGAAGTTTAGTTCATCAAATAGATCCAGTTAAGAACTCTACATGAAATAATAAACTCCTTTGATAGTAAGTTTTGATTAAAAATATTTTCTAACCTAAAAATAAATTGAGATATCAAAATCTGATTCTGATATGCATGATAGTTGTGAATCTGATTTTCTTAAAGAACTATCATAATCCTGAATTGTTAGAATTGTGGCTACTCACTAATTAATTTATTATTGTATATTATATATATAAACTAAATTATTAACTAATGTGTTATTGTATTTTGCAAACAAAAGCTAATATAAATATAATATAATTTTATTTTTATTTTTATGTCTTATCTCCCCATTTAACAAATTAAATGTATTATTTAATTTTTTTCAAATAGAACTCTTGAAAATTAGTTATTATAATCATCTAACATCAATTTAAAAATGTATTCATTTCAAGTAGTTTTTAATAAAAAAAATTTACTTAAATAAAATATCGATTTTTATTAAAAATTTTGATATGCAATAATATGCTCTTTTTGAATATTTAAATATCATTTGCATTTTAGATTTCAAAAGCTTCAGTTTCTTGAATCAATCAAATTGGACACAAAAGCCTTTGAATTGATCTAATATAAAACCTTGCATTATAAATACAATTAAATAATGTATTATAATGGTTATAAAAATGAATGTTTTTAATTAAATATTTACTGAACTCTCTTTTTTTATAAAATAATATCAAGTAATTATGATTTTTGATATACTTAGGCATCAAAGCATTTGTAATTATCGAATAATACAAATTTCATAGTATAAATTTATAATATTACTGAATGAATATAATTTTTTCAGAATGTGGGCAATACGTATTCCTGTTACTTGACGATTTTGTCATTAAGTATTATTTTGAGATTCAATTTAGAAAATTTTTGAGTATTAGTGTAGGTAGCCTATTTGAGATGTTCTCTTTATTCAAATTGAATATTTTTTTTTCTGTAATTGTGAAGGATTGTTTTGGCAGTAGCATAATTAATATTTAGATCCTTAGCAATCTAAAAAGAATATAATAAAATGGAGTACTCTTTTAATTTTACATTTCTAGAGAAGAACAGTTCGAATCAACTATGTCTTTTTTTCTTTTGATATCATTTTATATTCTCTCTTTGGTAATTGAGGAGCGTTGTTTTGAGTAGGTTGAATGCCTGATTATTTATAATCATTGTCATTTATTGATACTTTTGTGAGCGACATTAATTTTGCTAAAAAGTTTTAGTTATTGTTATTTCAATAATAATTACAAATAGATTTAGTTTAAATAATATATATTTTGTAATGTAAATAAAAAATTATAGTTATTATGAAAATTCATAAGTAGAGAAATTGGAAAACAATGATAAATTGTTATTTATAAGTGATTATGCTACAAATATGTATATTTATTTTAGTTTTGATAATGATTATCGAATTGTTCTGTATGGTATGAAGATGATTTTAGATATTTTACAAATTCTCATTGGCCTGTTGATGTAGGGTTTTAAAAATGTTAAGCATTTAGAGTATTGAATTAAGCAAAATATTTTGTCCAATAAATTTAATCTACTCTTAGTGAATTGTAAATATAGCGATTAAAATCAGAAAAAATAATTGTGAACTTTTATTGTGATGTTAATAGGCAAATTCATTAAGAGTCCCTTTTTACGGATATAGGAGATATTATTTAAATAGAGGTAAAAATAAAATAAAAACTTTATTGAAATATTATATTTGCCTTTTAAAGAATAATGAATAAGAAATTGATAGCTATGAAAATATCGTTTTTTGATTAAATATTTGATACAAAAGATTAACCACAATTTATTTATTCAAGTCAATCATTTACACCTCTTAATGAAGTAAAGAAAAAATGTGTAGAAATTGGAGTATGAATAAGCATTTTTAATGAATTTAAAGTCTTACATAAAAAGAAAAGGATTCTAACCTTTTATAAAGAAAAAAAAATGTTTTAAGTTTTTCTATTGATTGGTATTAATTTTACTATAATGTTTTTATAGTGCATGTTTGACATTTATTACACTAATAGTTGATACTTTATTTGAAGTTATAAATGAAAATGACATTCTAAGTAACCTAGCCAGATTTGCAAAATTATCAGATGAGATTTTTAACAACAATTTTTAGAGGTAATAACAAAATGGAAATGAATTAATACATGTAGATTAAATATATATATAGTCAATATTTCACTTTAGTTTTGGTCTACATCCTATCTATTCTGTGAATTCTTTAAATTTAGCTAATTGTCTGTAATTATTAGTGAGACAAGGTGGATATGATTATTTAAGATCAACAGATTTATTTTAATTATAAACTGATTATTTCATTTTGATCTACTATTTTTAATTGATTGAAATCACTCTGTGAGACTTAAAATCAATATTTATTTTTTCGCTATCTTAACATTATTTAGAAACTAATTAGATATTCTAGAAAATAGGGAATTTAGTATAAGTATCTATTTTTTGAAGTTAAGCTTTATATGAATTTCCATTATTAGTAGTGATGATGGTATCAGTTTTGACATATTCTAGTGGAAATTGTATAAAATAATTATGTTTCTTGTTATCTGAAATGATTTATTTTATAGGTCTTTGTGATTTTCCATAGTTAATTACAGAATGTAACAAAATTGTGTTTTCAGTAGTATCTATTTTATAAAGTAACCCTTAGTATCTAGTATGATTTGGGGTTTCTATGTTTATAGTAATCATCTATTCTATTATATAATTTTGATTATATTGTAATTTTTTTTAATATGATTTTAATAAATATTTAAATAAAATAAAACAAAGTATGCCAAACCATTTATTCAGAACTCATCCAAGAACATATGGAAAGGATTCAAGAGGTAATACACATTGAGATTTCATAGAATGCAGAGTATGCGGTGCTAGATAAGGTTTAATCAGAAAATATGGCATGAATACTTGCAGAAGATGTTTCAGAGAGAATTATGAATTAATAGGTTTTCACAAGGTAATATATTTGCTTATATTCAGTACAATTGAGGTGTTTTTGATATAATAATAACAATATTTAATCGAACATCTAAATATAAGCTCATCTATTATTTTCTTAACAAAACTATAATATAAATGCATAATTTTGAAGTTTTCAACAGATTTATACATAATTCAAGATTTGATCATTTTTTATTAGTTTTTTTTCATAGTCTAAAATAGTTCATCATTATCTTGTTGACAATACAATTGAGATCAAATCTTACGTTAAAGTGATTAAATAGCAAATTGATTGCAATATATTATTAATTTACAAAATATGAAAAAGGCAGATTAGATTTTACCATAATTGCATTATATATCAATATGTAATAGAGACTTCGTGGAATAAATTAGGGTCTTACATAAAATCAATATATTCAGATAAGTATATAATAAGTAAAATGAATTTAAAATTTTATATAGATCTTGGAGGATTGAAAATCAAAAAATAGCGCTAACCTTATGTGTTCGAGGTTCAACAGTAAAGTCTTTTTGTTATTATCAAAGGGTTTAAATTGATCAACAGGTTCTGAATTAATAATAGCTGGAATTAATATACGAGGTGGTTTAAGTATTAAGATTAGATGGTTTAAATATGCATAATAGAAATAGATCCTGATAAATTAGGTTGTATTCTTAATCAATTTAAATAATTCTTTACTGAAAGAGTACTTAGTGATAATATAATTAGATTAAATAAATTATGATATCTTATGTATTTGGAGTTAAATTTGATGCATCTGAAATTATTGATTGGGAAAATCAAAAGGATTGTTTATTATGGAAGATAAAATGTTATAATGCCCCTAATGCAAAATTTAAAACTAACAAATATTATTTATAGTAAATCCTAATGTTGATTTTTTTCTTTTTGGTTTTGGTTCTATAAAAACTTCTTCTGCTTTTTGTGGATCAATAAATGTTATCATTATAATGAATCACGTTATAGAAAAATGAAAGCCATATAAGAAACCTATCAAAAAGGATCATAAAGAAAGTATTTTATGAATTAAATATTATTAGCTATTTCAAAAGAATATTAAAAATTTATTTCCTATGATTTTATTAAACAAACAATAGAAGTTCAAGATGGATTTTTATTGATTTTTTTCCCTAACCGGGATTATAAAGAGTTTTTAGTTAATAGTATAAGAGGATTTTACAAAAACCCATTAGATATTTTGTAGACTTATAGATTTAGAGTTTCTAATACTAAGTTGGCAATGTTAGATTTACGAATGCAAACATTTGATATTGATTAATTCAATATGTCTATTTCTCGATAGTTGATAGGTCAAGGAAGTTTAATGGTAGCATATCATGGAGTTGGAGATAGAAAATTTGGCTAAGAAATGAAAAGTTATATTTCTCTCAGGCTTTATCCAGTTGTTGTTCCTGATCCAAAAATTACATAAAAGATATTAAATTAAAAAGAAATTGATGCTTAAATGGAAGTTACTCAATTAGATATTGTCGAAAGTCTTTTTGGAAGTTCCTTTTAATATTCAAGCAGTAATTTAAAATATTTTAAAAATGTAGTTGATGTTAGACTCTTTATCTTCCGAGTAATTAAAATACAAATTTAAAATCAATTGAACGTATTAGTTGAGAAGTTGTTGATGTTGTAGGGATCTTGAAGAATCAACACCCAAAATTGTGATTTTATTTTATATTTATAATTAACAATTTCATTTAATTGATTCAGTTTTTTTTATGTATGCAAGACAATTATTATTTGTATAGCTTTATATTATAAGTATTTAAAAGAAAAATTATCATTTATTTTTTCATTACTTAAAACTTGATTTTCCGTATCTGAGTTGATAACTTAATTTATTCTTGAGGAAAATTATTTAAAAAATCTTTTTTTAACACATCTAATTTCAAGAATCGTGATGAATTTCGATGAAGCTTCTTAATCTTCACTCCATACTTATAGAGTCAAAACTCGTCAATAATAAAAGGGCATTTAACCTTGTATTCAAAAATCAAAAAGAAAATATAGTCATATTTCTCCAGATAGAAAGACTTAGTTAATTTCTCTTGTGCTTGATAAAAAACTTAGAATCAAAGATGTATATATTTATAAATATTACTTGCATTAGGCAGCTATAATTTGTAGTTTAAATTACTCCACAGCCAAAACCATTCTGTATACTTTGAGACATAGACCACCTAAGTAAGCCTTATTTAAATCAATTTCAAATTCAAGAAAGCCAAAACTCATAATGAAAATTCTTATTAAAGGCAAACTTGTGAATGAATATGATTTTTATGCAAAATCGCTTCAGAGCTGAAGTGTATTAATTACATCTCATGTATATAAATCTTATTAAATTGACATTTATTGTCATTGTAAAAGTTCAGAGTCATATTTTTATAATACCATTTTCAGTTCGGATTTTAAAATTCTTATCGAAAACTCAATAAAATTATGCATGTAAATTACTGTATTTAAAGAGATGTTCATCAAATTAATTCTTTCTCAGATTTCAGAATTTCATAAATTACACTCTGCATCTAAGTTCCTGTATGTGTGCCATTCATTCCATCATTAAATAAATATGGCAAAATCAAGTTAGACAGTGGAGATGGACAAAAATATAAACAATCTTTTTAGAATCATACATATATTAAATTATTATTTTTATCATCCTCATATGACACTATTTCCGAAATTGATACTATTTTCTATTACTTGATAAAATATTTTGAAAAGATGCCGTATATTTTACAATCACATTTAAACAAAATTAAATTAAAATTCATAAATTTATTAATTCTAATTAAAGACTGCCTAAATGCAATTACAAATTATTTCAAATGTTAGAAAAATTAAATAAATCTTATAATGCAATAGATAGAGCTAATAAAGGCTTTTATCTAATAATAATTTTAAGATCTTAACAAATACAATGTATCTTACTTTCTGATAATCTCAAAGTTTTTCTTCATGTANTTGAGGAAAATTATTTAAAAAATCTTTTTTTAACACATCTAATTTCAAGAATCGTGATGAATTTCGATGAAGCTTCTTAATCTTCACTCCATACTTATAGAGTCAAAACTCGTCAATAATAAAAGGGCATTTAACCTTGTATTCAAAAATCAAAAAGAAAATATAGTCATATTTCTCCAGATAGAAAGACTTAGTTAATTTCTCTTGTGCTTGATAAAAAACTTAGAATCAAAGATGTATATATTTATAAATATTACTTGCATTAGGCAGCTATAATTTGTAGTTTAAATTACTCCACAGCCAAAACCATTCTGTATACTTTGAGACATAGACCACCTAAGTAAGCCTTATTTAAATCAATTTCAAATTCAAGAAAGCCAAAACTCATAATGAAAATTCTTATTAAAGGCAAACTTGTGAATGAATATGATTTTTATGCAAAATCGCTTCAGAGCTGAAGTGTATTAATTACATCTCATGTATATAAATCTTATTAAATTGACATTTATTGTCATTGTAAAAGTTCAGAGTCATATTTTTATAATACCATTTTCAGTTCGGATTTTAAAATTCTTATCGAAAACTCAATAAAATTATGCATGTAAATTACTGTATTTAAAGAGATGTTCATCAAATTAATTCTTTCTCAGATTTCAGAATTTCATAAATTACACTCTGCATCTAAGTTCCTGTATGTGTGCCATTCATTCCATCATTAAATAAATATGGCAAAATCAAGTTAGACAGTGGAGATGGACAAAAATATAAACAATCTTTTTAGAATCATACATATATTAAATTATTATTTTTATCATCCTCATATGACACTATTTCCGAAATTGATACTATTTTCTATTACTTGATAAAATATTTTGAAAAGATGCCGTATATTTTACAATCACATTTAAACAAAATTAAATTAAAATTCATAAATTTATTAATTCTAATTAAAGACTGCCTAAATGCAATTACAAATTATTTCAAATGTTAGAAAAATTAAATAAATCTTATAATGCAATAGATAGAGCTAATAAAGGCTTTTATCTAATAATAATTTTAAGATCTTAACAAATACAATGTATCTTACTTTCTGATAATCTCAAAGTTTTTCTTCATGTATTATAACTAAAAAATGCTACAACATAACAGATTAACAATTAAAAAAATATTTTTTAACAAATAAAGTTGTATTAGTAGTTATCATCAATATTTAAATATTTTGGCAAAAACAGTCTCATAATTTATTTAAATATAAAGAAATTAAACATTTATAAAGTTATTGGGCCAATAATTTGAATTTAAGCTTTTCTGTTTCAATTTTATTCGGTTTAAAATATCAAGAAAAATTAGTGAAGAAATAAGTCCCTTTCTGTTGTTAACTATAAATTTATTTTTAGAAATTCTTAAGTATAGAATAAATTGAATTATGGAATAATGAATTATGTAGCATACTCTCTTAAAATAATTAATTATTTTTAATATGGCCTAGATTTAATTTATTAATACTTAGAAATTTTAGGATTTTTAATAAATTGAGATAAGAAATCTTTTTGTTGGTCGAAGCTCAGCCTTTCTAAATTTTTGCATCGATATTTTAAAATATGTTTAAATCTAAAAACTAAATTTCTATAATAAATTGTCCTTATCAAAAAACTATAATATATAAGTATGTAAAGATGAAAAAAAAAAATTATACAAAGAAATAATGTAAGTAATATAGATACCTACTAAATTTAATGATTGATACTAATTTAAAAGCTTGTATAGTAAAATATAAGGATATATAACAAAGTAAGTTTCTATAAATAATTTAATGATAGAGTCTCTTCAAAATCTTCTTGTTATAAAGAAGAGAATTATAAATTAAAAAAATTTAGAATTTATTTAAAGTTTTTGTTAAAGATTGTGAGACCTTAGAGGCATAATTTTGAAATTAATGAAGATTATCATTATTTTATTTAGTTTTTTATGATTTATAACTTTATTATAAAACAATCAATTTGACAAAATATAAATATTGAGATTATTAATATGATTATAGAATCAAATGTGCCTTAAAAGATTATAGATTTATACAAACCTTACAAAAAATAGTTTGAAAGTGTTAAACATGTTCTACAAGGTCATACATTTTATTTAGATTAAAGATATATGCCTATTGATATAAGTGATTATTTGTTTATAAAATCAGTTGGTTAAGGTGCTTATGGTTGTGTAATACAAGCAATTGACAAATTAACAAATAAGCCAGTTGCAATAAAAAAGATAGAAAGAACATTCAATCATCGTTTGTTTGCAAAGAGAACTTTAAGGGAATTGAAAATATTAAGATTAATAAGGCATGATAATGTATAAAAGATAATTCTATAAAAAAGGTTGTAGACTTAAAATAAGTCTTATTACCTCCAAGTCGTGAAGAATTTGAAGATGTTTATATGGTGATGGATTTATTAGAAGCAGATTTATCATAAGTTATAAAAAGTGATTCTGTATTAAACGATGATCATATGCGACTATTTATTTATTAAGTGTTGAGAGGTTTAAAATATTTACATTCAGCTGGCATTTTACACAGAGATTTAGTGAGAATAATATTTATTTATTTTAGAAACCAAGAAATTTATTATTAAATAGAAGTTGTGATGTGAAGATATGCGATTTTGGTTTAGGTAGAGCAATAGCAGAAAAAATTTAAAATAATATAATGATGACATATTATGTTGAAACTAGATGGTATAGAGCTCCAGAATTATTAATTGGGTATCAGAATTACAATTCAGCTGGTAATTATATGATTCTTAAATTTCAGTGGATATATGGTCTGTTGGTTGTATATTAGCTGAAATGATCCTTAGAAGACCTTTTTTAAGAGGGGATTCTACTAAACATTAGATCAAAGTGATTTTTGAATTATTAGGAACTCCTAATGAACAATATATTCAATCTTTTCCAGATTTGAAAGTATAATAAAATTTAAGAAAAATCATTCAAGAATATGGTCATCAAAACGGTATAGGATTAAATTAAATTTTTGGACACATAAATTAAGATCGTATAATAACATTGTATACATATATAGTTCTGGATTTATTGAAAAGTCTATTAAAATTTGATCATCGAGATCGTTTAACAGCTTCTTAAGCTTTAAAACATTCCTATCTATAAGTTTTACATAGTGAAGAAGACGAAGTAAATGAGTAATCCATATTTTATTTTAGCCAATATCTTTCCCTGTAAATCCTTTGGAATTCGAATTTGAAAAATATGAATTGACTAAAGAATAATTGAAAGGTAGATAATTTCTATATTAACTATTTATAGATATGCTTTATGAAGAGATTTTACTTTATCATTTTTCAGAATTTAGAAATTAGTATTTCTAAAAACTATAAACTGGATAATCATTAATTAGCCATATAATTAATAATGATAATGCTCGAATAATTGATCCAAATGCTGATGATGATTTTGAATAATGACCAATGAATAAAATTTTTTTTGTAATATAATATACAATCATTCAGTATGATAATTTTAATTACAAATAAGGTACGCAATATATTTAATTAAAGGAATTTATGAATAATCAACAATAATTACCAAAAACTCTTTAAGAATTAGATATTGATACTAAAGAATTGAGTAAAAGAATTAAAGCTTTATAAAATTGGAAAGCTGTCCTTTCTATATTTTAATCAGAGATATTTACACCAGAGATATTAATACATTATTTTATGGCTACTTTCAATGAAGCAGGACCTCATTAATATTTAACAAATAGATTGTATCATATGCCTAAAAAATTCATTGAATATTACATTCCATAATTTGTGTAAAAAGATATGTATAAATTAGATATATGGTTGTCAAAAATGGGTCTTAAAGTATGGAAACATTTTTAGAATCTTTAAGTTCCTTAAGCATTTCAAATTATTTTAAGATACTTTGGTGTTTAATTGCCTATTCTTAAGACGAAAAAAAGAATAGTAAAACATATTCTAAATTGGAAGCCTTTTAAAGAGTAAATTTGTATTCAATTCTTTAAGCGATTGGAAAAACAGATGATAAATGGTGCTCTAACTGTCAATAATGAGTAAATTGAATAAAATAAAGATAATTAATTGTTTTAGGAGAGTATATTGTTTTTATTAATTTTAGAATTAATGAAACAATGCATTGAAAAAGAATTTAGATCTTATTACATGATATTTCATGATAGATTTATCATTCAAATGATTTAATTATCCTTGATTCTAAAATCAATTGAAACTTAAAACAGAAAAAATTTTCTGCTTAGTTAAATTTAAAAGGGTAATAGTGCAATAAATAGAATGATAAAGATGAATAAAGAATTAGCTTATTATAGAGGTATAATTATACCATTTGAAAGAGATCATGAAATGACTGAGGCATCTAATTTAGTATTTTTTACATTTAAAATTAAAAGATGGTACATATCTGTGAAGAAGGAGCAGCTTGTTTTAATACAAAAACTAGAGTTCCTTATAGAATTGTAATAGAAACCATAAGTATTAATGAATAACAAGAAAAGATTGATTCAATCATTTTAAGTGAAAATGATATTTTGAATGATACTGAGGATTTTATATAAATGGATGTACCTAACAATTTAGAAGAAAAAATGAAATAACTAACACATGAAAAATAGTAGGATATTGCTTTTAATTAATTAATAAAATATGATAGTTAGAGTTCTAGCTTTAAAGATTTTGATGATTTAAACAATTAAATTCTAAGTTTAAATCTTACTAAAAGAAGGAGTAGTTCTTGGTCAGATACTGAAAATTCATAAATATCTGAAGAACGTTAAGAAATAATAAGTCCTTAAAAAAGTAAAGATTTAGAAGACGGATTATCTTAAGTAAGTTCTGATTAATAATTGCCCACATTAAGTGTTAGTGTGATAGAATAAGATTTATAAATTTCTGATTTACTATAATCACCAAAATAATAGACTTAATCAGTAAGTTATATTCAGAATAAAACAAATTCTAAGTTGAATCCATGGGGAGAAGACTGGTAAGATAAATTTTAAAGAATAAAATAATAATCAATATTTAAGAATTTTGATTCATTAAGGATTAGAGTTATAATGGTTAAGGGAGGTGATGATTTAAGACAGGAATTATTGATTATGCAGGTTATTTAAAAAATGAATGAAATATTTAGATCTGCTCAATTGAATCTATATTTAAAACCTTATGAAATAATTGTTGTGTCTGAAAACTCTGGAATTTTAGGTAAATAGTATTGATTTATTTGATAGAATTTGTTTAGAATACAATATCAATGGATGGACTAAAGAAATATTTGGTTAAATAAAAATTAACTATGCTTTAATTTTATAAATAATATTTTGATTCTGAATTTTATTAAGCTTAAAAGAATTTTGTAGAAAGTTTAGCAGGATATTCTTTACTTTGTTATATTTTATAAATTAAGGATAGACATAACGGAAATATTTTAGTAGATAATTAAGGACATATAATTCATATTGATTTTGGATTTGCACTTTCAATTTCACCTGGAAATGCTGGATTTGAAAGTGCACCATTTAAAATGACAAAAGATTATTTAGAAATTATGGATAATAAAAATTCAAGCATGTTTGAATATTTTAGAAGATTAATGTTTAGTGGATTTATGGAAATTAGAAAATATTGCGCATCAATATTTTAAATTATTGAAATTATGATGGAAAAGAGTAATTTTAATTGTTTTCGATTTTTTGAATTTACAGAATTTAAATCACGTTTTTTGTTGAATAAAACAGAGTTAGAAGTATATAACAATTAAATAAATTTACTAGTGTCGATAAAAAATTGACAAATTGATTTAAATGAGCATTGAAGATTCTCATACTAAACTTTATGATTAATTCCAATATCTAACTAATGGGATATATCATTGAGAATTATTATATAATCGACAGTGATTAATTTGTATAAAAAACTAATATCATAACTATTTATGAATGTGATCATATATAAATCATTTATAATATATCTAAATGTATATCATTTAGTGGTGGTTTGTACTTTTATCATTAATCTTCATGGTGTAATCATAAAGTTGCTTAAATTCCTCTGGATAATAAGTAGATTGGTGGTTTATATTAAAAATGCCAAGAAGTAGTAGTGAGGATTGGTCAGGTAATTTATGATTTTGATATAAGGTTTGGAATACTTTTATTGTGATAGTGTAAATGATTGTAAGGAATTCCTATTACAAGAGGATAATTTGGATATGAGTGATTCTGCACTAATGAAAACAATTAAAACGATTGATTTTACAGATACAAACGTAGTTAGTATGTTATGGAGTGATTAACCTTAAAAAGATGTTACTTATTCTAATCATGCACATTCTAAGGGAATAATGAGTGCAAGATTAGGAGGTGATTAAAAAGCATTTATAATCGCTCATTCAACACCAAGATTTCCTAAATTAAATGATGAATATAAGTAAATATAAATATATAATTAGTATTGATGATAAAGTAAATAATAATTTTGTTAAAAATGGATAACATTTCTTATGTTTATCAACAACAACCAATGATATTAATGATTATTTAGCATATCAATATTATTTAGCAGAAATTTAGATTTATAAAGTTAGTGCTACACCTGGAAGAAATTTTAAGAATAATTATCAAAATCTTTTTTTATTATGGTCATCAAAAAAACCAGGGAGAGGAGAACCACATTACAATTATATCCGATTTGTAAAAAAAAATATTTAAATAAGATAGATGATTTTTATAGTAAAGTATCTTTTCTTACTAGAAGTTCATCAAATTTTTAAATTTATTCAAAAAATTAAAAATTTGAATAAGATTTCTATGCTGAAATTGTAGCTCCTGATCTAAAATAAGATCTAATTATGGAGACTTGGGTGAGAAAAAGAGCTGATAAAGGATTAGATAAACCAGAATGCACAAAATTATTTAAAACATCTTCTAATGAATAAGTACAATTTTAAGGAAAGAAAAATAATTAAGATATTACATTCACATATCTCTACACAAAAGATCATTCAAAATATGGAATAACCCTTCCTAAAGATTCTAAAGATTCCTCCTACATCTCAATAAATTATTCAAATCCTTCTTTAAAAGGATAAATATTTACAAATATTCACAATGTTAGAATAAAAGAAAATTAATATTAAAATGAAGATGATATTACTAATACTGATGATGAAGAAATTGTAGATAATAATACAGATGATGAATTTCTTAGGAGAAAAAGAAAAAGGGATTACTCTGAAGATGATATTCNTTATTGTGATAGTGTAAATGATTGTAAGGAATTCCTATTACAAGAGGATAATTTGGATATGAGTGATTCTGCACTAATGAAAACAATTAAAACGATTGATTTTACAGATACAAACGTAGTTAGTATGTTATGGAGTGATTAACCTTAAAAAGATGTTACTTATTCTAATCATGCACATTCTAAGGGAATAATGAGTGCAAGATTAGGAGGTGATTAAAAAGCATTTATAATCGCTCATTCAACACCAAGATTTCCTAAATTAAATGATGAATATAAGTAAATATAAATATATAATTAGTATTGATGATAAAGTAAATAATAATTTTGTTAAAAATGGATAACATTTCTTATGTTTATCAACAACAACCAATGATATTAATGATTATTTAGCATATCAATATTATTTAGCAGAAATTTAGATTTATAAAGTTAGTGCTACACCTGGAAGAAATTTTAAGAATAATTATCAAAATCTTTTTTTATTATGGTCATCAAAAAAACCAGGGAGAGGAGAACCACATTACAATTATATCCGATTTGTAAAAAAAAATATTTAAATAAGATAGATGATTTTTATAGTAAAGTATCTTTTCTTACTAGAAGTTCATCAAATTTTTAAATTTATTCAAAAAATTAAAAATTTGAATAAGATTTCTATGCTGAAATTGTAGCTCCTGATCTAAAATAAGATCTAATTATGGAGACTTGGGTGAGAAAAAGAGCTGATAAAGGATTAGATAAACCAGAATGCACAAAATTATTTAAAACATCTTCTAATGAATAAGTACAATTTTAAGGAAAGAAAAATAATTAAGATATTACATTCACATATCTCTACACAAAAGATCATTCAAAATATGGAATAACCCTTCCTAAAGATTCTAAAGATTCCTCCTACATCTCAATAAATTATTCAAATCCTTCTTTAAAAGGATAAATATTTACAAATATTCACAATGTTAGAATAAAAGAAAATTAATATTAAAATGAAGATGATATTACTAATACTGATGATGAAGAAATTGTAGATAATAATACAGATGATGAATTTCTTAGGAGAAAAAGAAAAAGGGATTACTCTGAAGATGATATTCCTTAACAAAGAAAAAGAAAAATCGAAAAAAAAGTTAAATATGTATGTGTCAGTGATTTGAATAGACAAGAATCATAATGGGAAAGAGGAGGACTTGTTTATTGCTTTTAGAATGATAATTTATGGAATCATATTAACAAAGCATTTATAGGGAAATAAATTTGTAAAGATTGAAAACCTACATTTTTATATCATTTGATAAATATATTATAACAGCTCTATTACTTTTTAATATAATAATGAAAAAATTATTTTTAATATAATTATATTTTCCAGTAAAATTTTCTTATAAAATTGATCTGACATACAAAATATAAATCATAAAACAGTGAAATTCAAAATTTTAAGAATATTGAAAGTATGTTTCAAGATATATATCAATAAAATTTATCATTTTATAACAATAAGTCTAAAAGATTTAATTTCTTTAGTTCTAGTTAATCATTATTAACTTATTCTTATTTTGTTTTATTCTTTAATTTGGTTAGGTAAATAGTCATTTTTGGTTAAATTCAACATGCCTTATTGTTGAAAAAATGATGAGACGAGAATTATTTTTTCTAGTTTTAGATACTAAATGTTCTTTCGTTAAATAATTAATTGTTGCAAAATAAAAAACAGTAAATCATATAGGGTAATATATAAACCTATATTAGTGATTTAAAGTATTAGAATTTAAATGGAAAAATAGGACTGTAAATTATTTTTACAAGTGTTATAAAATATATTTGAGTTTATGATTAACAAAGAGATGGATAACTATAGGAAAATGATAATGAAGCATTAAAAAAATAAAATAATTTATTTTTTAATATTGAATAAATATTTTTTTAAATTATGTTTTGCTGCTCTAATGCAAAAAAGAAATCAGCGCAACCTACACAACTTAAACTAAATCGGAGTTAGAATTCGTTAGTAATGAGTTTTAATATTCTAGGATCAAACTTTGAATATTAATGATGAAGCTTTCACATTTCATACTACTATGTAAATCTAGCATATTAATACATTCTAAACTTATAAGGTTACTTAAGACTTTTAAACTATAAGGTATAGTGTAGTTTTATAAATAGGAGTAGCAGATCAAATAGTAGAGGGACTAGAAATAATGATCATGTTGCATAAACAGTTCTTATTAAACCATTAAGAAAGACTCCTTTTCTCACTTTCAACAAAAAAGGAACTGATAATACAACCAAATACTTATCTACAAAATAAGGATATACACTTCTTGTTACTAGAACTTCTCAATGAATTTTATCAGAATTTTTCCAATATTTGTGATTTTATTATTTATGGAAGATAATAGATTATTATATCATTAAAACATACTGATTAATTCATTTTGCAATAAAATTTTTAATTCATCTCTTGATTTTTAAGTTAATTAATTGTCATTAGAAAATCGCTCTATTATTTTATTAAAATCCTCACTTTTTCCTAAATCAATCAAAAACTTTTTTCCAATATTCAATAACTTTTAGCTTTAAATGAACTATAATATTTTGAATTTCGAAAATATCAATCTATATTCTTTTTCTTTATCTTCAATATCAATTTAAATCTAACTTAAATGTATAAAAACATTTACCCATTTTTAATCTCTTTTTTCTTGATCCAAAATGAATTTTAATTTCTTGTTTATATATAAGATTATTCATTCATTAAAGTTTATAGGAAATAAATATTATCAACTTTTTCACTAGTTTTATTTAACCAAAAAGCTTCTAAAGTTTTCATATAGTATTAAAGATGTTTAATACAAATCATATATACTTTTTATAGGTTTTATTATGATAGATTTAATTACACTAATGATTACTTGATGGTTAATTCACTTGAATAATCGTAAATTGGAATAATAAAATGTTATTAATTATAGGTTAAACTTATATGTAATAAAGGTTATTAGTTAAATGTGAATGTGCCCTCCTATATCATTTAATTATTTGTTTATTCATTAATACTTCCTTAGTTTAATGAAATTATGTTATCGGCATCTGATTCTTTATTTTATAATTATTCTTCTAATTCATCATCAATATTTTAAGAAATGTTTTAGTTTGAATTTTCTTCATAACTGTATTCTGTTTTGATTTTGTTATCCTGATAATTAGGAACATTTAATTGATTTTAAAAGATTTTGTTTTATCTTAAAACTTTTTTTAACTTAGGTTTTTGTTGTTTTTGAATGGATGTATCATCAAAAGTAGTACATGCTACATATTTTAAGAGACTTTTCATGAAATGTAAATTTAGATAATTGAATAATAATTACGTTAATATATTATTAATCAAAATAGAATGGATAAATATAAAATAGGAAAAGTATTAGGAGATGGAACCTTTGGGTCAGTATATAAAGCAGTAGATGAAACAACTGGTTAAATTGTTGCTATTAAGAAAATGAAACATAAATATAATAAATGGGATGAATGTATAAATCTTCCTGAAATAAAATCACTTTTGAAATTACATCATCCAAACATTGTTAAATTATATGAAATAATAAAATAAAATGATGAATTGCATTTTGTGTTTGAATTTATGGAAAGAAATGTGTACCACTTAATGAAGGATAGATAAAAGCCTTTTAATGAGATCCATATTCGTAATATAATCTATTAAACCTTACAAGGATTGGCTTACATGTAAAACCTAATTAATTAAATAGGCATAAAATAGGTTACTTTCATAGAGATTTAAAACCAGAAAATTTGTTAGAATCTAATGGCACTATAAAGATAGCAGATTTTGGATTAGCAAGAGACATTAGATCATCTCCTCCATTTACAGATTACGTATCTACAAGATGGTATCGAGCTCCTGAAGTAATTTTGAGATCTAATGAATACAATTCTCCTATTGACATATTTGCTATAGGTTGTATAATGGCTGAGCTATACAGATTATGGCCTCTCTTTCCAGGTACTTGCGATACAGATCAATTATAAAAAATCTGTGAAATCATGGGAACTCCTTCAGAATAGGATTGGCCAGATGGTACATATATTATTTATTATTATCATCTAGGATATAAATTGGCTGCTAAAATATAACATCGATTTCCGAAAAATATTCAACCTAAACCTTTATCATAAGTTATTACATAAGCAAGTGATGATGCTCTTGATTTAATCTCTTAAATGCTACGATATAATCCTCTTAAAAGACCTAATGCAAGTTAGGCTTTAGCTCATCGTTACTTTATTGTTGCTCTTCCTATTCTTCCTTCTTTAGACAATATTGATTAATAATAGGATTAAGATTATACAAATTTTTAATAGGATGATTAATAATAAGATTAACGATTTGGACCTTAGAGTTAATAAAATATCTCCTTATTTTATATGAAAAATGCTAGATATAAACCTGGGTATACTTGTATATTAGACAATGCTGAAGATAATTGATTAATCAAAAAATGTTAAATTTATATTATTTAAAATAGTACTATTCTTAAATCAAAAATCTTAAATAATATTATCATTTTATTTAAAGAAGATTTTACTCATTTTTATTATTGCTCATATATTAAGCACTTTGATTTGAATTTAAACTTAATTTTTTAAAATTTGTTAAAAGTCAATATAAAAATAATGAAAGTTTGAAAATATTTGAATATTTAATTTAAAAATTAATTAAACATTCATATTATTTGAATCCTGATCGTTAAATTAAATATTTTTAAATAAAATTACTTCTAAATCAACTGAGAATCAAAAATTCTTTGATTTACTTATCTGTGTTTCTATTCAATTTCGCATTTAATTACTTAAACATACAAATCAATCAAAGGTACATACATACCTTTATTGAATAATTAAAATAAAAGAAATTTTTTCCGAATGCTCATATTTAATATGAATAATAAACATATTTTAATATAAAATTCATATTATAGTCTAACTCTAATTTTTCAATTAAAAATAAGCAGTTGATTTTGTAGTGCAAATGAAAGCACAAAAAACCATGCATAAATGTGAAACAAGAATGGTGGTCATAGTAATAACTCTATTTTTCCAATAGGGTACAACAAACATCTCTGTGATAAAGACTACAACAGGATAATGAATCTAATATAAGATTCCAATAATTGCAATTAAAACAATAAATTATTTTTATTTAACTTACTAATAAAGTCTGGTAATTCCATATGTATAAAGAAATGTTAATCCAACTTTTGAAAACATTAATAACCATCCTCCAATTCCATAAAAATTATGATATTTGTCTTCACTTCCATCAAAATATTTAATAATGATCATAATAATTGATTGATATATTACAACCATAGAAATAAAGGGAAAGAATTAAACAGTATTGAGTTCTTACTTTGTAATAGTCCATCCTTGTGATAAGGCTACAAATAGAAATGCAAATAATAATTGCGAAGCATTATTAGAAATGCTACCTAATAAATCAAATAAATAAATTCCAATTCCATTATAAGAATAGACAGTATAATGTAAGAGAAATGATACTTCTGCAATAATATCAATAAAGAGTACCCTCATGACATATTTAATAAATAAATCATCTTTTCCTTATTTTAAGCAATAAATGCCAATAAGTAAACTAGCAATGATTTGGATTCCATATAATTTTTAAATTCCATTATCTTCACAAGAAAAGTGTGATCCATTATTTAACGAAGTGATTTCTATTTCAATTTAGTATCCTTCAATCTTTGCTAATTCACCGTCACAATCTGAAGTGGCGATAATGTAAATTTTATCTCTATAATGAAGATTAATTCTCCTTTCTTTAAGATTGCTCCATTCACCATTTAAAGGTAATTTTTCTTTTTCTAAATAAGTACCTAAAGTTCTTTTATTGGTACATTTGGGTTCTCTTTTTTGCATAGGCCAATAATCATCAGTGAAAATATGGAATCTGAAATAAACAAAATCATCAGTTTATTGATCAAATGGTTAGGTTAATCTGATTCTAAATGAGAATGTGCCTTTTCCTAAATCAATTCCATATTTTTATAGGAAGTATATGTTATTTCTGACATCATTAACAGGAATTGTGAGTCTAGTAAATTTGGCAAGAGCAATAGTTAAATAAAATAAAATAAACATAAATAATTTTTGATTTAATACTATAAACTCATTTCAATATTTTTCTTAAAACATATTAAAGAATTCCTCCATGTTTATAATATTCAATTTCAACATCAGTATCTAATCTGAGTAGAGTGTTGAAATTGAAAATAGTATCATCTGATTTCTTAACAACAACTTCAACAATTTGATTAACCTATATATTTTAGAATATTATTGAATACTTTAATATTATCTTTATTGACATTCAATGTGAATAATTCATGTCCTGTAAGTCCTAAAGATTCAGCAGTTTATCCATTAGTAAATTCAAGTGGAAGAACTCCCATTCCAGCAAGATTACTTCTATGTATTCTTTCATAAGAAATAGCAATGACAGCTTTAACACCTTAAAGATAAGGTCCTTTAGCTGCCCAATCTCTAGATGAACCAGATCCATATTCAGCTCCTCCAATAATAATTGTTTATTGATTTGAATTTAAATACTTTTCTGCTGCATCATAAATAGCCATAACTTCATTAGTAGGAACATAAATAGTATTTGGACATTCTTTTCCTTATAACATTTTATTTTTAATTCTAACATTTGCAAATGTACCTCTAACCATAATTTCATCATTTCCTCTTCTTGCTCCATATGTATTAAAATCTTTCTAATGAACTCCTCTTTCCTTCAAATATCTACCAGCAGGACTATTAGCAGATATATTACCAGCTGGACTTATATGATCAGTAGTTATTGAATCACCAAATACAGCTAAACAATAAGCATTATTAACTGGATTTATTATTGGTAATTCTAAACTTAATCCTTAGAAATATGGAGGATGATGAATATAAGTAGATTATTCATCCCATTAATAAAGTTAATCTTTTGGTACTTATAATTCATTCCAATTTTTTGTTCCTTATTTTATTTATTGATAAGTATCAATAAACATTTATGGTTAAACTACTTGGTCTTCTAATTATTTTATTTCCTCTCTACTTGGCCATATATCTTTCAAAAAGATATTCTAACCATTAACAATTCCTATAGCTTCATTCTCAAAATCTATATCCATTCTACCTGCTAAAGCAAATGCTACAACTAAAGGTGGGGATGCCAAATAATTAGCTCTTGTTATCGGATGTACTCTTCCTTCAAAATTTCTATTTCCTGATAATACTGCTGCTACTACCAAATCATTATTTTAAACTGTTTCACTTACTCCTTAATCAATTGGTCCACTATTACCAATACAAGTCATACAACCATAACCTGTATTATGAAATCCTAATTAATCTAAAAACACATCTAATCCTGCTGCCTTATAATATTATGTAACACATTATGATCCTGGACTTAATGATGTTTTTATATATGGTCTAATACTTAATCCAACTTAAACTGCTTTCTTAGCTACTAAACCAGCTGCTAACATCACTCCTGGATTTGAAGTATTTGTGCATGATGTTATTGCTGCTATTACAACTGATCCATGATTTAAATTATATTTCTATCCTTAATATTCAAATTCAACATCCTAACTTGCTTTTACATTAAATCCCTTAAATGATACGGGTGCTGTCAAACCTTAACTAAATTCTTATTTCAATTAATTTAAAGTCACTCTATCTTATGGTCTCTTTGGACCGGCTACACATGCTTATATTGTTGATAAATCCAATTCCAAAGTATCACTAAATATTGTTTACCCTTCCTCATAAAATAAATTAGCTGCCTTTAAATATTATTTAATTAAATTGCACTTCTCAACACTTCTTCCTGTCTACTTTAAATAATCGATTGTTTTGCTATCAACTGGAAAGAAGCCCATTGTAGCACCATACTCTGGAGCCATATTAGAAACAGTTGCTCTATCAGCTAACGATAAAGTTGATACTCCTGGACCATAAAACTCAACAAATTTACCAACCACTTAAGATTTATATATTTTTTATACCTTTTTTCTTTCTCAGCATTTCTGTACAAGTTAAGACTAAATCTGTAGCAGAAATATGAGGACTCAATTATCCTGTTAATTTGAATCCTACAACTTGTGGAAGTACCATACTAGTACATTCTCCTAACATATTTGCTTCTGCTTCTATTCCACCTACTCCCCATCCTAATACTCCTAAACCATTAATCATTGTTGTATGAGAATCTGTTCCTACTACTGAATCTGGATATAATAAATTATCTTTCTCAAATACTACTCTGGCTAAATATTCCAAATTCACTTAATGAACTATTCCACTACCTGGTGGAACTATTTCAAAATTCTTGAAGGCTGAACTTCCCCATTTTAAAAATCTAAATCTCTCTAAATTTCTTTCAAATTCTGTCTATTCATTTTATTCACGTGCATTATTATTTCCATGAAAATCCACTTGTACAGAATGATCAATCACTAAATCTACTGGACATAGAGGATTAATCAATTAAGGATCTTTGCCCATTGCTTATGCTTATGATCTCATTGCAGCTAAATCAACTACCAATGGAACGCCTTTAATCATTTTCATTATTCATACCTGTAAAATCTTATAATATCACTCTTGCAGGTTTGAAAGCTACTTCTGTGTCTTTCTTAGATGTATCTTCCCAATTCAATATTCTTTCAACATCTTCCTTTTTCACATTAAATCCATCACAATTTCTGACTGCTTATTCTAACAAAATTCTTATTGAGTATGGCAATCTTTATACTTTCTCACCAAATAATTCAACCAAATTGTAATATTTGAATGTTTGTTCTTCTATTTTGAGCTCAGAAGTAGGATATGGATTATTTTACATTAATATTATTTAAGGTTATCAATTAAAATTTCTTTATTTATATTAAGATTCTTCGTTTCATATTATTAATTAATAATGTTATAATTACTAATAAAAGGCATTTTTATTGTCAATAAAAATTTTACATATGAGGGTCATATAAAAAACTTAAATTAGTTTAATTTATATCAATATTTTAAATCAATATTCTACGATGAGATGATATTTGTTTTCAAACTTTAATCAACAATTATCCAAAAGTTATGTTTTTTTTATGTTTTTTTCCTGCAGCAGCATTAATGATATTCCTTGAAGATGTCTTTTTAGCAATGCTATTTTTGGTTGACTATGTAGATGGAGAGATATTGGAAAGAGGTAAAATAGGAATTGTGTTTAAAAATGTAAATTGACTAACTGGTTTAATATCTAAAGGAAGTAATTTTTGTATGGGTCTTTTTCTCTTTTCATCTAACAGTTTGATAGATGGCAATGGAGAAAAACCAAGATTATAATTGCTAATCGGGGACAAATTGGCAGTTATAGCTTTTTAACTATACTCTATACAAATATAATTAAATTAAATTACCAGTAGACAAAATTTCTTTGATTCTGCTTTCTCCCAATTATTGTTTGTCTATCAAGCTTTAGAGACTACGTCTATTAAATTTTAGAATATTCTTATAAGCTTATTTTTAAGTGTTAATAGATATTTATTTTAAATTAGCTAGATTATCATCATAACTTTATTCATCTTCCTCATCATCTTCTTAATGTAATGTAGGTAATTTATTTTATAGATCTTTATTTTCATCATCAAGATTTTTGTCTTCATCTTCAAATTTATATAATCTTATATTAATTTAAAAATCATCATGAGAACCTTATTATTTTAAAACTTTAATTTTTCCATCTTCTATCATTTCTAATTTCATAATAGTTTAAGAATCAAAGGGTGCGGTAATGGGTAAGTAAAAGGTTTTCAATTTTTAGGAAAAGGTTTACATCTTTGCAGTCCTTTTATCTAAATAATTTTTTCTAGGTGAAAGTGAATTGTATCTATGCAATTATACAGAATGTCTTGAATTTTCTTTGGAATGATTCTATGAAGAATCACTAGAAAAGAGATTAGATTGAACAGGTATATTAGCTTAAGGATTGTAAAATACAGTATTATGATGTCTATTACTTCTTTTTTTTAGTTATGGGTCTTATTTTAACATAATTTCACCAATAGTTTTTTTTTTAATCAAATGTCTTTTATTTCTCATTTTGATTTATTTCTATTATTGTATTTTAATGTTTAAATCCTTGAATTTAGAGATGATATGTTAGTAAGGTTGAAAATTGGGTAATATAGAAGAGATGTAGAGCAATTTTTTATTTGCATAACCACATTCACTTGATTCGCATGACCTAGAAATGTGTAAAGTGAGTGGGGTATTGAATGTAAATAAATTAGTTGAGTTCTTGAATGAAGAAGCTTAGAATCGATTACGCATGTTAATAATTAATAAATTAAAATAGTAATTTATATATATATATATAAAGTTACTCTTTAATATGTATTTTGGGGTAATGATTATATTTAAAATTATTTATTTAAAATATGAGTTTAGCATTTGATGACTATGGCAGACCATACATTATATTAAGAGAGCAAGGGTCAAAGAAGAGGATGAAGGGTTTAGAAGCATATAAAAGCAATATATTGGCAGCAAAAGCAATTGCTAATACATTGTCTTCATCTCTTGGACCTAAGGGTATGGATAAAATGTTAGTGTCTCCAGATGGTGATGTATCAGTAACAAATGATGGTGCAACTATTGTAGAAAAAATGGTATGGATAGATTTAAAAATTAATTATAGGAAATCTAACATCCAACTGCAAAATTATTAGTGGAATTGTCATAATCATAAGATGCAGAGATTGGAGATGGTACAACAGGAGTAGTCGTATTGGCAGGTAAATTGTTAGAATAGGCTCTAACTTTGTTAGATAAAGGAATCCATCCATTGAAAATCAGTGATGGATTTGATAGAGCATGTGATGTGGCTATAAGTAATAATTTAATATTCTAGAAGTTAAGAACATTTAGAAAACATATCTGAAGAAATTGATATTTAAGCAAATGAACATGAGGCTTTGATTTAAGCAGCATGTACAGCTCTTGGATCAAAGGTTGTATCAAAAAGAAAGAGAGAACTTGGTAAGATAGCAGTAACAGCTGTGTTGGATGTTGCTGACTTAGGAAGAAAAGATGTGAATTTAGATTTAATTAAGATTCAAACTAAAACAGGAGGAAGTGTAGAAGATACTAGATTAATTTCAGGAATTCTGATAGATAAAGATATGAGTCATCCATAAATGGTTAAGGAAGTAAATGATGCAAAAATATGTTTATTAACTTGTCCATTTGAACCACCAAAACCAAAGACTAAACATAATATTAATATATCTAGTGCTGAAGATTATAAAAAGTTATATTTACAAGAATAATAATATTTTGTTGATATGGTAAAGCTAGTAAAAGATAGTGGTGCTAATATAGCATTATGTTAATGGGGTTTTGATGATGAAGCTAATCATTTATTATTATAAAATAATTTACCAGCAGTAAGATGGGTTTCAGGAACTGATGTAGAATTGATTGCTATGGCTACAGGAGCAAGAATTATTCCAAGATTTTAAGAAATAACACCTGAGAAATTAGGAAAAGCAGGTTCAGTAAAAGAAGTATAATTTGGAACATCAAATGAAAGAATGCTTGTTATAGAAAATTGTTAATGCACTAAAGCAGTTACTATTCTAATTAGAGGAGGAAGTTAAATGATAGTAGATGAAGCAAAAAGATCAATCCATGATGCTATATGTGTGATTAGAAACTTAATAAAAGATAATAGAATTGTCTATGGTGGAGGTTCTGCTGAATTAGCATGTGCTATTTAAGTTTTGTAATATGCTGATGAGGTTAATTTTATCATATATATTATAGGTTTCTTCAGTTGAATAATATGCTATTAGATCATTTGCTGATGCTCTAGAAGGTATTCCTAGTTGTTTAGCTGATAATTGTGGTCTTAACCCTATTACATCAGTTGCTTAAGCTAAGGCTAGATAATTATAAGAAAATAATCATAGAATTGGCATTGATTGCATGGAACTAGTATTATTTTTATATCTATTCTAGGGAACTACTGATATGAAAGAATAAAGAATTTATGAAACTTTGAGCTCTAAGAAACAATAAATTCAATTAGCTACTCAAGTTGTCAAAATGATATTGAAAATAGATGATGTTATTGCTCCTGATGATTATTGAGTATTTTAAGTATGATTATGTTCAAATATTTTATTTAATAGATGTTATAATATTTTTATATATATATTTTCATTTGACTCTAAAAATTAGAGCTTCTTTTGGAACTATTGCCTTATTTATTCTAAATTATGTTATATAAAAATATTCAGATGTCTCTTCATATCCAATTAAAACGCAATAATTTTTCAGAAATTTAAGTTCAATACTACATTGAAATCATTTTTATAATAATCTAAATTAAACTACAATTATACCCATTATTGAACCCATATCTGAAACTGTTCTCACTAAATTTAAACCAATTTCATTCAAAACAGAAACATGAATATCACCTCCTTCATTATATCCATTTTTATTGATTTAAAACTTCTGGATTCACAGGTTTATTATTTATTGTTCTACTGCTTAATTGTAAAATCATAGCTAAACTACTTACAAAACTACCAGATGAACAAATAGTTTTTGATCCAATCATTATTTTTTTATTCCATTTATGAGAGCAATACTAATAAGTTGTAATATTTTTTATTTCACTTGGCTTTATTATCTTTTCGCCTCCACATGTTGAAATTAAAATTAATATAATAACTTTGTGTTTTAATTAACTCATCTCAATTATCTTAAAATAATATATAATAATATTTCCCTATTTCTAAATAATAACTTTAATATATTTCAATATTTCTCATTTACTCCTATCATTCGAGCATGACGTTCAAATTGATCATCTAACAATAACACTGTTCTTGGAACTATCAGTACAAATCTTCTCACTTTAATCAATTCCTTAATCATTATCGATGGTAAGATACTAGAAAAATATATAATTAAAAGAACATTTAAAATTATATAACATATAGACAGAGCCTATAATTTATTTCATATTATACATTTGATATATTGATCTATTATTAGGTGATAGTCACCATACCATTCTTAAATACTCTACTCATATGTTAAAATGCTCTTATTACTATTAAGCCTCCCTCCATTTCTAAATATGCATATTCAATTCTCTTTGTAAAGTTAGTAATTGACTGTTCTTGTTATATTTAATTAAATATATATTTGATTGTGGGCAGCAAACCCAATTTCAAATTTCCATTAAAAGAAACATTACAATAATAATTCAAAAACCCAACTTACTCTTTCCCTAAAACATCACATACATTTTATGATTGAATGTCATTGAAATATTCATAAAATCCTTCTGATGAGTAATATAAGTCTGGATTAAAATTTAAACTCAATTTAAGAAATTCTTATATATCATTCAAACTATCTTTTATAGTCTCATAAAATAAAACGCTATCCTATTCTCTTATATAGGGGAATGTTGGAAATGATAATTTAAATTCTCTATTCCTAGGAAGAGACCCAGTACTTAATGACATATTTTACAAAAATTTATAAAGGTCGCATGAGTTTGGATATTTGTTCAAATATAATTAAACTTACTAATTACTAAAAAAACTAAATAAAAAAAACAATATCCAAACTCCTAATAGAATTATAACTGAAAAGGTTATTGGTAATTACTTAAATTATGGTAAGTATTTCGACTCCCTATACTTTTGCTATTCTTTCTCTATTATTCCTTTCTCGTAGATTATTTATTCTTCGAATTGTTCTACCTCAAAATTGTAATGATACAAACGATCTGGATTTTACTTTAATTGCTTAATTAAATTCTTAGTTTTATCAATCTCCCTTTAAACCTTGATATTTGAAAAATATCTAAATAAATTTAAGTATTTATCATGTAACTATCTATAAATTCTTACATAATATATGGCTAAAGCTATTGGTAAAAAACTAAAGATTAAAAAAATCATCCAAATTTCATTCCATTTATCCTTTATTGTAATACTTCTCTACTTCGAATAATCCCATGCTTCTTAAGCTAAACTTTCAAGAAGATTATGCAATTAGAATGCGTTTGCAAATTAAAATACTTAGTAAGTTTAATTTGCCGGACTTAGTCTGGCTTAAAATCTCAAAAGAAATTCATAATAATAAGTTAGAAAAGTGAAAAATACTTCTCTAACATTATAGGTTACTGGATAAGTGTTTAGACCAAATTCGTACATGTAATAAACAGTTACATTTTTATCATTATAAAATGGTTAAAGATATTGATTATTTAATTGTTCTGTGAATCCATTTTTGAATTCATCATACCCAACATGCATATTAGTATATAAAAGATCTGTTAAATTGTTAAATCTTTCCTTTGTTATTATCTTATTATTTAAAAATCCTGTGTATGTAAATATAGTAAATCTCATTTGAAAATAGAAATCATGAGGTACCATGACTCCAGAATGTAATTATATCATGTCAATTTCAGCTATAAATCTAGTTAAGTCCTATGAAACCAAATTAAGTACAACTATATAAAAAATAAGACTTATGATTAAACTAGACAGAATAAACAATAATATTTTATTCATAGATGCTGGAACCTATGAAAAGTTTTAATCATGTATGAGTTCATATTTCTTGTAAAATTAAGATTTCTGAATACCAGTTTACTTGGAAGTGAGAGAAGTATTTTTCTTAAATTATTCTTCATAAAAATCTTCTTTTTATTCATTCGGAAGAATATCTTGTTTTTATATTTATAAAATCGATTTTTACAGACTATAAGAATTATCACGAACACTTTAATTAAAATAATCTTGTTGCTAAGATTAAGGTTATTTTGAATAAGATATCTCATTCAATCCTATTTAACTGGAATTTGGACTTAATATATTTGGCTCAAAATCTTATTAAGGGATGTGTTGTATATACACAGCAGGTCTTTTAGATGTTAAAATTACTTCTTAAGATTATAATTATTATTCTATCGAATTTAATAGGATGGATTTGATCTTTAAATTATTTGCATGGTGAGCTTGTGCTTCCGATTCTGTTAATTTACTCAAAGAAAACATTTTCTCGATATCGTTTTATGATTTATTAATTTGAAATGATATCAGATTTTCTTAATTTAAAGAAATACAATCTCTTAATTCAATTATGTAATAGTTATAATCCAAAATATTTTTAGATTAAATATTTAGATCAACAAGGTATGAATTAATACATCTTGAGTCATTCCAAAGCCCAAAAATTGTTAGTTTATGATCAGATTGTTCTAAATATTAAAAAAATGCATCTTGATTTATAAATCTTAACTCTGTTTAAATGCTATTTTTTGATTATTTAATTATGGTTTAGAATTCAGGAAATATAAGATTAATATTCACCATTTTTAAATTAAAATCAGATATCTAGGAAATAAATGTACTGGAATATTTTAATTTTTCAAAAAATGATTCTGTAAATCCCCCTAATTGTTCATTAACATCAACAAATAAAAAAGATTAGTTGGACGAAGTATTCTGCAAAAAAATCGAGTATCTGAATAAAAAATACTCATCGAAATGAATGTCAAATAACATATCAAAACATTTAACAAAATTATTTTTTGATTTATAAAAGGATGGAAAATAAGATAAATAATACTTTGCTTATCCAGTCTAAATAAATTTACTTACTAAAATATTGTGTACATTCAAGATAAAATCTGGTATAATACGATTAATAGAAGTAAATTGTTTTTATTGTTCATTGCTGAATTCAAAAAATTTTTAAGTATTTTCAGAGCAATTCATCACTAATAAATCTCCTTAATCTTCTAATTGGACAGCATTTATATAAATAACATCTTTAGAGAATAAGGAAACTTATAAACTTTAATCAATATCAATTAATTATTATTCTGATATAGATGTTAAGTTCTTTATTCGATGGGCTTCTATAAAATTGTTTTATAATTCTGCCTAAAAATATATTAAGGTAGACTATATTTTGTGACTTGGATATTGATAATATCTTTAATTCAATTTTTATTCAATCTTATGCATTGAACCACTTATTTTTTTAGCAGAATCAAAAAGATGTTGGTGGTTCAATATTTTTTTATTAACAAACTAAGAGTAAAATTAAATTTTTTCTTACAATAATCGAATTATTGCTTACCTTAAATCGTTATTTCTTTTTTNTATCAGATTTTCTTAATTTAAAGAAATACAATCTCTTAATTCAATTATGTAATAGTTATAATCCAAAATATTTTTAGATTAAATATTTAGATCAACAAGGTATGAATTAATACATCTTGAGTCATTCCAAAGCCCAAAAATTGTTAGTTTATGATCAGATTGTTCTAAATATTAAAAAAATGCATCTTGATTTATAAATCTTAACTCTGTTTAAATGCTATTTTTTGATTATTTAATTATGGTTTAGAATTCAGGAAATATAAGATTAATATTCACCATTTTTAAATTAAAATCAGATATCTAGGAAATAAATGTACTGGAATATTTTAATTTTTCAAAAAATGATTCTGTAAATCCCCCTAATTGTTCATTAACATCAACAAATAAAAAAGATTAGTTGGACGAAGTATTCTGCAAAAAAATCGAGTATCTGAATAAAAAATACTCATCGAAATGAATGTCAAATAACATATCAAAACATTTAACAAAATTATTTTTTGATTTATAAAAGGATGGAAAATAAGATAAATAATACTTTGCTTATCCAGTCTAAATAAATTTACTTACTAAAATATTGTGTACATTCAAGATAAAATCTGGTATAATACGATTAATAGAAGTAAATTGTTTTTATTGTTCATTGCTGAATTCAAAAAATTTTTAAGTATTTTCAGAGCAATTCATCACTAATAAATCTCCTTAATCTTCTAATTGGACAGCATTTATATAAATAACATCTTTAGAGAATAAGGAAACTTATAAACTTTAATCAATATCAATTAATTATTATTCTGATATAGATGTTAAGTTCTTTATTCGATGGGCTTCTATAAAATTGTTTTATAATTCTGCCTAAAAATATATTAAGGTAGACTATATTTTGTGACTTGGATATTGATAATATCTTTAATTCAATTTTTATTCAATCTTATGCATTGAACCACTTATTTTTTTAGCAGAATCAAAAAGATGTTGGTGGTTCAATATTTTTTTATTAACAAACTAAGAGTAAAATTAAATTTTTTCTTACAATAATCGAATTATTGCTTACCTTAAATCGTTATTTCTTTTTTCATTTTTCAAAAACATCTCAACTCCTAATTAAATTTCCAAAAATTTGTATTTTCTATTATTAATCATCTAATACTATGATTTAATATCTGAACGAATTAACTATTTTAAGAAACTCATTTAGGCTTGCGCTATCATTGGAAGTTTCTCTTTTACTGATATCAATAATTTAGTCTTTTTCAAAGCTTTTTTTTAGATAATATTATTTAAATCTTCTGAATTTGATTTAGCTGATTTGCTTATAGATCTAACTGATACTTTAGTCTAGTAATTAAAAGTTTATAATCTTGAAAATTCGCTTTCCTTTTATTAAACCTCAGAGCTTAAGTTTAATTATTTAATTTTATTTTAGCTATTGGCTATCATAATTTATTTATAAGCCAAATTATAGAATTTTAATTAATAAAGTATCGATATATATTAAATATCAAAAGCCTTTTCCTCTGATATAAATTTACTTAAGATTGAAAGTTATTTACTATAAAATTTTAATTCAATTTCTTATTCTAAAGTTTCTAATAGATTTTCATTTATATTTCCATAACTATAACCTTAAAATTTATAATGTTAATAAATTAATGCATTTATTAAATACTACTAAGTTTTATTTAATTATTTGTTTATTATTTTACTCAAAAGGTATTTCAAAAAATCTTTCTTACTAGTTTTTATAAATTTTATCAGTTATTCCATTTCAAAAGCTTTGAATTCCTCATTTAAGATGAAATAGAATAATAACAATAAAATTATTGTTAAAACATTTACAAATATTTGATATTTGTCTAAAAGGTAGAGAATTAATGTATTGCATCCTAATACAAATCCAAAACTAGAAAAAAACAATAAAATTTTTTAATCAAAGGATCTACAAGTGTGAAATTCAAACACTCTTAAAATCTTTATAGAGGAAATTAAAATTAATAGGATAGATTGAACTATCAAAGCATTTTTGAGATTTCTTATCAAAGAGTAGCTTATAAACTATATTATATACAGCAGTTAAAGTACATAATCTATAAAAGATACATATATTTGAGTAAAAGAGGTCAACTTTAAGTCAAAGCTTTTTAGGCATATAGCCTGTAAAATTATCTATAAACAAACAGTTATTATAAAAGATAATGTAGCAAAAAATACATGAAGAATTTAATCATTCAACTCTTTATTAATTGTAACATGACTTATACTATTCACTATAAGAATAGTTAACGGAATATATAAATATTATTAAAATATTTATGTAAAGAAAGATGAAACACTCAAAAGTGAATGCAATAATGTGCTCTCATAAAATATATTTTTTTTTTTTATTGTTATCGTCAAAATATAAGGGAAAATAATGAATATAAAAAGCAAGCTTAAACTTAACAAATATTGCGACTCCTCTAAATTGAATTAAGCACAAAATGCAATATCAAATCTTGAAAGATAGGTAATAAAATATTAGTAATTGAACTATTAATACAATATCCTTAATTTATCATTAAATTAGGGTAATTGTAAGTAGGTGATATATTGAAATGTACCCAAGGTGAAAATGAAATATTGTAAATATTTTGGTACAAAGTAAAACTAGTGGATATACAATAAATTTTCAAATAAATGATGTTTCAGTTACTTTCTAGTTCTATGAAAAATATCCATATATTTCTCTCCTCTAAATTTAAAATTTTTTTATTAATTGAATTTTAAAAGACTTTTTCTAACACTCTTCAAGTTTTAATTGATGATAAGAGTCTTTTTTCATCAAAATCCTTTCTTAATACTTGAAGAAATGCAATGTCTAAGCTGTTTTAATGAAAAAAATTTAGTTAGATTCATAATTTTTGATTGAAAGCAAAAATGAAAACGAAAATAATTATTTTAGTATAATTTTAATTTTATTTACAAAAAGAGAATTAAAGCTAAAATCAGTCAAGATATTCATACATAACTTCTTACAAGGCCTGCATAATTTTTGATTTTATGATGTTAACATCTATATTTTGAATATTAGAAGATTTTGATCTAATTTTTTGAACATTTTAATTTTAAGAGATTTATTGATATTGCCGCAATTATGTTTTGTTAAATTATTACTATGATTTAATTTAGTGTTTTTGGCATATGACAATTTATTAGATTTTTTCTAATTGATTACTTAAAAGCCCGACTTTTCGAGTAGTATTATTTAATTATTATCTTTCTGTTTTTAATTGCTATTCTAATTACAAAACTTAGTTTCTATTATTTAGTCGGTTTGATATCTCCTACATTAACTTATTGTTTTACTACATTATAAATCTGATTTCACCAATTTCTGTTTTGAGTTTATTATTGTTTTAATCAGATTATTATTTTTACTTCATCTAAAATAAAAATAAATAATAATATATATTTATATGAATATAATTTCATAATTATTATTGCTGTTATAATTATAATTAAGCTTCCTATTGTAAATCTTCATGCTCATTATAACTGGATTCCTATTGACCACCTTATTATTCTTAATCATCTTCTCTAATATTAACACTATTATTTTATGGATTGGAGCGTATCGTTTATCCCATTACTTGTTATTACTACTAATGATTAACAGTTTTTTCAATTTTTTTTTTATTATTTTATTTGTATGTTGCCTCAACTTCTACTAATTTTCTTTTGTTTTGATTTCTACTTTATAATTCTTTCTATTATCTTTTATTAGTATCTTTTGCTCTTTATTGATTAATCTATTCTTAAGCATTTCCTAAAACATTCTTTAAGTTTCCAATCTAAAATCAATACAATTTATTTTTACTAATTAATGATCAGGTGGTAAATGAAATTCACCAAATCTAACAGCCTTTTAATATGTTTAAATAGCCTCATCAAATCTCTTTAAATATTCAAATTCAACTCCTAAATTATGATAAGCAATTGCTAAGACAGCTACTCTATCTTTCATTTTTTATTCACCAGATTTTTAATCTTAATTTTAACTTTGTTCCATTTTTTAATCAGGTGGTTTCATTAAAAATTCATCTTAAAGTAATACTACTGATATTAATGCATGTTCCAATGCTTCAGCGTGCTATTATATAACATTCCTTACTCTATTTAATTAAGATAATACAGCACACATATTTAAATGAGTATCAGCCAAAGATGGGGCTGTTTCTTATCGAATTTCTATTTCCAATGCTTATTGTAAATATTATAAAGCACTTCTTAATTTCCCATTCCTTCTGTAAAAACAAGCTAAATTATTGTATGTGATTGCTCTAATAAAAAGAATTATATAACACATCAATACTTATATCTAGTACTAGATTGTGCTAACATATCTGCCTTCTTTAAAAATTCTAATGATGCATCAAATTTTTCTTTTTATAAGAAAATCATAGCGATTAAGTTACATAATTCACACAATTTATCACTTGTTTTAAAATATTCTTCAGAGTCCTCTCCATAAGCTGATTTTTTTATCATCAGCATTTCCTCAAAGACATTCAATGCTTCTAAATATTTATTTTATTGCTAAAATTGTTAAGCTTGTTAGTCTAATTGTAAAAGTCTTTCTCTTATGCTATCCATATTATAATAAAAATTATAAATAAATAATTCACTCAAAAATCTTTGAAAAAAGAATCATTTATATATAATATAAATTTAGGGCATTACAATGTTCAACAACCTCTAATTTAAACTATTTTTTAATTATAATTTGAATTACTTTTTTTATCAATTATTTATTACAGCGCATTCATTGATAAAATATCTAAAATTATTGAAATTAATGCACTATCCAACAAATAATCGATAAAAATTATTCTATATGAAGAATTTTGATATTAAACTTAAAAGCAACTAAAAAAATACAAATAAATGGAATTAAATCTCCATAAAAATAAAATTATTCTACATGGTTTTCATTTTTTAATTTCAAAATAGTAAAATAAAAATTTACACACATTATAAAAAATATTAATCAAAAGCAAAAATAATAAGTTAAAGAATTTAACCGAGCCAAAATAATTGACAAACATATTTATCCTAAATATTCTAAAATAAAATTAAATTTGTTTCAAGAATAAATTTTAATATCTTATTAATCATATGAATCATTTTAATTCTTAAGCCAATACTCTCTATTTAAGAATCTTTCAAAAGAATCATCTCCTAAAATATAAGAAAATACTCAAGTATGAATATATTAATATTAGGAAAGTGAATAGGTTTTCTATTGTCATAAAAAAATTATAATTTTTTTTTTAAATTTATTCATCTCAAATTCTAAAAAGAATCTTACTTGATCAGAACTGAATTTGATCCTATTTTTACTAGGTTTTACAACGATTTTTAATTATCAAATAATTTAAAATCTTAAATATTTATTTTTTATGCTTTATCTAGTAATTCATTGGCTATATTTAAATCAAAACGCTGTTTAATAAAAAAACATCTTAATCCTAACAAATGCTTGCTATAAAAATACATTAACCACTTCTAACTTTTATATCATAAATAAATAATCTACTGAGCCTTTATTTTTATTATTTAGTTTAGTTTTTATTTAGCCACTAAATTCTAAAAAACAAATTAAATGATAAATCAAACAATTATTAAACTTCTTTGTGTAATTTTAAGTTATTAATTTTTTTAGTTGATTTTTAAATTTTATTTAAAGTTCCATAATTTTACATCAATAATTTGAAAAACTAAAATTAATTGGAATATTTCTTTCTTTTCCTATTAACTAATAAGTAAAGATTGTGTTTCTGGCTTAAAAAAACAAGTCCTAATGTCTTAGATGCTCGAGTATATAAAGCAATGATCTCAAAATTGTATTAAATCATAATGAATAATAGAATTCATTAATAGGAGCCAGATGGTTTAAAATTAGATAAAATAAGATGGCGATAATTTCTATTTTATAATTTTAAGTTTTTTATTTTTAATATACAAATAATTTGTTCTGTAATTAATTTAACTCTTACGGCTTCTAAATTTCAGGGCTTTTTTAATAATATCTAAATAATTTATCCATAATCTAATTATGTTTAAAATTTTATTCATTTTGATCGTAGTTTAAATTCTAATTAATTTGAATCATCAAATTATCTTATAGAAAAATCTCGATAAAATAAATTAATAGAAAAAATTATAAATAAAATGAAGAAATCTACTTTTTTATNTATGAATCATTTTAATTCTTAAGCCAATACTCTCTATTTAAGAATCTTTCAAAAGAATCATCTCCTAAAATATAAGAAAATACTCAAGTATGAATATATTAATATTAGGAAAGTGAATAGGTTTTCTATTGTCATAAAAAAATTATAATTTTTTTTTTAAATTTATTCATCTCAAATTCTAAAAAGAATCTTACTTGATCAGAACTGAATTTGATCCTATTTTTACTAGGTTTTACAACGATTTTTAATTATCAAATAATTTAAAATCTTAAATATTTATTTTTTATGCTTTATCTAGTAATTCATTGGCTATATTTAAATCAAAACGCTGTTTAATAAAAAAACATCTTAATCCTAACAAATGCTTGCTATAAAAATACATTAACCACTTCTAACTTTTATATCATAAATAAATAATCTACTGAGCCTTTATTTTTATTATTTAGTTTAGTTTTTATTTAGCCACTAAATTCTAAAAAACAAATTAAATGATAAATCAAACAATTATTAAACTTCTTTGTGTAATTTTAAGTTATTAATTTTTTTAGTTGATTTTTAAATTTTATTTAAAGTTCCATAATTTTACATCAATAATTTGAAAAACTAAAATTAATTGGAATATTTCTTTCTTTTCCTATTAACTAATAAGTAAAGATTGTGTTTCTGGCTTAAAAAAACAAGTCCTAATGTCTTAGATGCTCGAGTATATAAAGCAATGATCTCAAAATTGTATTAAATCATAATGAATAATAGAATTCATTAATAGGAGCCAGATGGTTTAAAATTAGATAAAATAAGATGGCGATAATTTCTATTTTATAATTTTAAGTTTTTTATTTTTAATATACAAATAATTTGTTCTGTAATTAATTTAACTCTTACGGCTTCTAAATTTCAGGGCTTTTTTAATAATATCTAAATAATTTATCCATAATCTAATTATGTTTAAAATTTTATTCATTTTGATCGTAGTTTAAATTCTAATTAATTTGAATCATCAAATTATCTTATAGAAAAATCTCGATAAAATAAATTAATAGAAAAAATTATAAATAAAATGAAGAAATCTACTTTTTTATTTATTAATAGTGAAATATTTAAGTTGCAAAAACTAAACAGTTTATAAATAAGAATCATTTTAATTCTTAAGTTAGGGCTAACTATTTAAGAAATCTTTCAAAAGTCTCATCTCCCAAAACAATCTATTGAGGAATCATATATACTATTCTTCTCAATAATGCATACTCCTTTACTAATAGATTCTTGATTACAAAAACAATAATCAATAAGAAAAGAGTTAAATATAAAATAAATATAATAGAAACTATGAGAGTAAATTAGTTTTGTTCTGTAGTGATTTATTTCATTCCGATCTAAAATTCATCAGAAATTTTAAAAAATGATCTCAAAACTATTTATGATCCTTCCATCTCGTAAAGATTTACTTCTGCTCTTTTTGTAAAATTATTGACAGCTTGTTGATTTTTAATTTGATTTGACATAAAATTCAGAACTGAAATAGAGCCTGTTTTCAATAGACCATCTAATGATTTTTCACAATATAAAGACATAAAATCTAAATAAATCTACATATATTAAAAAATTATTTTACTTAGTCAATAAATTAGCATAGATCATTTGTCTATTAATATTAAAAAAAGGAAATAAAGTCATCGGATAATAAATATTTAGTTCTTTAAAAGGAACTTACAAAATCTAAATATTCTTAAATGTTTAATTATGCTTTAACTATTAATTAGTATGCTCTATGTAAATCAAAAGAAGTTAAATATTTTAAGTTCTACCATCTTAGCAAATGCTCTCTATACATATACATTGAACCACTTCTAAATTTTAAATTTTATATCATAAAATAAAAATCTGCAGTATCATCATATTTATTAATATATTCATTAGTTTTAATTTAAGTAACTATTATATATACTTAAAAAATGCAAGCGACAATTATTAAGAATATAAAAATGTTTCTTCTTGTAATTTTGATTGATTAAATATTTTCAACAGATTTCTTACTATTTTAAATCTTATTTACAGTAACATAATTTTACATTAACTATTCAAAACGTGAAAGATCAAATTAGTAAGAGTAAATGGATTCCTAATTGATCACAATTTATTTTTATAGTTAACTTAGCTTTTCTATTTCCAATTAGACTTTTTATTTATCAACAAAATTTAATAAGTACAAAAATCTATCATATAATTTATAATATTGATGAAGTTCAAACATCAGGGAAATAGTAATGAAAATAACAATTAAAGCAAAAATAATACAAATGATTTACCATTTGATTCCAATGTTTCTACTTCTATTTTTAGAAAATGATAAAATATCATTTGTGATAATTTCTAGTTTATCTTGAATATTATAATAGTTTGAAAATAGAAATACTTGATAAGGTTAACCAGCAGTACTTTACCTTTTTTAAAATGTTTTCATCTATGCAAATTAGTATTGCAAAATTATCAATAAGCATTCTCTAAATGATTTAGATTCCATCGCGTAATTTTCTGTATCATTATTTTTCATAAATAATAATGTGATTTGCTCTTCGTCTAAAAACATTTTAAGATAATCGTTATTCAATTACTTATAAAAACTATCCCTCAATTCATAGTATCCATATTAAATATTTAAATAATAAGGTTCAGTTAAATTGGTTACTAAATTAGAAGGAATGAAACCATCTTTTGACATTTGTTAATATGAAGTGATTGTGTTTCTCATAGAAAAAAATAAATCATGAGGTCCTTGTATACTTGCATGTAAAGCAATAATCTCTATGTCTGATATAAACTAATAAATATCATTATGAAGAATTGATATAACTAAAGATAAACTTATAGTTTAAGTCATTATAAATATAATAAAAGTAGCAAGTGCAATTTTTAAAATCTTTGGAGTTTTAGTTTTTGTTAAGTTCCTCAATAATTCATATTTTCTAATGACTTCACTATTTCTTCCTAATTCTGTCGACCTTAAAGAATTTTTTAATAAATTTTCAATTAATTTTTAATCCCCTTTAATATTGAAGTCTTCATTATCTATACTATTATGTACTTTATTTTATTTTTAATATGTGTTCACAGTATAGTAATCTTATTATGATTATGATTATTAATTTAATTATTTATTTTGTTGTTTATCAATTAATTGACTTGTACTTTTATTTGGTGATAACATTAATTACAGCTAATCTAGCTTTAAATAAGCTTCTTCTTATTCAACTTCTTAAACTGCAAATAAATTGATTATTTGGCTTGACTTTTGTAAATTTTGTGAATAACATTCCCGATTCTTTATAGTAAATTAGTTAATTAATCTAGGCATAGCTTCTTCTATTGATAAATTTAACTAACTGATTTCAAAACTTTATGATTATTCAGTATTTCTTTGATATTCACTAACTTTTTCTTAACTTTTATAATTTATCATACATTTTTAAGCTTAAACTAAAGAATCCATTTATATTATATAATAATAGTAGCCATAGATTTCATGGGCTTGAATGGTAATACTTGATTAATACGTTTTTAAATGGTTATCCCACATTCTGACCAAAAATTATGCTTATTTATCAGTTGAATCTAAATTTTCATTTTCAATTTACAATTCATTAAAAAATAACTATAAATCAATAAAGAATGTATCAACGTTACTGTACTTAAAAATTTATTATTAATTCTCCTTTTAGATTAAATCATTAAAATTAGGAAAAATTTATGCTATTTTAATTTTATAAAAAAGAGAAAAATCAGAGATATTATCTATGCAAGTTTGAGTATAACCTAATGTAGAAAAAAATGACTTAGTTATTCCTCCAACAGTTTGGTTTACATCTACCATGATATATGGGTTTTATATTTCAATTTCTTATAATATTCCGATAAGTACAACTTTTTCATATTCTATTTAAACAACATTATCAAAACTAAAAATTATAGGTTTTGCTAAATTTTTTTTAGTTTTCACAAAAGTTTAATTGAATTATTTGTAAAATTTCGATTAACCAAATTTGAAAAATCTTGATATTAATAAAGGATGTTCTCTTGATATAAAAGGTAAAAACAAAGAATTAAAGCTTATTTCATCATTTGAACTAAATTCAATCAGTTATCTTAAATTTGATGAAAAACTTAGGATTTCTGCTCCTTATAATTCATCATCTATCTCTACAATTATATAACTTATTAAATTAGAATAAAATTTAACATTATAATTTTAATTTGTTATTGATAATTGTTCATCTGAAAGGGATGCTTAATTGTGAAATTTAAATGCTTCTAAAATATTTCTAAATATTTCTGCCTCATAAAAAATTTATAATGATAATAATCTTTTGCTTTGATAATTTTCATATTCATTTTATAAAACATTTTTAAAATTTATTAATTCATTAGTTATTAAAATTAGAGACTTCATGAATTATGATATTTTTTTATCTTTAATTTATTAATTTAGATTTTCAAAATATTTAATTTTAAGTTTTAAGATTTTTCTTATTTCATTTATATATTAATCCATTTTGTTTTCTTATTGAATAAAAATTTAAATTTATTCTGATAGATCATGTTATTCAGCCGTAAGCTAATGACCACCAAACAAATATTTCAATTTTTGCTTTGTCTCATTTAAATAAAACAAAATGTTTTAAATTTAAATAAAATCAAACTTAACTATTTAAGTTATAGTATTTTTTTAAATTCGCTTTTGATCACTTATTTAAACTTCTTAGAATTTTTTTTCTGCATCATTAATAGTTTAGGATGATGAATCATTCTTTTGAGTTACAGAAAAAGAGTTTGGTTTAAAAATTGTTTAGTTGATACTTTATTATGAACTCCTCTAATTTTTTCTCCCATATAAAAGCTAATTATAATGTCTAATAGATTATATTGACCAACCATTATTTCCTAGCAAAGCTCCATATAATATTGAATAATATTATAAATCATCTAAATTATCAAATTTGCAATTTATAATATATTTTCTAATTTATTTTAATTTTTTTTGGACAAAATCCTTATCTATTTCAGATGTAATTACTGCTGTATCTTTAGGGTCAATTAAAAGTTTATTTTAATGACAATAACATTAAATATCATTACATTTCCTTTTATGATGATTGTAAATGAACAATTTAAAAATAGTGGGGAAAGTGTATTTATTCTATTTTTTGATAAGTAGTAATGAAATAGCAAATAATTGTATTTTTGTTTTATCAAATGCTTAATGAAACAAAACATAATTTAAATATTAATCTACTTTCATCAATATCTTTAGTAATATAGGAAATGAAAAGACTGTATAAATCAATATTTGAAATTTTTGTTTTTAGACAATTAATTAGATAAGCGAATAAAAAACATAGATTATACTAAAAGAATCAGAAAAGTATATTATAATCTTTTTATTGTTTTCGATAACTGTTTGATTTTCTTATAAATTAATTGTATTCAATGAAATACTTAATAAAACAAGCAAATGAATTATCCAAGATATCATTTAGGAAGTTTGCACAACTGAAAATAATATAATAACAATTAAGTTTAAAAATTAAATAATGTATTCTTTTACTGTAATTCTTATTCTATCAAAACATATAATCTTACCACCTATTGATTATTCACTTATTTATAAATGATATAATGCTTCTAATTATAAAATTACAAAACATAAAATTCCAAATAATAAATGAATATAATTAAGATTGTTTATCTCTTTCTTTGAATATTAATAAGAAATAAATAAGCAACTCAAGGACGAAAATTAAATGTGAAAAAAAGTGTAAAACAGTTGCCCATACAATCCAATAGATTTGACTAAATACATAATAAGTTTTGTTTTTTATAATTTTTCGTCAAAAGAAATCAATAAGCAAGATAAATATTTTATAATTACAATGCTTAAAATGAAGTAGTTTGCAAAACTGTAAATACTTTCAAATTTCGATATAAAAATATCTACTCTAAATACTATAAGCAGGATGTAGTGATAAATATTTAAATTATTTGTTTACTGCCATTCAAAATCTAGGTATAATAAAAAGAATATCAACTAAAATTTGCAAATAAATAGTAATATCAATTAAAATTACTAATTTATTCTTACACTTCTCTAAGAGTGCATAGTAACTTAAATCATTTTTTTAAATATTTCCGCGACTGAGATTCCTTTAGTGCTTTTTTTGTTATTTGACTTTCGCATTTTGTGATTAATCTTTTTAATAATAATTTAAAATTGTTATACTATATATATGAATATTAGTTATGCATAGCATTATTAAAAACTAAAATTTTCTTTTAATTATTATTTATATTTTACATATACAATAATAAGTCATCGTTTTAGTGGAATATTATTTTTCTACTTAATAATGTTGACATTAATATTTTCATCGTTATTTTTAATATAAGGGTTTGATTTTCTAACTAAAGGACTTGGATTTTAATTTTATTTTTAATCTACACTTTTTCGGTTTGAACATGGACTTTAAGCTCTCATAGCAGAAACAGGTCTTCCTTTAGGCCTATGATATTAGGGATCATTTATCATTTTAACAGGTTGCTGTAGCTATTGTTATTGCTTAACTGGTGCTAAGGGAATTTTCTATTGAAAATATTGAATAAAAATTACAGGTCTTGGTATGTTTTAATTAGAAATAACATTAGGTTATTTTTTTTAACACTAAGGAGTTTGACTTTTTGGCCTTTCAGTATATTTTTATTCATTAACTGATACTGATCTGGTAGATTTCGGTTGGTTGGGTAATTATTGAATGGGTTAGTCAATATCATACATAGGTTTAGGTAATTTTTATTATAACTATTTTAAATTTTTAGGCAATAAAATTGTTTATAATAATTGCGCTTTTGCTAATTTTTATTATTATGGAGATTATGGTTCGAGTTCATCAATATATTTTCTAATAGTTGAATCATTCAAGATTTATTCACAAGTAGGTCTTAATTATGGAGGTACTTTTAAAAGAGAAGCAATCATGAAATTCAATTCTTAAGAATATTATTTAGGTATTTTTTCATAAATACCAGCTGATATCTTTCTAAACAAACTTTTAAGATCTGTTGCTCTAAAAGGTGGTTTAAGAGTTGCCATTTCATAAATAACACATCCTAATGACCAAACATCTGAAGGATTTGAATATGGTTAATCTCTCCATACTTCTGGACTAGCATAATCTTATATAATTGAAATACAATACATGGAGTTCCTGTTTGTGTTTTTGCCATAGCACCATGTGATACTTTACTTACATTCATATCTCCTAATTTATAGATACCATTTGATGATGATTTAAAAACATTGGCACTTTTTAAATCTCTATGTAAGATTCCAGCTTTATGCAATACTTTTAAACCTCTTGTCATATGTATTAAGGCTTTCCATATTTCTTTTTCTTCAATTAGGGTGTGTTTGCGAATTGAATTTTATATCAATTTAGCAATATCTCCTCCAGAAGCATATTCCATTATGACACATAAACAATTTGATTGTTCATCAAAAAAGGCTTCCTTATATCCTATAATGTTCTAATCCTAAATTGATGCCAAAATTCTTATTTCGTTCAATGCATTTTCCCTCTCTCTTAATTTTAGATTACCCATCCGAACTTTTTTCATGGCATATTCTTAATTATCGCTGTTTCGTTTAACCAATATATATATATGTTATAAATACTTTGTAAACCTATCCAAAAGACCCTTCACCTAATTTTTATAAAATAGTAAAATCTGTTAAAGTTGTTTATTTTTACATAATTTAAATAATAATATATATGAATTAAATTATATTGTTAAAAAATAAAAAACTCTAATGCTAGATAATATTCTGATGGCAATTGGATGGGCTGGATCATAACAGATTATTGTTATATCACTATTGAGATATCTGATTTTGGTTAATTGTAGAGCACTTTATTTATCCTAATTTTTAATTCGATTAGCTTCCATTGTACTATTTCTGATAATAATCCTAATGTAAATTTGTATTTATTCCTAGTAAAATATGCCGTCTGAAGCACCCACATTTAAATACTCCACATTAATTGGGGAGACCTTTTAGATTTTCATTTTTTTTGGTTTTCTTTTGTAGTATGTTGGAATTTGTATCAATAGCAATGGCTATTCATTCTGTAAATTCTATTATCTAATAATTAGCTGGAATATTATACTATTGTACATTTTGTAGCACTATTTACTATATTTTAATCCTTTTTTAGAAGTTGGATCAATAATGTTACACCAATCACTGTATTGGCATCTTATTTATTAATGGGGTTAGGCTATCTCCTAGAAGATTGGATTTTCATAGTACATGGATCTTCATTTGAAAAAAGATTCTTAGGGATTAATCATTCTTTTTAATGGAAACCTTTAATCATGGTAATAGCAGCAGCAGCCAGTAGAACTCTTGGTATTCAAATTTTCAAGAAGATTCAATTTTAATAGTTATTTGAAAATAAAGGCTTTGTGGATAAGATTTCATGGGCTAATTATATAAATGATGAACCAGAAAAGATTCAAAATAGTTTAGCAGCTATAAATGCTTTATTTAGTCGATATTTAGAAGCACAATTAATTATACATTGCGAATAAAATTCAATTCCTATTCATTAGTTAAAGAGTGATGCTATCTTAGAACTCTTAAATAGTTATTTTGATAATCATTTATCATATAGTTATCAATATATGGAATAATTTCATATATTCAATTTCAATAAAGAAGCCGTAGATGATATGGACACTTATTATGAAAAAGAATCTTTATTAAGAAAAATGATTAAACAGAGAATATATAATATTTAATTACAACACCAATAATATAAAGAACTATTTGGACTTGATAAATATTAAAATCTTTCATTTGAAGTTATTTATCAAGATTATGGAATTCATGAATACATTTGGGATGAAGAAACTCCACTTATTACTTTGAGTATGCAATTTTTTTAGGGTCTTTTTTGTCTTATTGCGGCATATTTTCATCAGGAATAAATTGATGATTATTTTAAATAAGGATATAATATAGGGTTTACTCTAAGTTAATTAGAATATTATGTATGGATCTCTGTTTTTTTGGGAGTTTTACAATTAGGAAAAATTGTGTAACTTATTTAAATAAAACTCTTAGATCTTATAAATTAATAATATTATGGGAGGTTTAAACATACTTTTTTAGTGGTATATTCTTAGAACTTGCTTTTATTTATTTAACTATGATATGGATTGAAAGTATCACTTTTATTAAAGTACTTGGTCTAATCATTTCGTATGTAGTAATGTCAATTAGCTATAGATCTGCTGAAAAAGTAAGAGATTAAAGTATTCTTTTTATTATTTAAATAGAAAACAAACTATTTTATTTAAATTTTGTAATCTTCTTAGTTAAAACATAAAAATTTACCAACAGAGAAGGCAGTCACATTATATAATTAATGGCTTAATGTTGTGAACATTTAAATTTGAATGAATTCTTAAAAGTATTATCATAAATGTTATGTATTCATGGAATAGTAAGTTGTGATCAATTAAGACATTTGAAATTTAGTCATTTTGGAGAGAGTCCTCTTTTTAAATTTTAAATTCCTTTCATTTTCCAATCTTAATTACGTTATGAAAATAATATAGAAAATGATACTTTGATTTAAGAAGAAGGTGAAATCGAATAAATGTAAAAATCTTAATTTACTCGTTATGTAATTGAAAGCAAATATTAAGAAAATAAATCAGAAATAAAATAGTCAAAAATAGTTGGTAATTCTAGAATTTAAGTTAAATCTGAAATTTAGCCTTAGTATTCTAAAATTGTTTCTGATAGAAAATTATCTGCATCTGCAGTTAAATCTAAAAGATAATCAATATTAAATTGAAATTTAATTTATAAGTAATACATATTTTAGGAAATTTATTTTGACTACTTAAATGTATAGGAAGAAAATTAATTAAAAATATATCAATAAAATCATAATTTATCTTAAGCATATTACTCAATCAATTATGTAAAAATTTATTTTATTCCTTCTCCTGTTTTTGCAGAAGTTTCCTTAAAAATCATTCCGTGAGTTTTGGCAAAATTAGAAGCCTTTTACTTTGGTATTTTTCTTTCAGACTCTAAACAGTCACATTTATTTCCTACTAATGCTAATACCATTTCTATAAATATTTATAATAACGACCATTATTCTATATTTTTTCGTCCAATTCTTTAAGCCATCCTTAAACAGAATTAAAAGTTTCTGTTGAAGTTATATCATAAACAATAATTGCTGCATTTGCATCTCTATAATATAAGGATAAAAGAGATTTATATTTTTCTTCTCCTGCTGTATCCCAAAGATGTATTTTTAATTATTATCCTAGAAAATTATAAGACTTGAAATATTCTTACCTTTAACAACCATATCAATACTATTATAAGCCGCTACAACAGTTAATTCATATTGAGATTAATACTATTTCAATAGAAATCATCTTCTTACTTAACTTGTACAAAAACGAGAAGCTATAGAACTTTTACCTACAAAGCAATCTCCAAGCAGAACAACTTTTATATCTTTTTTTTATCCCTGCTAATTTGATCTTATTTGTAGAGGTTATTTTTAAGGGCTTTTCTTTTATTTATCTAGACAACACATAAAACTAGTCTTTAAATATTATAAATTTTATTGGGTTTCATGTATCTCAGAAATATAATTTAGATAGTAAGTTTAAAATGAAAAAAAAATTATCATTAAACAATTGAGGCTTCTTCATTTATTTTTAGTAGTTCATCTTCTACATTATTAAAGTATAATTAAATTTAATGTTTCATGTTTCTCAGTTTTTTCAATTTATCTTGATCTACATTATTTTCCATCTGTTTTATCATGTTTTATTTTATAATATCAATTAATTTAAGATCCTCTGTCACTTTTTAGATAGACTTCTCACTACTTTGTCTATTAATAACAGGGATTTATTGAAGATCTTTAAAACTATTTGTAAGTTTATCTTTTGCAGTTTGAACTCGCTAAAGGAATCTACATTTATAAATTAACATTACCTTTACATTTCTTCTATTTCAATTTGTATATTGTTTATTTCTTCTTCTACATGTTCTTGATAAAACTATTCAAAAGATTTTTTTTGTTGTTATTTATTCTAATTCAAATTCGTGTCTGTTTTCTCTTATAACATCATATAATCTTTAAAGCATTTAGATGATTATAAACTACATTCTTATTCATAGTCTTTAGAATAATTTTATAAATTATTAAATAGATTCTCCTCTTATCTTCTCTTCCCAATTTAATCATTACCAAAGTTTGAAGTGTCATAACTGAATTGATTCTATTATTACGAATCTTATTAAGATTATGATAGTTTAAACATATCTTCTATAGTACTAGTTCCGAATTATTATTTAGAATCTCTGTTGATTAATAATGTTTAACCAGAATTTAGGTTTGTTTGTTGTTGTTATTCTTATTAGACCAGCATTTTTTCGTATTTATTAATGAACTCCCTTACGTTTTCTTGATTTAATTCTTATTGTTATGATTAAAATGTCATTTAATTGCATTTAACTTAAACTTCTTCAGTCAAAGACTCACTTGTAGGATAATTACCCTGTTTAAGTTTATTAGTGTCAAAACTCTATACTCTGAAATAATTAGTTTGTTTTTCTGATTAAGCAGCTAAAACCATTTCTAACTAAAATAATATAATTCTTTGATTGTTACTTTGATTTGTTCAATCCAACTTAAATATTTTTTTAATTCAATTTTTGCTTCTTTAAATCTTCTGATTGTAAATAATATTTCTTTATCACTTTTCATTAACGAATTTATTAAAATTAATAATGGATGCAGTATTGAATGGCGCAATAGCTGGAGCAACAACAGTTCTTATTACAAATCCTTTTGATTTAGCAAAAACTAGATTACAAGCATAAGGAGAGCTTGTTGCTGAAGGTCATTATAAAAGAGCTTATTCTGGAGTAATAAATACATTAATGAAAACATCATAATCAGAGGGAGTGTTAGCAGTTTAAAAAGGACTATAAGCTGCTATAGTATTTTAAATTATAATGAATGGATTGAGATTTGGCAGTTATGAGATTGTAAAGGATATTGCTAATGAATAATTCCATTTATATAATTCTCATGGATATATAAAGGTTTTATCAAATATTGGAATATCAGCAGGAGTTGGTTGTTTTAGTGCGTAATTAATCTAATATTTTCATTAAGTTTTGTGTCAAGTCCATTTAATATGATTAAAACAAGACTAATGCTTTAAACAAAAGATTTGCCATGTGGAAATAGATATCATTATTCAGGGCTTATCGATGCAATATCTTAAATTTTTAAATAGGAAGGGTAAATTTAATAGATGAGTTTAATAGATTAAAAGGATTGTATGCTGGATCATCAATTATGGCACTCAGAACTGGATTAGGATCTGCAATCTAATTACCTGTTTTTGATTTTACTAAAGAACATGGAAAGTAATGGATCAAAAACTAAACTGAATTAAATATGTTTGCTAGTGCAAATGCAACTTTATGGTTATGTTTATTGACTTGCCCTGTTGAAGTAGCTTTGACGAGATATTTTAATTAATAATTTGATAAAGTAATAATTTTAAATTTATTTAATTAGTGTGGAAATCCAACTGTTTATTAAGGTTGTTTGCATGCCATTAAAATAATATTTCAATCAGAAGGCTTTTTAGGTTTGTACAAAGGATTAGGAGGTTTATTCTTTAGATCTGGTCCTCAATCATTTATCTCATTATTAATTGTTAATCAATTAAATAGTCTAAGAAATTAAAAAAAATAATGAATAATATCTTATCTTATATAAAATTGGCTATATTATAAATTTGGCAACAAACAATTTAATCATAAGTCTTTGATAAATCTAAAATTTTCAGGCTCTTTTAAAGCTCTCAACAAATTTTGTCTATACTTGAGATGCCAAATAGTATTGGAAATTCTAGAGTTATATACATAAGCTACTGACTGATTCTTTAAAAAGTATTAGCTTTTATTATTATAAACAATATATACCTTATAATTCGAAAGACTTTATTAAATTCAGAAAACTTTCCTCCATCGATCCAAAGATCTCTTAATTATTTTATATTAGTCATTTGATTTTTTTTATTTTTAAGCAATAACAAAAAATCATCATATTACTTGTTTGAGAAGAATTACTTAAGTAAATCAGGGTTATTTATGATATATGAGATAATTGCCTTCGAATAATTCTTTGTGATATTCTTGGTATCATTAATTTTCTTTTCTTTTTTCTTCTTTATAATTTTGAATGATTCAGAACTATCATTTGATTAGTACTTTTTATTGTATTTTTTTATTGAATGCGGTTATGGAAGTTCATTCCAACTACTTTCTTCTTATTTTATAACTTCACTTTAACAAGATTCTTCTAAATTCAGAAATTTTATTTCTTCCTTTTTGAAATGCAAATCTTATTTGATTGCTTTTGGCTTTAAAATGGTTTATTTTTTAGAATAATTGTCTTATTGATAAGTCTTAAGAAAGATATTAGGTATATTTAGTGATTATTGTAAATTTTAGTGCAACTGCTGCTTTTCTTTTTAATTTATATTCAAGAATGGACAAAATGAGCCATTAGGTGATTAACTTATTAATGTACCAAGTTAATTTAAATATTACTGTTAGGATGGGAATAATAGAAGTGGTCTTTAAAGCAATTTGCTATCAAGAGAATTGGTGATAAGTAGTTCTATATATTTTTGTCTATCCTTTAATAAGTCAATCCCTCCATCATAAGATAATTTGGAGACTACTCTTGAATTTTATTGTGATTATGTTTGAATAATTTTTTAGATTGTTGGGATGTCTCCTGTTATTAATTAGAATGCGTCTCCTTATGATTCTGGAACTTTGGGTTCAACAATGCATTATTAAACAGGATCAAAAGAGACATCAGATTTTAAATTTTATGATCTCCCAATCATAGAATTGTATGGAAGAAAAGATTTCCCATATTTTTTTATGCCCTCTGCCATATTTAATTATATTATGATATAATGATAGCATATTTTAATTAAAAAGTGAGCTACATGTAAACTTTATTTTCAGATACAATGATTTCGTCTTCTTAATTCTAAATTTATGTAATTTCAATGTGTTGAGATTCATTTTTATATATATAAATTATTCCATAATATATACAATATTCAAATTAACTAAAAATCTAGAAACACTCATTTAATTTTTGATGACAATTATATGTAATTAATTTCAATGTGTAATATAAAATTTAATAAACAATATGAATGTATACAAATTGTTTAATTATCAATACTCTTAGCCAGCTATAATTATTCTGACATGACGATCAAATTAATCATCCAAGAATAATACTGATGTTGGAATCAGTAAAATAAACCTACGAACTAAAAGCAGCTCTTTTTACAATTTTGGTAATAAATAAAATACCAAATATATCATTATAAGGATGGAATAAATCAAATAAATGATTGAAATACTCTAAAAAATATTTAAGATTTATTATTTACATTTGAAACTTAAATCTAATTATTTGTAACATTAACCATTCCAGCTTTAAATTATTTACTCATAATTTATGCTGCTCTCATTACTATTAATCCACCTTCATTCTCATACCAATTATATTCTATTCTCTTCGTAAAATTGTTTATAGCCATCTAAACTGTTATAGTTGAATATATGAATTTTAAAGTCTAAGTTAATCCTTATGTCAAAGACCCTTAAAGAGATTTTTCACAATATTGTGTTAGAAATCCTAAAATATCATCCCCAATACTTGTACAAACATTATTTATTTAAATTTAAAGAAAAAAATCCAAAAAATCTTAAGATACTTAATATTTTTCAGCTTCAAAAGAGTAAGAAAACTCTAAAAATTAGTTTATAGTATCTAAACCTGTATTCATTGTTACATAGAATTTCTCTTTATCATAATCTCTTAAATAAGGTAAATTAGGAAAATTAAGACCAAAATCTCTATTTCTAAATAGAGTTCCTGCATACAATGTCATATCTTATAATAATTTATATGTATCAGCAGTAGCTATATATTTGTTCAAATAGTTTCCTATTTATATATTTGCTACTATACTTAATCCTAAAAATATTAACCATCCAAATGCGGTGAAGAAAAAACCTGAGAAAAAAGATAAATTTTTCAATTATTATTATAGTTTTATATCTTTTGATTTGAGTTGATCATGATTATTTTTCTATTTCTCTTTTTAAATATTTTCTTCTTTAATTTCTAATGAAAATTAATAATTAAATAGTGTTTCTGAATTCTTATTAACAACCTTCACTATAGATTTTAACTTTTCTATTTCAAGATCCATTTTATAAGAAGAACAATATCTAAAAAGATTAGTGTATTTATCAAATTTCGATCGATATAATCGATAGTAGAAGATACTTATCAACAGAGGGCAGACTCCTATAAATAAATAAATAATCCAAATAACATTCCATTTATCATTAGTTTCAATACTTCTATTTTTGGAATATTCTAACACTTCTAAAGTCAAATCTTCAAGCCAAAAATGAAAATTGTAAACATTTGCAAATTAATATATTTGATAGGTTTAATTAGCAGGACTCATGCGAGCTTCAAATCTTAATTTAAATTAATAATAATATGATAAAGTAGCCATTAATGCTTCTCGAATATTTTATACTATTGGATATGTTTATGTAGCATCATATAGCATATAATAAGCAGTTATATTTTTATCTTTAAAAAATGGTGTTAAATAATCATTATTTAACCAATATATAAATCCATCCTTAAATTCAAAATATCCAATAGCTATATTCTAATACAATGGATCAGTTAATTATTAATATTGATCTTAAGTCAGTTTTCCTGCACCCAAAAATCCTTAATAAGTAAAAATTGTTTATCTCATTTACAAATATAAGTCATGAGGATTCATTACACCTGCATGTAATTGTATCATATCGATTTCTCCTATAAATCTTGTTAAATCATTCTAAATACCAATTAAAATAATTAGAAAATAGGTTAATGATAAAAAATAAGTTAATTCTTAAAAAAACACAAACAACTTTAAAGTATTTGGATATATTGGTTCTACAAGTTAAAGAATCATTTCATATTTTTTATAAAACAGTGATTTTTTAATTCCTTTCAATGCATTATTTGATGAAGATTCTTCTTCACCTTATCCTAGTTTTTTTCTTTTTAAGATATCTTCTTCTACATTTTTCCTACTTGCCCTTTTGTCAATCTCTTCTTCTTCTAATTCATCTTAATTGATTACTTTTGATTCATTAACTGATATTGATATATCTTTTTATTTATTAAAATAGTCTTATTAGTTAAATGATTATTTATTAAATTGTAATGGAATTTAGGAAGAGTCTTACCATGGTGTATTACTTACATTAGGACTTAAAATATTTGGTTCTTGAAATGAAATAAAATCTGGCTATAATTTCTATTCAGGTTTACTAAATTAATTTTATAATTGTTCTACTTCATCACTTGAATTCATCATTTCTTCATTCACTTTTATTGAATTAACTGCTTTGAATGCTTTTGGAGAATTTGCTATAGCCTCATTTTCAGATAATGCTGATAATTCAAAAAAATGTTCTAAACCTTCATGTCTTTTATATCTACTTGATTATCCAATAGATTTTTTCGAATTAAATTATTATTTTAAATCTTTTATTTCTATTATATAATAATTATATCCATATATTTCAAAATATGATATTATTAATTCTGCATCAAAAATATATAACTTATCTAATTAAGACCAATTTGTTGATGTCAATGATTATTATCGTGTTTACTTTCTTTCATACTCTTCCTTATTTAAAAATACTTCCTTAACAAATCTTAATTCAGTTATAGCACTCTATATCTTTTGATCAGTTAACTTTTTAAAATTTGGAAGTATTTACTCTATTTATAAATAAAAGTTTTCAATTGAGTTTATTAAAGATATGTGTTTCTCATTAAATCCTATTTTCTCAAAAAAACTTTCTGTTATTCCTCCTATTTAATTGTTTATATCAACTAAAATATAGGCTGATTAATTAACACTTTCAGAAAAGAAAGCAGAGAATTTATAATGACTCCCACTGTCAAAATGAATATCAAATATGAATTAACAAGATTTCATCAAAATATTTTTGTATCTAAAAAATGTTTAATTAGAATTTAGGTAAAATTTTGATTTACTTGTTTATATAAATCTTTAAACTAACAAATTATGTTCATTTTATATGCCTATTGGTAATATAAATTCAATATGTGTAAAATATTTAGCATCATCAGGATGTATTTAAAAAAACTTCAAAGCATTTTCTGATTTTCGTTATACAGATAATGTTTAATTATCTTCTAATGAAATGTTTAAAAATACAACCTTTTTTGTAAAAAATGTAGATTTGATATTAGAATCCATATTTATTAATTATTCATCAGGCATAGATGTTAAAGTCTTAAATTTATATGCTTCAAAATAATTATTTAAAATTTCTGCTTGATAGAACATTAAAACTGATTAATATCTTCTACTTGGAAACTATTAATATCTTTGAAAAATCTTATTTTCCACTTTCATTTGTTGATTGCTTATAACTTTAGCTGAATCGAAAATTTTACTAGAATCAAGAATTTTTTTGTTTGTAAATTGAGATAAGAATTTTATTTTCTCATTTATTAAAATCAATATAGTATTCTTAAGACTTTAATTACGTTTTTCATTTTTTAAAAATAATTCAACACCAAGTTGGACATCATTAATTTAATTTTTAGATTTATTTTTTTCATAAAACCTCAATTATATTTCTGTTTTAATTTGATTTTTTAATAACAAAGCACGAGTAATTTCAATTTATGAAAGTTGATGCTTTCCCTATATAATTAGTTTACTACGTTATGATGTATTTTTTTTAGCTTAATCATTTATATCATCTGAATTTGATTTCATTGATTTGCTTGAGATAGATTGATGTTGTATTTATCTACTTGAACTATCTTATCCTTTGCTATATATTTCACTATCAATCATAAATCCTTTACTCTTTGATTTATTAAACAAAGTATTTAATAAACTATTTACTTAATTTAAGGCTAAATTCGTTAAACCATATTTATAAAGTATGGCAATATAATGCAAATCATATCCTTTATTTTTTTAAACAATTTTTGCATATTATTTTAATTTTTTAATCACGAATTAATCCATATTATGAGGAGAAAGAAAATTATTATCATTATTCTCGAAATATGTTTCATCAACAACTTATTCTTATAATTTTGATAATCCACTAATTATTACACCATTGAGAATTTTCTTTTGATTCTCATTAAAATGATCATTTATCAATTTAGTAAAGAAATACTTCAATGCAAATTGTTGTTTTAAAGACATTATTTTATTACAAAGAGAATTTTCTTGAAATGTGAAAATTTCTATTAAGATTTTAGAAAAAGCTATAAATAATAAAATAATAATTGAATTTGTTTATTCAGTGTACTGTCTACCATTTGTTACATTAATAAGTTGAACAATTGATTAAATAAATCCATACGAAGATATAATTAAACTAAGATTTATTATTAAATTATTTGTGTATTAGAATTAATAAATCTGAAATATTTTGATTAAAGAAATAGTCATAGTTAAGATACATTGCAATATTAAAGCATTATGTTATTAAATAATAGTGCCATAAACTATTACTTATAAGACTTAAAGAAGTAAGTATATGTAATCTAAAAATGTTTAATTTAGTTTTTAAAATCTATCTTTTTTTAAATCTATAGTTTCTTTACATAAAATATGTATAAATAATGTAATAAATACAATTAGTATTAAAGATAAACTAATAAAAAAGATTTGAATATAACTTACTAAATTTTGGGTTGCAACTATCATTAAAAAAGAGTCCACACAAAATATTAAATAAGGAACAATAGTAATAATTAAAAATATTTAGGAAAATAAGGAACTAAAGATAAAGTATAATTTAAATAGTGTCGATTAAAAGTTTTGTTGCTTATGTTTTAAAGCAATTAATAAGAAAATGGGTATAAAGAAAAAAAGTATTTAAGTTATTAGAACAAGTAAATAAAATGATTAAGATTTGCCAAATTAAAAGTAAATCAACTAATCAATCCTAGTAAAATAAATAGCAAAAGCTTAATAATTTATAGATGTGTCATAAAATCCAATTTATACAGACTGATAATTAGGGACCCATAGAAATGTTAGATATTGAATTTCTCCCAATGTTAGAATGATAAATTGTTAATACTCCTTGAAACTTGATAAATAATATAACTAAAGTATTCTTTCATAAAATAACATTTTTATATTTAGCTTCTTAGTTTAGTTTTCTTTCGTCATCATTTTGTTCTAATAATTTGAATTTTTAGTCTTGAATAATAAATAAAAAAATCTTTATATTTCTTATTCTAAGTAAATTTTAATTTCAATTTCAATGTTGAGCTAAGTAATAATAATGTTTCGTATCATATTAATATAAATATAGATATTAGTTAATATTAGACAGAAACAAAAATAAAAGAAAGATAAAAGTATAAATCACTTTTTCATTCTTTTGTTCATAATTCCTTATATTTTATCTTATAAAGAAGGTGCTGGACTCTTAGTTTATCTTTCTGGAATTCTATCAGTTTCTGTTGTGATTTATTTCATTTTAGTAAGATCAGTATTTATTTTATTTACATACATTAATGTTTTGATTTGTTTAAGGATGTCACTTAATTATTGAGATGTTTATTAAAAGGATTCTAGAATTTAATCATCATTTTTTGAGATATTATGTAATTCAACTAAGTGTTTATCGATTTGAATAAGACCTTGAGTATATTATTGCTGCATATTTATTTAATTATTGAAAATTATCGTTATATTTAATTTTGAATGATCAGAACCAACTCAACTTAAAAAACAAAATAAGTAGTGCTTTAAAATGGATAAGTTTAATCATTGAGCCCCTTTAATAGTGCAATTAGATTAAGCAGTCATTATTAAGATGCTCCAAGCACACCTTAAAGATAAATAGTTTCTTAGAATGCTTTAAGATTGATAGTTAATAATCATCAAGGAGAAGTCAGATAATCTAATGCTTTTACACCAAATAGTAAACAATAACAAACAGGAAAATGCTATTAAGAAAATAGATCTGTTATAGTCTAAGACAACACACGAATGCAATAGTTAATAAATGAAAATATGTATTTATCTTAAGCACTTGAACAAACTAAAAATGAACTCAAATAGCATTAGTAATCTACTCATGAAAGTTAATAATTAGATTTCATTAAAGTTAAAATAGAAAGTTTAGAAAAAGTTATTGATGATTAAGCTTTGGAAATTGATCAATGGAAAGAAAAATATTAAAAAGTATGTACTCAAGATCCATAAGATTCTATGTTATAAATGGAATCTTAAATTATGTTAGTAATATAAGAAAATGAAAGATTAAATATTTTAGTGAAAAATATATAGGATTCAACAGATAAGAAGGATTAATTAATTTCATAATAGGATTAAGAAATTAAAAAGCTTAAAGATAAAATTAAAATATCTGATAAAACAATATAGAGTTAAAAAGAAGGTAAATTGAAGTAATTATTTAATAGAAATTAAACAATGGCATGATAATTTTGCAGAATTCGAAAAAAATTCAAAGTAGTAAGTGAGTCATGAATCTGAATTATTGAAAAGTAAAATGAAAATATAAGAACTTGAATTTTAACTACATAAAAAGAAAGTTAGTGAAAACAATAATGGATAAAAATTAAGTTAAAGAAAATTTGATGAGAATCCAGAATTAGAACTCAAATTAAGATAATTATTGGAAGAAAATAATAAATTAACACTTTTGATTGAAACATTATAAAATGAAAATACAAAATTAAAGTCAAATAAATAGAGTAGATCAACAAGTTGTTTTTAATCCAATCATCAATTATCTTAAGGAATTCTCGAATAAATTACATAAGTAATTATATATATTATTTTTTAGGAATTATTTAATTAATAGTTATTTAGTACTGAAGAGTTTAAAAAGCTTAAAATGATCTATTAACAAAATGAAACTTTAAGAAATCAGTTAGATAATGCTAATGAATAAATTTCAATTTTGAAAAAAACTCTTTCATATTATGAAGAAGAATAAAATGTTCCATCTGATTAACTATTTGAAGAATTTTTATAAAGCTAAAGTCATTGTATAAGCATGATAAAACAATTATAATAATGATGTCATTAATTTTAACTCTATTATAATTATTTTAATTTAAAAACAGAGTTTGTGTATTATTATATAATTTTATATAAAGAATCATAATGAATTTTAAGGAAGAGCAAATTCTTGAATATCTCGATAAATTATAGCTCTAAATAACTGATCCAACTCAAAAGTAATAAGATTACTATGAGTCAAAAAAGCATAAAATAAATTAAGAACATAAACACTTTGATAGCGATCCTTCATCCCCATTTTCGCTTAGAGAGATACTTAGCCCAATATCTCTCTTTCACACATATAGTATTTAAACTTGCGATATTAATAATACTAATAATAATAACCATCATCATAATCATCATCATAATCAACAGATTCATCATGCTCATAATTTATTCAGATTACATTTAAATACACATTCATTGGTTGAAAAGAAAGTAGAATTTTGAATTCGATATCAAACGATTCTAAAATGAATAAATTATTTTGTATTATCTTCAATATTTCAATTTCTTTTCTTAAAACCATTTACTTATAACATTAATATTCAACTTAATTATGACAGAAGAATTTTTATTTAATATTTTTGTATTAATTTTAAACTTAAAATAACTACCTTTTAGTTCAAATTTTCTTTTATATAAATGAGAGGATTAATTAATATGGCAAGTAAAACAACACAATTTAATACTATCATTACTACATAGTTTTTTATTCTCATATCTCTATAAAAATATTCTATAATACTAAAACAATTTATCGTTTGTATTTTGCTTTGATTAAATGTTATAATAAAATTTATATTTAAAAAAAAGTAAATTTATTTATCTTAATAATAATAATTATTATAATCAACTTATTTTAAAGTAAAATAATCAAATAATTATGTGGGAATTGGTCATTGTTGATACTTGATTTCTGATTCTCATCATCATTATCTTTTATTTAATTTAAGTAGACCATAATAATAAATTAGATTTCCTATAATAAAAAGATGAAATACTACAATGATCCTAATGAAATTGCTATTGAATTTAATTCAAATATGTAGAAATAAAATACAATGGAATAATTTACATAAACTCTAAACAATATTCATTTATTAGCTAAGAGGAATATTTAAATTATAGTAGAATAATGCAAATTTATTGGCACTACAAATACTTAATTTTGGTTAGACTGATCATACTTTGACAATTATTTTTGAGAGATTAAGAAATACATCTATAATAATAGCTCTGATAATAAAATATAAATAACCAAAAAAAAACCTACCTTAAAAAATTTAATAGTTTGGATAAACAATTTATGATATAAATTTTTTAAACATAATTAGAATTTTACTATATTCAAAAAGTTAATAATATGGTGTGATGAAAATTTGAATACAATTAAGGATTCAAAAAGAAAAAAGCAAAAATAATTAGACATTCATTTAATTAATAAAATAAGAGCGTATTCAGAATATATTAACAATTAACTTGAATAGTACTTTAAACCAAAGTGAGTGTTTAATGATTATAAATTTAAATATTCAAAATTTTGTGTTTGTTTCCATCAAAAAACTTTATTATTTATGGGTCTAAAGTCAGCAAATTTCTTTTGTAAATCAGTGATATCGAATTATTATATGTTTCTAAATGATCAAAATAATATACCCTTAATTCATATTATTTTAGTCATTTCTTTTTTAATTAGCATTATTATTGATCATAAAATTTTTGATTTAGAATATTGATTCTTCATTTCTTTTGGTAATTTATTCTAATTGTTCTATTTTTTTTAGTTGTTTAAAACCAAGCTAATATAAAATATATATAAATTAAAATACTTCTTATTATTAATTGTTTCCAAAAATAAATTCTTTTAATTAAACTTAGATATTTCGATTAGCTTCATCAAGTTAATCTTATCTTTATTTAATTGTGTTAATTTCTTTTTCAATTTTTTTAATTTTAACTTCAATATTTCTTTATGAATCACAAGTATCAGGGTTAGAGTTCTTTTTTTTTGAGTCTTATTTAAATAAATTATTGAAGATAGAAATGGAAAAGTTGCTTTTAAGAGTATCTGCCCCTGATATTTATTTTGGAGTTGAATCATTATTTTATTTTTGATTAGTTGGTTTATTGCTATAAGAAGGAACTCTAATTCTGTCAGGAGTAACATTTTATTTAATAGTTTATCCTTATTAATATTGCAAATAATTTGATCCTTATTTTTTTTAAAGTTCTTTAGTAAAACTCATTTAAGTTTGAATTGAAGATTTTTTACTTATAGCTTCATTTGTAGAAACTAATGGTTTTTTTGATTATATTTCTTTATTATTTGTTCCAGACTTTACTATTTATTGGATTTAATTAATAAGGGTTGAACAAGAGTTAAGATTTTTGAAATTTTCTTTGTCCTATTATTAATTAGGTTTTAAATTAGATAAATTCAAATCTTTGATCATTTATGAATGCTATTTTGATGATTCAGTTGTTTATTCAACAGAAGATATTAAATCATTTTATTCTGGAATTTGAAACAAAGTAGATCCAAGATTGATTCTTTTTGGATCAAGTTTTTATTATTAATATTCATCTTCAACTAAACCAGCAATTCTAGCACATATTACTTATTGAATATCATTATTTGAATAAGCTCTACGATGAGATGTATTATTATAGTTCATTCAAATTTAAAAAGTTAATAATTTGATAAATAATAATAAAAATTTATTTTCTTTTAGTTATTCCTTAACGTTGAAAAAAGGTTGTTCATTATGATTAATCAATAATAATCAAAGTTGATCCTTTTAGTAATAATTAAATTTATATTATTTTTGACTTCCATATCTCAAAAAGATACTATAAGATTATCTAGATGATTAGAATGGCCTAAAAATTATTAAATAAAAGAGATTTAAATAATTAAATATTGATGACTTATTTCAGATTGATTAATTTTATAAACAATTTTAAATCTCTTCCTCTCTATTATTGCAGTTTTATTTATATTATTTCTTTCCATTTTCACATTTCTTGCAATTACATTATTCACCACATGATTTACCTTTAACAAAACATTCACAATAGTTCAATTTACATTTGCTTTTTTTACAACAACAACCTTAACCTTTATCGCCTGATAATTTTTATTTATATTCGTTTTTATACTTATGAATAATCTTCACAATAGCTTTATTTCTTTCAAAATTATCAGTTAAACTATTTTTACAATCACTACAACCACATTATTATCCACAACATTTGCCTTCATGAAAACATTAACAGTACAATTTTAAACATTTTGTTTTTTAACATTAACATCCTTCCCTTGTTTCTTCACTATCTGTTGTATTTAATTTTAATTGTGGAGGCACAATAAACATTATTTTCTTTTTCATTATAAGTCTTATTAGATATAAATTACAAAAACCTTGATTATTTTAATAATATATAAAATGAGACGGTATGTGCCGGTGTAAAATATAGAAGAAGACTCTACTAGATAACCTAAAATTATTAAACAGTTAGATATCTATGATAAAATCGAATAATGGGGAGAATGGCTTTGGGTTAAAGCTTAAGCTATATTTTGGATATCAGTAGCAATAGCTATTGTTTATTATTCAAACTTTTTTAAATAATTGTTTCACAATGAAAATATCAATGAGTAATCAAAAACAATCAAATTAGACTATTTCTCACATTTGCATTATTATTTATTGGCATGAGTATAAGCTTATCATTATATGCTGCATTCTATTTACCTTGTATAAAAGGAATAACTGAGGATATTGAAACATACAATCCAAAAGCTATATAATTAGGTGCCTTTGCTGGCTTTATGGGTTTTATTACGTATATTATTAGTTTTTTTAATTTAGTTTAACCATAGCTATTTGGCCTGTTTTTGGATGGTGGAGTTTTCCTATGTTATTTGCTATGTTCTTAGGTTTTATTAATACAGGTCATTTCTTACCAAATCATCAATTAAGTGGACTCTTATTTGGAGCCATTTTTATTGGAGCATTTTTCTCACATTATTATATTGATCATGATGGTTATATGCATTGAGTATAATATTAAATAAATATATAATCTAATCAAATTTAAGTACTTCAATAAAATTGATCGAATTTAATTAGTTGTTGCACAAATTAAATTTATTAATCTGTTATTTCTTCATTTTAGAGATTATTTTGTATTTAAGAATATTATTTTGATATTTTTTTTACTCTTTTTTTTAATTTCCATCTTTTCAAAGGATATCTAAATTGTTCAATCTATAAACATAAAAGTGATTTGTTTGGATTAAGTGATTTATGGATTAAATTATTGAATGAAGTTTATAATTTTTCCATCAATGAATATGAATTAGATCTTTAAATAAATTGGATCTGTGGTTTCTTTTAAAGTTTATGTTGCATATAAAAACTCTCCTTAAATACATATTGAGAAGTTTAATTTATTATTTTTATAATTGGGTTAAATAACATGATAATTATAATGCTAGTAATTAAAGCAGAGGAAAACATATATCCAAAAGAACCAAGTATTGTACCTAAAAATATAGATGATATTCGATTTGAAAAGGTGTCANTACTAGATAACCTAAAATTATTAAACAGTTAGATATCTATGATAAAATCGAATAATGGGGAGAATGGCTTTGGGTTAAAGCTTAAGCTATATTTTGGATATCAGTAGCAATAGCTATTGTTTATTATTCAAACTTTTTTAAATAATTGTTTCACAATGAAAATATCAATGAGTAATCAAAAACAATCAAATTAGACTATTTCTCACATTTGCATTATTATTTATTGGCATGAGTATAAGCTTATCATTATATGCTGCATTCTATTTACCTTGTATAAAAGGAATAACTGAGGATATTGAAACATACAATCCAAAAGCTATATAATTAGGTGCCTTTGCTGGCTTTATGGGTTTTATTACGTATATTATTAGTTTTTTTAATTTAGTTTAACCATAGCTATTTGGCCTGTTTTTGGATGGTGGAGTTTTCCTATGTTATTTGCTATGTTCTTAGGTTTTATTAATACAGGTCATTTCTTACCAAATCATCAATTAAGTGGACTCTTATTTGGAGCCATTTTTATTGGAGCATTTTTCTCACATTATTATATTGATCATGATGGTTATATGCATTGAGTATAATATTAAATAAATATATAATCTAATCAAATTTAAGTACTTCAATAAAATTGATCGAATTTAATTAGTTGTTGCACAAATTAAATTTATTAATCTGTTATTTCTTCATTTTAGAGATTATTTTGTATTTAAGAATATTATTTTGATATTTTTTTTACTCTTTTTTTTAATTTCCATCTTTTCAAAGGATATCTAAATTGTTCAATCTATAAACATAAAAGTGATTTGTTTGGATTAAGTGATTTATGGATTAAATTATTGAATGAAGTTTATAATTTTTCCATCAATGAATATGAATTAGATCTTTAAATAAATTGGATCTGTGGTTTCTTTTAAAGTTTATGTTGCATATAAAAACTCTCCTTAAATACATATTGAGAAGTTTAATTTATTATTTTTATAATTGGGTTAAATAACATGATAATTATAATGCTAGTAATTAAAGCAGAGGAAAACATATATCCAAAAGAACCAAGTATTGTACCTAAAAATATAGATGATATTCGATTTGAAAAGGTGTCAAACATCAATTAAAAGGATTTCTAATACTATGATAATTTACACTATCTTATAAAATATACTAAATAACTTACATGATTAAGATTAAGCCTTCGTTTTCCATAATTTTAGTATTGATAAGTTCCTCTTAAGTGAAATTGTGTGTTTTTCTACATAAATAGCCAAATTCATTCCAAATATTTGAATCGCAATTATTGATAGTTTCAATTTTATTTGCTTAATTAATTATTTATTAATAGTCTTAATAATCTAAATGAGTTAAATTATAATCATAGATATAAGATGTTTCTGAGATATTCAATTCACTAAGTAAAATTCTTCCATCTGGATTTATTATTGTAAAGCTAATTCCTTCATCTTAATATTTAAATTAACTGAAATTCACATGAGAGCCTATCACTGCATCTAATGATCCGTTTTTACCCTGTAAACTTTTAGTTTAAACAATCATTAAAAGTTTCCATGTCCAATGTATATGAGGTTCACAGAAATAAGTTAGACTTTTATTATTTTTGGATACTTGCTCTAAATGATTAGTGTACCATATTCTTTTTTAAGGATTATAATCAAATCCCAAATATGAACCTGGCCAAACAGTAAATAAGTGAACATCATGTGTTGATGCAAACATTATATCAAAATCTGGATCAATCATTAAGACTGTTTCAGTTAAAATACTACAAAGATCTTTAAGTTTTTTGTACATTACATCTTAATTATTAATACCATATGTTAGATAACAGAATGAAGCACTATAGGCATATTCATCCATAAATTTATTATCATTTAAACATGGATAAGGTTATGAAAAATTAGAATTTTACAATTACTAAGTGAATTGATATAATTTATCTACTCTTAATATTTATTGTTGACTTCTAAATAAGGTTTATTAAACTCTTTAAATTTGATGTGACATTATGATTTTGGTCCATTTACCAAACTATTTCTAAAAAGCTTATTGTGATGATAACATATAAGTATCTGATATATAAAGTAGAAATGTTAAAGTTGAGACAATAATTAATATGATTGCTATTGTAGTAATGATAAATTAGATCATGCAGACTTATGTTCGAAGTTACCATTCATTCCAAAATCTTGGTTTTTTTGTATTAAAAATCATTATATTATTTAAATATACTTTCATTATTTCATATTAACTTGCTAGATAATAAAATAGTTGTGATAAATAAATGTATTATATAAAATGATTAAGTAAATATGTTAAAATTTTATAATTAGAAGAATAACAATTTTATTTCCTTAGATTTCAATTTAATATTATTAATTATGATAATTTAATATATAAAAATATTTATTTTTACATTTCTTTAGATAAAGAAGGTTGATTACAATTGAACTCAATTTTCAAAAAAGGTCCAGTCATTTAATTTATTTCTGTTACTATTCTTGCTAAATGTAACTTTTCTAGCTTCTTTTGGTTCATGAAAAATAAGTGGTTTAGGTGGTTATAGTTTTTTATTATAACAATCTAACCAATTGATATCATTAAACCAAGGATGGTTTTTAATTTCTTTAGCATCTTCTTAAGATCCTAATCTACGTTTAGGATCTCTTATCAATAATTAAATAATTATATCTTTAGCTTCTTGACTTAAATATTTTGGTAATTTAAGTGGTGCTCTTTTTATATTTTCTTTTAGAATTTCTTTCTCACTATCATAATAAGGCGGAGCTCCAACTAATAATTCATATATAAAGATTCCTAACATGTACCAATCAACTTAACGACCATGTCCTTTTTTCATTAACATTTCAGGAGCCAAATAAGCTAAAGTACCACAAAAAGATTAATTCAAAATTTCTTCATCAATTCCTTATTTAGATAATCCAAAATCTGTTAAATATGCATGTCCATCTTTATCTAATACTACATTTTCAGGTTTAAGATCTCTAAAGATGATTCCTTATTTATGTAATGCTTCTAAAGCTAATGTTATTTCTGCTGCATATATTTTTACAATATTTTCTGGAAATTTGTTATATAATTCTAAATGTGTTGATAAATCTCCTCCAGAACATAAATCCATTACAAGATATAAATGATCTAAAGTTTAAAATGCATAATTCAATTTAACAATAAATGGATGATTCATAACTTTTAAGACATCTTTTTCAATCTAAGCTGATTTTATTATATTTGATGTATCTATATCTTCTTTTTTTAATATTTTCATTGCATAATACTTTTTTGGTTCTTATCCAATTTTTTCAACTAAAAAAACTTAACCAAATCCTCCTTCTCCTAATTTTTAATAAAATTTAAATGAAGATGGATCAATCTTATTTTTTTCAGATTCTGCATTTATCGTTTATCTATTACCTTTGATTGAGATTCTAGAAAATGATACTGCGAAATCCATAATTTTACCCCAAGTAGTTCTATTTTAATTATTTTCTTTATTATTAAGAGATTATCTTAATTATTCATTAATTAGTAATTCTTAATTAATTTCTCGATCATTAATTCTTTTTTATTATTATTTAGCTAACTACATTATCTTTTGAACATGATCTCTTCGACTATTATGTAATACTAAATTTTATTTCTTCACAACAGTTCTTGTATAAGTAAAATTATTAAGCGAGATTTCGAATTGATTAAATATCTCAATAATTCTAATATCTGAACTAACTTCAATAGGAGTTAAATGTTGATAATTTTTCAAATTATGATTTGCACGTTTCTCTATCAATATTTTACAAGCTTAATCATTTCCATATAATGAAGCAATATGTAATGGTGTATTTTAATCGGAATCTTAAGCATCAACATCAGCTCCAAAATTAATCAATAATTCACAAATTGTTGAGTTATTCTTCACTGCTGCAATATGTAATGGAGTCTTTTTATCCAAAGAAACTAATTTTGGATTTGCTTATTAATGTAATAAGAGTTAAACTATCTCAGTATTATTTTATTAACATGCAAAATGAAGCGGAGTCCAATCATCTAAATCCCTACTTTATTATAATTATTTGTACCTGATATTTAAATCTATATAGAATTAAGGGTGAGCGAGTAGTTCATACACTTTATTATTTTCATTCGATTAGATTAATTATACTAGTAGCTCACTAATTTCTCGACTATGTTTCCAATAATTCTTCCAAGCCACTTCTTTTGTGTCTGTTTTTGATATTGTATAATCATCTAATTTTCTACAATCTATCATAAGTCCTGTATCTCTATTTAAAATGTAAAACTCTTTTTCATCTTCTGGAATCATCTAAATTCGAGGAATTTAACTTTTCTGATAAATCTTCTAAAATGCTTGATAACATTCTTCAGAGTATCTAAGAATAAGTATTAATTTATACTACTAAGAGCAGGGAATCGAAAATTCCTTTTATTCATATAAATCAAATTGTTCTAAAGACTTTGATACTAAATCGAATCTTTTCAATAGTTACTTTAGTTTTAACTAACATATATACTTATCTCGACATTTTTTAAAATAGTTTAGACTGATTAATTTTTATAATGAGTCATCTTTTTATAATCACATTATTAAATAGCATATCAAATATATTGCATAATTTATAAAGAGTGACAAATTAATTTTAAATTATTTTTCATTTAACTAACTCTATTTTTTTATCATCAATACATGAAAATCTATTTTCGTATAATCTTATACTGTAAATATGATTTAGTAGGCATATCCTTCACAAAATCCTTATCATGAATATTTTTTATATTAATTTAAAATTTCATTAAATTTTACTTCTATTTATTTATAAATTTTCTATGTTCTACTAAACAAATAATTTTTCGGTATCAAATAAATATTAATTATTCTCTTTTATTTTCTACATTGCATTCCATTATAGTAACATCCTAATTAATAAAAATGTTTTCAATTCACTTATTGAATTAATAGTTTTTAAATCAAATTGTAATAATTAAAACTTGTGATTACATCATCTTATTATTACAAATCGAGATGATTTAAGTAATTTAGATACAGTTAATTTTTAAATTAATTAAATTGAATAATTTTAACTTCTTTGTATTTTTCTTTTAATTAATTTTAAAGATTTGGTCTTTACATTTAATTATCATTCAAGTCTCAGTTTGAGATTTCTAATGATCTATATTATATTAAATGAACGATATAATTGATGAAAATAAATAAGAATTAAGAAAAATGTATATTATGAATTTCTAAAATTGAATAATACAGTAGACACAATAGTAAAATATTTAAAAGCAATAATTTTCATGATTATTAATTATCTGTAAACCAAATAAAATATAAGTATTAGATTTAGTTTATTCAAACACATCTAATTATAGGTAAAAATAAAATTAAAAAAAAATTAATTTATAAAATTAAGCGGAAAATGAAAAAGTAAATACTTGAATCAGGAGAAAAAGTGATTACTATTGATGATAGCATAAATTCAAAATAAGCAACACCAGTTTAAGCAGTAGTTTAATAATTATCTGCATATCAATTATTTATGAAAGATAAAAAAGTAGATGGGAAATTTTCACTTTAAGTACTTAGTTAAATGTGGAAAGATTTACCTTAAGATTACAAAGAGTAGTAATTAATATTAAATATTCAAGAGATATTAAGAAAGAGCAAGATAATTGAAAGAATAAGTTTAATAAAATAAATTAATAGCTCCTGAAAGTAAACATTATATATTAAATTCATTATAAGCATTCTTTCCTTTAGCTAGATTGAAAACCATTCTTAAAGAAGATGAACAGAAACCATAATTCAAACCAGAAGCATATTAATATATGTTGAAAGCTATTGAAGAATTTGGTGAACTTCTATTAAACAAAGTAAAGGATCAAATAAAATAAGATTAAAGAAAAACAATAAAAGAAGATGATTTGAGTAATCATATTTAAATAATACTCCAGTAACTGTAATTAAAGAGAATGAAGAATTATAATTTCTAAGTTGTTTAGCCATTCATCATTAAAAAAAGAAAACTACTCAAACTCTAAATTAATAGTAGGTTAAATCCAAAAATTCAGGAGCTTTAGACAAATTTCTAGAAAACAATAATGGAATATGAATATTCAAAAGTAAATCATCTATTTTCATTAACTGAATTTATTTACATTTAAACTAACTCTGGTTAAATTTATATAGTCTTTCTTGTATCGAATGTTATATATATATATATAAATACTTACTAATTTATAAGCTAATTCAAACATATTGTTACATAAACTAATAACAATAAACCAAGCATTTTAGTTCTATCTTTAATTAAATTTGCAACTATAAATACATTCTTATAATCTTAGGCTGTATCTACTTCATCAAAGAAATATAATGTTGAAGGTTTATAATAACTTCATGCTAATATTAATGATAATCAAGATAATGTCTCTTCTCCTCCTGATAGTTTAGACATCTAATTCCATGATTTATTCTTTGGTCTTAAACTTAAACTTATACCTTCACTAAATGGATCCATTGTGTCTACCAATTCCAATTCTGAATCACCTCCATTTGTTTATGTTTAATAAATCTTTCTTAATTTTTATCCTATTAAATTAAATCCATGCATAAACAAATCAAATCTCTCCTTTTTTAATTGATCTATCTTTTGTTTATAATAATAAAATTATTATTTTGTTTAATCGAAATCATTGTTTGACTTCCTCTATATTTTGAGTATTTTTTGCTTATAATTCTTCAACCTTAGTTTTCACTTATTAAAATTTTGATCTTTTTTTTATTCTTTATCCTATGCTATTTTCATTAATTTTAAAGTATCTATATGAATTTGACTTTATCTTCAGATTCTTATGTGTAATTTTTAAAATTTCATCAATTTATGTAATTTTATCTTTACATTTACTTATTTAATTTTTCAATTTCCATTTCCACTACTTTCACATGACTCCCTTTTCTCTTCTTTATAAATCTAATCATAAATATACTTCTATCATTTTATCAATTTATTCTTAATATTAATTACTTCCTATTATATCTTCTAAATATTCTAATAGTCCTGGTTTTTCTTAATCACCTGATTTTTGTTTCATCAATGAAATTTTCAACCTCTCCTTATAATATTAGAAATCTGTTGTTTCTAAGATCTATTCCTTTCAATTGCCGCCTCATCCATATTCTTATTTTGTTTAATTATTAATCCCCTTTCCAAGATAACTTCATAAATTAAAAAACCTTATTTCTTTATCTTTATTATAAAAATATTTCAATAATCATTAAAGTTAAAATTTTACTTAATATTTTTTCTATAATATACTCGTTAGCTCTTTTGATGTGCAATTCCTCTTCTCAGTAACACAAGTTAATTAATTATATATTCCAAATGTACATGGTCTATTATATTAATATTTTTCATTACTCCATAATTATTTGTAAATCTTTATTATTANCTACTTCATCAAAGAAATATAATGTTGAAGGTTTATAATAACTTCATGCTAATATTAATGATAATCAAGATAATGTCTCTTCTCCTCCTGATAGTTTAGACATCTAATTCCATGATTTATTCTTTGGTCTTAAACTTAAACTTATACCTTCACTAAATGGATCCATTGTGTCTACCAATTCCAATTCTGAATCACCTCCATTTGTTTATGTTTAATAAATCTTTCTTAATTTTTATCCTATTAAATTAAATCCATGCATAAACAAATCAAATCTCTCCTTTTTTAATTGATCTATCTTTTGTTTATAATAATAAAATTATTATTTTGTTTAATCGAAATCATTGTTTGACTTCCTCTATATTTTGAGTATTTTTTGCTTATAATTCTTCAACCTTAGTTTTCACTTATTAAAATTTTGATCTTTTTTTTATTCTTTATCCTATGCTATTTTCATTAATTTTAAAGTATCTATATGAATTTGACTTTATCTTCAGATTCTTATGTGTAATTTTTAAAATTTCATCAATTTATGTAATTTTATCTTTACATTTACTTATTTAATTTTTCAATTTCCATTTCCACTACTTTCACATGACTCCCTTTTCTCTTCTTTATAAATCTAATCATAAATATACTTCTATCATTTTATCAATTTATTCTTAATATTAATTACTTCCTATTATATCTTCTAAATATTCTAATAGTCCTGGTTTTTCTTAATCACCTGATTTTTGTTTCATCAATGAAATTTTCAACCTCTCCTTATAATATTAGAAATCTGTTGTTTCTAAGATCTATTCCTTTCAATTGCCGCCTCATCCATATTCTTATTTTGTTTAATTATTAATCCCCTTTCCAAGATAACTTCATAAATTAAAAAACCTTATTTCTTTATCTTTATTATAAAAATATTTCAATAATCATTAAAGTTAAAATTTTACTTAATATTTTTTCTATAATATACTCGTTAGCTCTTTTGATGTGCAATTCCTCTTCTCAGTAACACAAGTTAATTAATTATATATTCCAAATGTACATGGTCTATTATATTAATATTTTTCATTACTCCATAATTATTTGTAAATCTTTATTATTAACTTCTATTTCTTTTACAAAAACTTATAATAAACCATTATTAATATGTTCTTCAATTATTTCTAAATTTAATTCTGAAACTGTTGAAAAACTTAAATAGATTTTAGTCCCTTTTTTAAACTCTTTGTAATCAAAGTCTTCTGGTTAAAGATCAAATTTAGTAATTAAACATTCATCTATTACTTATTTAACATTTTTTTATCCTAATTAAGTTAGAAATTCATTAAATTCTTGAAAGCTTGGAGAATACATTTTTATAGTTTTTTATGAAACTTTTTCTTTGATTATAAATTAAAATGGTAAAAAATCTACACAAAAGAAGTTTTTATCATCTTTTTAGACAACACATTTAATCAATCTTTTACTTAAAATCTTTTCTGGAAATTCGCTTTTTTCTAATTTTTTAGTATAATAATACTTTCACTTATAATTATTGCAAAATTTGGATTTTATGGTTTTGTAACTGTAACCTTTTATTAGGATTCTATTATTGGAGGAATTTAAAGCTAATCTTATTTTTCAATTTGAAGCTCTACTTTCTCATCAATTGTTTATTCTACTTTAATTTGATTTTATGTATCTTAAATTAATTTTTATTTGAGTAAAGAAAAATCAACTTTTATTTCTAGAATAATATCAGCTACTTAGAAAAAATTATTATTAACTAATTCATATAACTTATTAGGTGATAAATTAATAGTTTAGACATATTAGTATTCTTAGAAGTATATTTCTATAATTGGGAAATGAATCTTAAAATATCCTTGTCCAGTTTGATTGGATATTATTAATTAAGAACCTGAAAATTCTTCTGTAGAAAATTTATTCACTTTAGTTTTTAAATTATGTAATCCTTTATGTTTTAAAGCAACTGTATTCAATTCTAACAATTATAAATTTTTCATAAAAAAATCTATGAAATCATGATGGGTATTCAATATAGAAAGGGTAGTTTAAAAATTTAAGATTAGACTTTTTGATAGCTTTCTATTTACTTAAGAATCCTTTTCTTTAATCCAATCAATCTCAAAAGATTTTATCAATGCCAAAACAGGCATTTAATTATATTTGTATATTTTCTTAAAAAACAATCTATCATCTTTTTTGATTTCTTCAACATCTTCTCCATCAGTTAATTCAGCTACAATTTTCTTCTCCAAAGGCTGTAATTTAGTACCTAAATGTCCAAATTTTTATGATAAATGATAACTAGATAATCCTTAAAAGCCTCTATCACAAGTTGTTCCAAAATTTCGAGTATTATAATCAAAACTATACATGAATCCTTTTAAATGGATTCATATTAATACTTTAAACAACAATTTACTTAGAATTACCTTCCATCATAGATCTCCTTTATATGTTAGGCAGGATTTTAGATTCATTTCTAAAGCTATTATATATATTTAGATACTAAGATTAGCGTTATTAAGTATTTCTTATATACATCGGATCTAGTAATTTGTTTTGATTAGTAATCAGTTTTGGTAAAATCTCAAATTAAGTACTATGATTATTCATTATTTATATAAATGTAAATTGAAATCGAAACGATATAAAGCACTTTATGGCCACCTAAATATGATTTAATTTGTATGGGATCTTAATGTCCAGTAACCTATGAGTTTAAATTTGGTTAAGAATTCTATGAGTCATAAATTGATTGTAATCTTAGATTATGTCCCATGTGTAAATTTAAAGAAGTATGTATCAATTTTATTAGAAAAAATGTACAGTTCCTAATTGTTAAATTAGTATAGAAAAACACTATCTAAAAACTAATTTTAACATACAAGCTAAAAAAGTTTTTAGTGATCTTGATAAAGATGTTTAAGACTAATTATAAATAAGAAAGAAGATTGAAGAAAGATATCATCGTCAGATCTCAGATATTAAATAAAGTACTAGACCAACATAAAAATTGGATTAGTTATCTGAATTAATTGAAGATGCTATTTATGCTGAAAAATCAAATAATAAAAGATTGATGCATGAAATAGATACAGAAATCTAAAAGTTATGGAGATAAATTGAAATAGATGAAGATAATAATTACTAACGAGAATTACCAAAATAAATTCAAACTTAAAGAAATAACAATAGTTAAGGAGCTTCATTAAATTCTATGAATTAATAACTTAATTATGCATTATTTGATGAAAAGTAATTCCATATTAATAGAATTGCATGGGGATTTTGAAAATATTTACATATCAATTCATATTAAATAATCATTAGATTAATTTTATATTTTAAAATACTAAGATTTTAATATCCATATTAAATAAAAGTTCTTAAAATTTATGATAATCAAACATATTTCTACATAATTTCAAAATCTTAAAAAATACTCTATAAATGGAATTAATACTGGTGTCCTAGCACTATATTCTTAATATGCATAACCAAAAAATTAATATAGATAATGTTCTTCTAAATAAATTCTTGAAATAAAAAATTTATATAGAACTGGAACATAGGCTATAAATGAGATAGGATTTATCATAATAATTTATTATCCTAATGAATAGATAAAAAAACCAAAATAACTAGGGTGTCTGCTGATTCTAATATAAAATTCTATTATGAATAATACTTGTAAATTCCACTTGTTATCAAAATATGATCTGAAGCTTTTTTACTTTAAACTTAATGATGGAAACTTTATTTAGCTGATATAAATGCACCAATTCTAAAAATATGTCCTAACAAAGTTGTTAGAAAACCAATAAATATGAATATATAAATATTTTTATTGAATAAAGAAGATTCTAGAAAATATTCAGATATTGAAAATGAGATCGCCAAATTGTATCCAAAACTGTGGTTTATTAAGTAACCTAATTATTTAATTTGATACTTCCCCATTTTATTTCATTGAATTTATAAAATGCAACATGCAACATCTCACCCATATGAAATAAGACTTAATTTAATAAAAAAATGCTAAATCCTGTATAACTATTTCTAATAATCCAAGCTAAATAAATGAGGCATCCAAATGCAACACAAGTTGTATTAATTTTTGAAATTTCTCTTCCTAATTAGGGTTACCACTTTGGGCTTATTGTCCATGTTATAAAACATAATAATCCAATAATTAAGATCTAAATAAAGAATTGATCAAAAAAGAATAGCAAAGAAAGTGTGAGTGCAATGATGACCCATAATATTAGATATATTTTCTTATTAATTAACATTATTATTAATTCAGAAAGAGAATAAAAATAAAATTTTAAATGAAAATGAAATTTTATTAGATGAGTATTATTAATTTTTTAGAAGGTTGTAAGATCATAATTTCTCTTTTGATAATTGTTATATATCTATTAGACTTATTAACAAGTTTTAAATAATATAAAGCATATCTTGAATTATTATATTTTAAATTAAGAATTAGAAGTATTGCTCATATTTCTTAATTAATTGATTAAATGATCCTAATTTTATTGGTTGAATAAGAATATTTCATTATTGTAAATTTTCTTCATTATCTTAAATAGATTCATAGAATCAATATAGAAAATATGATATTTTCTGATGGGTGTCATAAAATTGAATGATTTTGTTCTAATTACTTTTTATTAAACTTCCATATAATTTAATTTATTTTTCTTAGAAGAAAAAAATTTAATAGTATCGTTTCTCAACAAGCATTCTGTTCTTCTTTGAAGAATCTTTGGATTATTTATATTAAAGTTTTAATAAGAAAAAGAATTAAATTGTATCTAAAATCTTCAGATAATTTTGTTTTAATTAATATTGTTTAGAAAATAATTTATTTAAATAAATTTTTTTTATAGATATTTATCCTCCTCCAATACCTTTTTTGTAAATTCTATAGTATATTTTAAACTAATATTACCATTTCATCTTTTGTATCAAAATCTTAATGAAGATTGTCTAGATATTAATTTTTATTAATCTTAAAGGGTTCAGAGAAGCTACACTATAATTAAAATAATAAGAAAAAGGTGTTGATTTTAGATGAGAGGAGCTGTGTTGATAATTAGTTTTGATTTTAATAGAAATTAATAGAGAGATTAAGATTGGTGAATTTAAAAACATGTCAATAGATTTTTTCACAAAAAATTTAATAGTCTAAAATAAGATTGATATTAACTTCTTTGTATATAAATAATTATAAGTAATAAGAGTTTGTTGTATTGGTAGCTTATAAACAAAAGTAAATATGAGAAATATATTAAATATTTAATTTTGATAAATTATTTGATTTCATGACGTATCGAGTATTTTTGTTATCAGTGTTAGTATTTAGCATGAATTGCAATACAATAATAAGAACAGATGCAAGATGTGTTTGCAAATAATGGAAATTGGCTTTTGAATGCGCAAGTGATTGGGATTGTGCATGGAATAGCAATACAAAAGTATGCGAGTAGGAAGAATGTTCAAGCATAAAAAATTAATCAATATGTTCAGCTGATGAAGGTTGTCAATTTAGGGATGGAAAATGTGAAAATTTTACAAAATGTGAAGATTTAAAAGGGAAAACAATTAATGAATGTAGATTGATGTCTACAAATTGTAGAGAGAGTAATGGTGAACATTGTTTACCAAATACTTTAGAAAGAAAATGTGATAAGTTTATAAATGAAGGAGAATGTCTATAAGGTTAAGATGGATTTTGTTTATGGGAAGATTCAAAATGCATTTTATGGAGCAATTGTTAACAAGCTAAATAGAAAACTTAATGTTAAAAGTTGCCTTAAAGTTGTGATTGGTCAGAAACTCTTAAAATATGTATATAAAAAGAATGTTCAGAAATTGATCATGAATATGATTGTATAGCAGTATAATTAGAACCTAATAGTCATTTATATAAAGTTTGTGAATGGAATCATATATTAAAATAGTGCGAATAATCTATACCAGATGCTTTAACATTTGATACATGTGCTAGTAATACATTATAAGCTTATCATTGGTCAAGTTCAAATGCAAGTGAAGGTTTCTGTGAATAATGTTTATCACCAAATGTTTAAAAACCATCTCCTAAACATTGTCTTTGCTAATCTATAGAGACTTAATTAGATTGTTAATAAAATTAGACTTGTACTTGGAGAGATGGATCATGTTTAGAAAAAGCATGTTATCAAATTGATCCACCTTAAGCTTGTATCTAATTAGATCATTGTGCTTGGTTTGCTAATGCTTGTGTAGAATTCACTCAATGTGAAAATTATAAAGCTTTTTCTAATTTAGAATGCTAATCTATAAATAAAAAATGTTTGTTATCAGATACATTAGAAACATGTACTTCCTTAAATCTCGAATGTAATGCACATAAAACTGATGATAAATGTAATGGAAGCAAAAATTCTAAATAACAATTATGCTATTGGGATGAAAAAATTAATATATGTTAAGTTTGGACATAATGTTCTTAATAATAATAAGCTACTTATTGTGAGTTTAGTGGAGCTTGCTTCTGGAATGGAAAATGTGAATAAATTTAATGCTCATTATTAAATGAATAATCATGTAATCATTATTTAGCAGCCCCTGATTCCAAATAATGGAAATATTGTATGCTCAATGGAGAAACTTGCTAGGATTTGAAATCTGAAAATCTAAGTAAAGAAGAATGCTATGCTTTATCTTATGGGATTAGTACATGGACTTCTTCTGAATGCTAAATGTGCAAATTTCCAGACCCTGACAATTTCACAAAAATTCTAACATATATTGGCATGATTATTATAGCAATGTTATGATTAGAGTTACATTGTTTTTCATAATTTATTATTTTAATATTATAATATTCAAAAATGCTATTTATCTTTCTCTTTTTAATTTGTATTGTTAATACTTAAGATGAATAAGAAGATGAACTAGAATTGTAAGTTGTTGAATAATTGGAAAGTCCATGTCGATGTCGTTAAATTTTAAGTGAATAAGACTGCAATACATTTTGTTTTTGGGTACTTGATGCTGATGGTAAATCAGGTATATGTAGAGATAGATTATGCAGTGATTATTTAGATCAAGATAAATGCAATAGTGATAAAAAGAATTTATGTTATTTTAATAAAGAAGAAAATTTATGTAAAAATCTCAGAGGAGATTGTCCTGATTTTGAAACTTAAGAATAATGTGAAGTGAAAGAAAATTGTTAATGGTTAAGCTAGGCAGATGATGAAGGAATTTAATGTGAAATATTTGAATAACCAGAAGAAATTATACCTGTTATATGCAGTAATATTAATCAGCAAGAAATTTGTGATTAAAGTCAAGAAACTAATAGTGGTTATTATTGTGCTTGGCAATTAAATCCTACTGAAGATGAAGCAGCTTAGAATGACGAAAATAATAATTCTACTACTCGACTCTTAAAAGTAGATAACACTGGTTCTTGTACTAGATTTTCAATAACTAAATGCGAAGATGTCAATTCAATTGAAGCAGATGATTCAATTAAATAAATGCTTTGTAATAGATTAGAAGAATCGTGTAGATATACTACATCAACTTCTAATGGTATAACTGTGACTGGATTGGGTTTTGTTATTGTTTCTTATTCATGTGAATAAAGAACTTGCAAAGATTATGGAACTAAAGAATTATGTGAAGAAAATTTTATTGTTCCTGATTTTGAAGGTTTTATTCATCTATGCAATTGGACTTCTACCTCATGTAATGAAGGTTTAATCATTGAAAAATTTCCTCTTTTAAACAGTCAGGATAAATGTTACTCAGAGGAAACTAAATATTAATTGACATGGAATCAATTAACCAATTAATGTACTAAATGTCCAGGATTAGGATATATATTGAGTCTTCTATTAAGTCTTTATGCTTTAATTATTTGATTAGTATAAATTTCATATTTTTATAAATTATTTTTGAGAATTTTACAAAAATTATTAATGTTCAAATTTTATTCACTATCTTCCATCATTTAATTAAAAATCATTTATCAATATTTCTTCAATTTTATTTTTTAAATCTAATTAACTTCTATTCGAATTTATCATTAAAGTTCTCAGCAAATCTAAACAATCTAGAATCGCTGCACTTCCAATTTAATTTTTAAATTCATTTAGTTCATTTTATAATCCTAAATTATCAATTTCTCTTTAAATTTATTCAACTTATTTCACCTCTTCTTACATAAAATTACCAACCTATATAAAAGCTATTTTCTTTGAAATTTCTATCAAATATTTTACTAGTTTTTCAATATTATTTAGATTATATTTATACAATTTGTAAGAAACTTTCTACAAATCTTTTTAACTATCAACTATCTTAATATTATATAAATTCCTTAATAAAGAACAAACTATATCAAAAATTTTATTAATTTTTGGTATTCTTGTCTTTAAATGTTTCTCTAACATTATTTTAATGGAATCTTAAATTTCTTGTTTATTTTGATTACCATTAACAACTCCTTCTTATATTACTGATATAAGTATAAAAGAAAAAACTTTTATATATTCCTTATTTCGAGTAGATTAAGAATTTATACTTTCTAAAACATCTCTACAGTCATCGAAATCTGGATGTTTTTAGAGTACAAACACTAAATGTTAAATTGCTTTATCATTAGCCTATTACATTTATAATGCTATTGCATATTTTATATGATATTTTTCTATTTTATTATTTAAAGTGCAAGCCTTTTGAAACATATTAGCTGCTTCAGAAAAAGATTATTAAATAAAATATATTTATCCAAGTTCAAAATATAACTCTGATTATTTATTATCCAATTTAAGCCCTTAAAATAAATCTTGCAAAGCTTCTTCGAATTCTTATAATTAAATTTTTATTTTAGCTAATAATTTAAATTATTATTACATCTTTTTAGAAAATATTCAAAATTTTAATCATTTTATTCAATAATCTCATCATAGAGTATTTTCGCGTTAAGATAATCTTAGCGTTTTTCATACAACTATGCTTTTTCTAAATGATATAGGGGTATCTTTCCATTTTAATTTATCAATTCATCATATAATCTAATTGAGAAATCGTAGTTTTTATTATCTCTAGCTATGTTAGCTATTTTTAATTTTAATTATTAATTATTTGGATCTAATTCCATAGCTTCATCAAAATTAGATTTTGCAGAAACACTTTATTCTAATTTTAAATGGCAAACCCCTTATAGATAATTAATAAATAAATACCTTTTTCCAATAATAAAATGGATTTTTCTTTTAAATCTAATATATAATTAATTATCTAATCATAACATTAGATTGCTTGATTGAACATGTTTAACATACTTAAACAAAATCCTAAAATTTTATAAATATGTACCTTTATGTTTGATTGCCATAAAATTACTTTAATCATGCATAATAACTTAATTAAAGTCATTTATAGCTTATAAGTAGTTTTATTATTGCATAAAAGCAATTCCTCTGAAAAAATAGGTTGAATAATCAGTGTAATCAATTGCGATTAATTGATCACAAAATTACTTTAATTATGCATATTATTATAAAGTGCTATGAATTTTTACAATCATTTTTAAAGCCCTTATTTCTTATGGATTTATATCAATGATTTTCTAAAAGTAATCTAAAGATTGATTTAATTAATTTAAATTGAACAAACTCATTGCTATTCCAAATAAAGCTTCATTATTTTTTTAATCAAGAGTCAATACTTCCTTACAAAGATTAATTGATTTATCATAAAGTTTTTAGGAAAAATAAGCTTGACCTAAAAATTGTATAAAAACATACTTTTGCAATTTAATAATCCCATTCTAATTTGTGGAATCGAATTTTCTAAATGTTAATCGCAAAATAAGTGTAATTTTTCATAGTTTTTTTCAATTATAAATAAATTACAAATTGATTGAATAGCTTCTAAATATTTTGGCTCTACTTTTAATGCTTAAAAATATAGCTCTAAAGCAGATTAATATTTCTTTTATTTTACTTATAGATGACCTAATTTCTAAAAATAAAATACCATAATTTAATAATGCTCCTTTATCTTTTTCTTTTAATTATAAGGCTTTCTCATAACATGTTTCTGCTTTTTCATAATCATTTATAATTGTTGATACAAAAGCCATTCCGAAATATCCTTCAAATGATTTTTCATTCATTTCGATTAATTTGCTAAAAACATCAAGTGCCTCATGGTACTTTTTATTCAGTATATATATATTTCCTAAAATATAAAAAATTATAACCTATTTCAGCCATAGCCTTTGAATGTTTCTTATCTAATTAAGTTGCCTTTTGACAAAAATATAAAGCTTATTCTAATTTATTAGAACCAAGGTATGCTAAACCTAAAATGTATGAAAACGGTTAAAACCTTTCAAGTATTAAGCATCAGCTAAATTCGGAGATCTTTTTAGAAGATTGTCAATTAATTGAATGGCATTTTCATATTGTTAGTTTTTCAAAAGTGTAAATGCTTTCATAGAAAAATTAGTACCTCTAACTAATTCAGAATTATAGTCTAGTTTCTAATTTTATGTAGGACTTGATACTTTATCAAAATCTAGAATAGAAATCAATAACATACTTGCAATCTTAGACTTTGAGTAAATTTCATAAGAGTTTTCATTTTAGTTTTTTTTTGTTAAAGCTTAACCCATTTATAAAAATTTGATTAATGTATCAATTACATCATTTTACTTTAAAAACCTAAAAACTGGAAAATAATTCATTTTTATATCGTTATAATGATCAAACTCAGAAAGATTCTGATTTCATATCCTTATTGAAAATCACATCCTCTAATATTTTTAAATTATTTAGAAATTTACCATCAAAATTAAGAATCAAAATTCTGTAGAATATATTAAAACTCTTTGAAATAAGATTTTTTAAATATACTTTATTTAAATTTGAATTGAATAAGAACCAATCCAATTTAAAGGTTCATAAAGTAGATTTTATGGCCTTTTTAAAATCGAAATTCAGCTAATCTATATGTATATAATCCATTAAGATATTGCAGATTATCAGCAATCTAATTAATATTAAAATGTATATGATAAGCGATCCTCTAATAAATTACAACCTGATTCATTTATTTAATTGTAAAAACAAAATAATATTTATGTATTTTAAAAGAATTTGAAAAGAAATCACAATAAATAGATGAAATCGCATAAATTTTATTAATAATTAACTATCAATCTAAGAATGATTAATGATTTACTAAAATCAACATTTAATTGAAAGTTATAATATAGATAATAAGTCATTTAGGTTTTATATAATCTAAAATCCCATTTTTCACATTACTATATAGTAAATTCTTTAGATTTGCTGGTTCATTGTTAATAGTTTTAAAGTTCAAAATTAAAAATATTAAAATTTAAATAGAATCTTTGATAGCAAATCCAGCAGCAGTTGTAATAAACATTGAATTATGAGATTTAGATATAAATTTCAAAAATTCAGATTGAATTTTTATATTCTCTAATTTTAGACCTAATTTAATTTATCTATCTTTTAATCTTGCAATCTTTTTTCCTAATTCTATCATATCTAATATCATAACTTCTTTTGATCCATTATCAGGATAGTATTTTTCTTGATAAATGATCAATAAAATTCTAATTATTTATTCATTACTAATTTTCATTTCACAATCAAATTTATTTAAGATAAAATAGCGAACTATTTCAAATAGATTTGAAATATTTGGAAAATTCTCTTTCATTTTTTCATTCAATAATTAAATGATTGAACTTATTTCAATAGTTGGTATTAAAGACTCCTATTTAGATAATTATTCTGCTATTTCAAAAAACATAATAATCAAATATACAAATACATTTGCATACTCTCTAACATGTTTTGGTTTTGCCTTTAAGCTTTCTATCAAATTTTAACAATCCTCAAATTATGGAAATTATTGGATAGCATTTTTTAAATATTCAATAGCTTCACTATCAAAATCTTACAATGAAAGAGCAATAGCCCTTTTGATATGATATTATTCAATATCAGGAGCTAATGTTAAAGCCTTTTCGAACATTTCACAAGCTTTATCGAAATTACTCATCATGTAGTGAGCCTAACCAAATTCAAAGAGAGCTTAATGATTATTTGGTTCTAATTTTACCACTTACTCAAAATCTTTTAAAGCTTCATCATATTATTGAGTTTACATTTTTGCTTTTCCTCTCAAAAAATATGGTCTAACTTAATTTTTCTAGAGTTCTATGGCTCTATTACATAAATGGATTGTTTAGGAATTATTTTATTATAAATCCATTAAAACAGCCTTTTCAATATACACAATAGCATATCTTTAATTTGTTTGAATGATTTTATCATATGATGTTAAAGCTTGTTTGTAATATTTTGTATCTCTAAAATAATTAGCTATTTTAAGTTATGTTTCTAATTAAAAAAGTTAGTATTTTAACGCTTTATTAAAATTTATTTCAGCATTTACAATATCTTTTGACAATAAATAATAATAACCTTTCTCAAGAAGAATTTTTATTTTGCCTTAATCATTATTAGTCAAAGCAAGTAAAAAATCATAAGAATCTTGGACTGATTAAAATTATTAGAATTCTAAATGGCATTTGACTGTATGATTAAATAAGAATAAATACTTTTAGCATGATAAACTTTTTGATTAAAATTATGGTGAAGTTCAAAGTTTAAAGCTTTATCAAAATCATCAATTGCATTACCAAAAGCTTTCATATTCATATATACCAAACCTCTTAAATAGAAAGAATAAGAATCATTCGCATCCATTTCAAATAGTTCGTCACATGTTTATAATGCTTGTTGATATCTTTATAAAAGAATTTAAAGACTAGCCTTCAAATTTAAAATTTTTTTATTTTTTTAAGAATGTTTTAGAATTTTTTCTAAAATATTTAGAGCTTAGGAATACTTTCCTTATGCTTTTAAACATTTTGAAATACCATAAAGAGCTTCAGTACTATTTTAATCTTCATTTAAGATCATTTCAAATGCTTATTGAGCTAAATCATATTACATTAACCCAAAATATGCAGAACCTATTAGAATATTAACTGAATATACCTTTTAGTGATAAAATATGAGTTTTCCAGGATTAATTGTTATTATTTTAATCACAGAATTATAATAATTCATTATATTTTTGTTATTTATGATATAAGTTTCCGATAGCTTAAAATGCACTTAAATATTCTTTATCAATAGTTAATGCTTTTGTATAAAATTTCAATGCCAAATCATAATTTTTTTATTTAAACAACATATGACCTTAAATAATTAGAGAAAGTATATACCATAATTCAGAGATGCAATTTTTTCTTCAATTCCAGAATTTAAAGCAGACTCATAATGTTCTTATGCAGTCTTAAAATCATTAATTTAAGTTCTAACAAAGCCTATTCCTAAATGAGCTTCAAAAGAATTTTGATCTAGTTTTAAGAGTTCCAAGAATATTTAATGGGCTTCTTGGTATTTTTGAGTCAATATATAAATATTGCCTAAATAAGATAATTCTTTTTTGAAACCTATTTCTGCTAAAGCAAGTTTATGATAAGGGTCATATTTAATAGCTTATTCACAATATTCTAAAGCCTTTTGATAATCATTCATTCCTAAAAAAGCTAGACCTAAAAGTAATTTATAAGAATATACCTTTCCAATAGTAGAAATCTGGCGATTCTGAATGTAAATCCTCTATAGTTTCTAATTCTTTTAAGGCTTCTTTAAATTTACTTTGCCTTATTAAATATATAACTAATAAGATTATTTTTGTTAGTACCTTTTTTGAACTTTTAAGGATTAGATTTTTGATTATCAACTGAAATATCGCCTCTGCTACTGACTTTTAATATTTAAATGTTTTTACTATTAGGAGATGAGTATTATATGGTTGTTCCTTCCTAATATATTTTAGTTTCTTTAGAATTTCGGAGGCCCATTAAAGAATTATGATATAATAAATGATAAATTTTAAAGAATTTTGTATTAATTGTTTATTGAAATATTTAAATATTATATTCATGAATGTTATTAGTTATTTGGATGATTCATATGTATTTTTAAATCAGACCTACATGTTGGACAATTTTTATTAATATATATCCAAGTAAGTATACATTCTTTATGAAATAAATGTCTTTAAAATAGTTTAATAAAATACTTGCATTTAGTAGATCTAAGATCTGGTTTATTTATATAAAGATCTAAACAAATTGGACAAACATCAGTATTTTTTTATTGATCATTTTAAATCTAAGGTAATTACTCTAGAATTTATTCATCAAAACTTTTTGCACAATATTTTTTTTCATGTTGCATTTATCTTACCTGAGCTAAGGCAGATAAAGTTTCTTTAATTTTCTTATTTCTATAGTATTTACCAATGGCAAATGAAATACTTAAAATAATAATAATTCCAGCAATCGAAGCAACAATTACAATTACTGTATTAGTTGAGATTGTATTTTATGTTTATAGATTAATAAGATCTAATGATATTAGTATATTTTATTCAACAGGAGACTTTTATTTGAATATAAACCTAATTCTTTTTTGAACTTAAGTACTACTATCATTTTTGTCTTATAATTCAAATTCTATTGGATAATTCTATGCTACTTCATTGCCTTCTACCAATAAATCATAATACTTTCTATTTAAATCTTCTAAAACAGGAATATACAGAATCCTAGTTTTCATAATGTATATATCCACTCCTTCAGAACTGTTAGTCTAAATTTAATTATTTTGTATACTTTAACTATTAAACTCATTGATTAGTTTTGGCTTTGTTCCAAATCTACATAAGCATACTTTATAGTATTCTCTAAACTAAGAAATATTTCTTTATTTTATTCAATATAAGTTGCATTTTAATGACAATCATTTCCTATATAGTATTTGTTACATAAACATTTTCCGTCCTAAAAATTAGTTTAATTAATACCTAGCAAATGCCTTGGTTGCTACAGTTATTTGGGCACATTTTATAGTTAGTGCCAGTAACTGTAATATTGTAGTTTTAAGTCCATTCTGAAGAAGTAGAAATGTATACTTATTATTAATTGAAATCTTAACTTTACAGTAAAATAAAATGAACAAATCTATTTTCTAGATATCTAACAATTATTTAATGTTGAAATACCCATAAATATCAAATCCTTCTACATCTGATATTTCAGATAAATTTAAATTAAATCTAGGAGTCTTACCAATACCATAATGCAAAGAAAATGTATCATCTTACTTATGTAACTCAACATTTATTGCATAATATAGAAAATTTGCAGTATTACCAATCTTTAAAATATAAGTATTGTTTGGAGAACTTAATTGTATATCTGACCAATTTTTTACATTTTCTGAAATTTCTATTGTAGTTTCTAATGCTAAAGTCATCTGAAATATTAGGATTTATAGAATAAGCAACATTTTGAGTTATTAATTAATCTTTTATTTACTTTTTAATTAAATTTATAATCCAAATGTAAAGAAACCCAGTTTTAATAACTAATATGGCTCTTTTTTACATTTATTACGATACTACAAATCTTCATTTCAATTATACCATTTATCATTATTACTTTCAACAAAGTATTATTTAAAATAGTTCATAATTTCATGAATTGCTATTACTTAAAAAAACAAGAATTAAGAATATTATGATTGTCAGATGTTATTTAATACATATATACATCAATCTGTTTTCCTATTTTTCTCATCATATTCAACTTTATTTGAAATTCAAGCAAATATAATTACCATTAAAGATTTGCAATGTATCTTACAAAAACATTAAAACTAATTTTTTAATTATCAAAACTACTAAAATTAATTATAAACATACTTTTACCATTATTTTATTCAATAAATTGATTAATTTATTGGACTTATTGAATTTAAATTAAAATAACCCTGATATTCTAGCTACTATAATTGAGAGTTTAACTCAAAAACCCAATTTTTACATGCTTAAAAATAAACTATTGTAATAAACAGTTCATTTGTTATTGTTTCTTTAAATGGGAAATTGTCATTTATTAATTATTGTTATAATTTCTATTTTAGGAAACAAATAGTAAAGATTTACCTAACAAAGTATTCTATAAGGTAAAATATCAAATTATATAAATTTAATTAAATTACATATTTGGAAAAATAAAACGATGAGATTCGGAAAATGGAATCCAAAAAAAAAATCCCGTTATTGTTATTATCATTTTCATGCAAAATTTGTAAATTGTTCATAAAAATTACCTTTTTTATATTTATCTAAATAAAAGATTAAAAACATTTAAAAGTTGTCATGCATCATCTTTATTTTCATGATTCCTGTAGTAATAAAAAAAAATTTGTTTCTTTTATTAATTAATTCATTAAATTAATTAGAGGCTTTCGACCATCATTATATTTGATTAGAAAAATTAAATCTTCTAAAATTATCTATTTCTAATAAATTGGAGAACAAATAGAGTGAATTACTGTATTAAATAATATAAATAATTTAATTCCATTAGAATTTTGATGAATAAATTTTTAATCAAGAATCCTTATATGTTAGTAAATATTGCTAAAATTTATGGCTTTTTCTCTAATTAAAATTTAAGAAATTAATTTTTTTTTGGGTAGCTTTTAATAGTAAATAAATAGTTTAAAGTCTATAAAAATGTTTTTAATCATTAAATTTACTTTCTTAAATTCTAATGGATTAATATATAGATGGATAGCATTTAATTTTTAAAAGGATTTAGATATTTGGATGAATAAATTAATAGTTAAATATTAAAAAAAAGAATTGAAACAATTTTTAAATGTGTATTTAAGAAATGATAATCATGTGAATTGTTTTAAATCTTTACATCATATTATAAGTATACATTATTTCAAAACTATTATTATTACTATTGCTGTTATTGAATTTTAATATCATCTGCTTTCTCGATCAAATCCTTTTTTATAATTTAGAAAAAATCATTAACTTCAGGAGAATTCTTAGATGCTCTTTTAATATTTTAAATATAAATACTTAATTAATTCAACAACAGTTAATCTATTTTCTTTTTCAAAATATTTAGTAGCAAAAACTGTCAATTCTTCATTATTAATTTCACACTAGATTGTATATATTTTAAAAAGTTGCACTCATACAACAATTAATCATGAATTCTATGTCTGTTGGTGATAAAGATTCTAATTCATTAAAATCAAATAAATCAAAGAGAACTAAAATAAATATATGATTTTTACATCGAATCTTATCATCAAATTTTGTATCACTAAAAATACAAATCCCACTAAATAATTCTAAACTATCTATTAAACCATTATTATCTGTATCCCAAATAACAAAAGCCCTTTCACTAGCTCCAAAAATATGTTCAANATTAATTAGAGGCTTTCGACCATCATTATATTTGATTAGAAAAATTAAATCTTCTAAAATTATCTATTTCTAATAAATTGGAGAACAAATAGAGTGAATTACTGTATTAAATAATATAAATAATTTAATTCCATTAGAATTTTGATGAATAAATTTTTAATCAAGAATCCTTATATGTTAGTAAATATTGCTAAAATTTATGGCTTTTTCTCTAATTAAAATTTAAGAAATTAATTTTTTTTTGGGTAGCTTTTAATAGTAAATAAATAGTTTAAAGTCTATAAAAATGTTTTTAATCATTAAATTTACTTTCTTAAATTCTAATGGATTAATATATAGATGGATAGCATTTAATTTTTAAAAGGATTTAGATATTTGGATGAATAAATTAATAGTTAAATATTAAAAAAAAGAATTGAAACAATTTTTAAATGTGTATTTAAGAAATGATAATCATGTGAATTGTTTTAAATCTTTACATCATATTATAAGTATACATTATTTCAAAACTATTATTATTACTATTGCTGTTATTGAATTTTAATATCATCTGCTTTCTCGATCAAATCCTTTTTTATAATTTAGAAAAAATCATTAACTTCAGGAGAATTCTTAGATGCTCTTTTAATATTTTAAATATAAATACTTAATTAATTCAACAACAGTTAATCTATTTTCTTTTTCAAAATATTTAGTAGCAAAAACTGTCAATTCTTCATTATTAATTTCACACTAGATTGTATATATTTTAAAAAGTTGCACTCATACAACAATTAATCATGAATTCTATGTCTGTTGGTGATAAAGATTCTAATTCATTAAAATCAAATAAATCAAAGAGAACTAAAATAAATATATGATTTTTACATCGAATCTTATCATCAAATTTTGTATCACTAAAAATACAAATCCCACTAAATAATTCTAAACTATCTATTAAACCATTATTATCTGTATCCCAAATAACAAAAGCCCTTTCACTAGCTCCAAAAATATGTTCAAGTTCTGATAAATCCATTGAAAAGTTATCACATATAGATTTAAATGAAGCATGATAATCCCTTAATTTAGAAAGAGTCACATTTAATAAAGGACTTGTATTCTTTCTAAAGGAATCATTTTTACTGTTGTTATATGGCTACCCATAATAGTATTAATTTTGTTTATTTAATATTCTAATTTCTAATGAATTAATTTATGAAAATGAAATTTTTATCATTATTCAAAATATCTGTCAACCATTTATATTTATTTATTTTTATAAATATAAACTAATTTTTCTTCTTAGTATTAAGGGATTTATTATTTGTAAAAAATATTGAAAAAAATATGAAGGTTTTGTTTTAGCAATAACATTAATGTGTTAAGCGAAATTGTCTATGAGAATGAAATTAATAACTTTGTGCTAAATAAATTTCTTGTTCAAAATTAATTTAATAATGCTTTAAATTTGAAATATATTTATGTAAAATGATTATTTAATTAGTTTAATTAAAAAATTAATACTAAAATCCAATTTTTTATTCTAATCAGACAATAAATATTTCTAATTCTATTAAAGATTATTAGAAAAAATCACTAGGAATATAATCAAATTCTTGCTTTGAAAAATTTAATATAATTCTAGATAATTTTGTGAAAAGGAATCAGATAAAATTTTGTTCTTCAAATATTTATATTAAAATCTAAAAAATTGTCTCACTCATATGAATTATCTTTTTATTTAATTAGTAAAAACTTCTACTAAAATTTCCATTATTGAAAAATAGATAAGTGAATAATTTAAAAAATGAAAAATTTCATATAAAATTTTTATAAACATAATATAATTCAATCATCCTCTAAAGAATATTCTTCTTCTTCAGATTTCATTATAATCATTTTCACAATTTTCTTATTCATCATCTACATTTAATTTTAAGTAATTAAATAAGGCTTTAGGAATAATTTAATTTAAAAATTCTGATCCCAATTCATAGTCAAATTATTTTCTTTAATTTTTTTCTTTTTTATTATTGATCTATTCAACATCTTCGAAGAAATGAAAAAAACTAGGGGCTTTTTCTTCTTTATAAATTTCTCTTGTTTATCCAGTTTTTTTATTTTTTTATTTTCTTTTAACAATCTTTTTAGTAATGTTTTAACCTTCTTTCCATTTAATTTATGATCCTTTTAATTTGGTTGGTAATTCATTATCAGAATCTTCAAAAATATATGCTTTAGTTAAAATACATGCCTGAAAATGTTAATTTTCTTCAAATTCGAATTTTATTGTAAAATCTATTCCATTTTCTCCTAATTCAATACTTACTGACAAAAGATGTTTAAATATTTCTTTGTCTGCTTCAGATATTATTTTTTTTGTCAAATTATTATTCATTAAAACTTATCCCCAATAATTCTGAAGAGGAGATGCATCAATATTTCTAACTTCAATTTAATATGTATTTGCATCTTTAATTTCATCTTCTGTTGGAGCTCTAAGACCTTTAATAATAGCATTAATTTCATTTTATAAAGGAATAACACTCTTTAAATACTCTGTTTGTAATTGAATTAGTTTCTTAAAAACTTATTTCTTTGATTCTTCCCATCCGTTAAGGTGATACTAGATTGCTATTGCTGTAGTTTATTATTTTGAAGGAAGTTATTTTATTGATTCTATTATAGTTGGGTCCATAACTTAAAATAAAAAATTAATTCAATTAATACTATTATCTAAATCAGAAACCTTTAATTTAAACTTTTAAAATAGAGTCTAAAAATTAAATCGTTGTAATTACTTAGAATCAGAAAATATTTCTAATTCTAAATAAAGTCTCTACCTCGAAGTCAAAAGAATATCACAATATTTTAATGCTTCCTATATTACATATTTGGTATTACATTAAAATCTTCATATAAACATTAATTATTTGGCAAATCCTTTTTTTTTATATTCAATTGTTTTATTGCAGATTCAATTCCTTAATTATATTTATGAAACAATTAACAAAAGTATTCATATATTTATTATTTCTCTAATTCTTCAAATAAATTATATTCCCCTAACAATTTTTTATACACAGATTTAATGATAACTTTTGTTTAAGTTCTTTATTTATCATAGAGAATATGGTCCTCTGTATTATCTTCAATCAAATATCTAGCTAATATACTAGATTAATCCTCATTTAATTCAAAAGGTGTTTTCTATAAACGTAATTATGTTTCTTCTAGAGTTAAAAATTCATCATCATCATCACATAAAATTTATTCTTATGTTTCGTAATCAATATTATTACTCAACAATTTAATTTTTAAATTGCTGACTAATTCTTTGATGTCATATGAATTAACTTTTAAGCACTGTTTTTTATTTGTAACAGGTAATTACAATTACAATTACAATTTCTAAGGACTATTATTACTTCTAGGACTTCCATAAATTGTCATAGCTTATTTTAGTCCTATAGACTAGAGTGAACCTTCTTATGATTGCTCTTAATCATCTCTTCTTTAATTCAATTCTTCAATTTATTTTTTGAGCATATTAATTCTATCTTATAATTTTTCCTTTTCTTTAGATTCCATAGACTTAAATACATCATAATTGTGTTGCAACTCTCCATTTTTTTATTCTAATTCTTCAATAAGTTTTTTATTTGATTATAATTATTTTGTTTGATTCTAGATTTACTATTACAATTCATCTATTTTTTTTAGGTAATCTTCTGATGGAGTTTATTTTTTAGTATTTTACATTTCTTATCTCATATACATCATATGTTTATTAAGAGAATCAAATTATTTCTCTAATTCTTTCAACCTGCTATTCAATCTATCTTTATCATTCTTGAGTGATAAAAGATTTTATTGTAAATTACTATTTTCTTATTATAAATTAAGAATCATTTAAGACAAATTTAAGTTATCTTGTTTATATGCTTAAACTAAATTAATTTGAATTTGATCCTTTAATGATTAATTTATCATGACAGTTTCATTTGCATCTTGAATACATTTACTACTAATGTACAATTGTAACTTTTGATAAGCATCTTTTTATTCTTCTAACTCAGCTTCTAATTCTTTGTTCTTTGTCCTTTCAGGATTCCGTTTCAATTTAAAAACTTAGTCCTCAAGTTCCTTGATTTACTTATCCTACTCTTTTATTCTTTATCTCTATGACAAAATTACTTGAAACTGTCTAAATCATCACATATTTACATCTTTTTAAGTTTCATTAGTTTTCATCACTTGTTTCTCAAAATTTGAATGTTCTTATCTCTCTTTCTTCAATTCAAACTTTACTTATTGTAATTCTTTTTTCAACTTCAAATTCTCTTCATACAATCCCTCCTTATCATACAGCATTTATTAAGGCATTTACCTATTTCTAATCGTTATAATTCTCACCTGTTTTTCTTGTTTTCTTTTATTCTGAAAGAAGTACTACTACTATCATAAAGTTTAGATTATTATTATGATGATGTTATGCTGGTTGATGGTCTTTACATAAAAATAAATTATAAAATTAAATAACAAAACATCTATAAATAAATCACAACCCTTTTTATTTAGGAACTCTCATAGGCCAAATTACTGATTGGTTCATCATTTTATTAATAATTTCACCTCCCAATACTTTCGCTAATTATTTTGCTCTCTATTTAGCAACTAAAAATATTATTAAATAATATTAAATACCTCTAGAACACTAGAAAAAGAAATAAAAATTTATTGTTTGAATTGTCAATTAAAATGAAATGCCAGTTAACTAAATTTAGAATAGTAATAATTAATTACATTTAATATATGTAGACCAATTACATTGACAACTCCCAAAAATCCCCAAGCTAATATCGTAAGTACTAATGTAGCCCAGAAAATAAAGGAATTAACTTAACTTACTTGATTTTCATTTACTCTAGTTTCAAAAACCCAAATTTATTCTCCTGAAGCTTCATCAATTTCTTCCCACCATCTTAATCCTACTAATAATCTACCAGTGATGTTCTTTGTCACCCAAAAATCCACAGCTCCTATAACAATAATAATTTCAGGAAGAGTCCAACTATTATAGATGATTTAATAATACGCTTCCCTAATGAATAACCCTCCAAATAAATAAACTGCTAGTGCAAACCCTTTAATAGCAAAATGGAACAAAGCTACAGTTGGATGATCAGATTTTGTATAATCAAAATTATATCCTTCCATTTACTCTTTATAAAATCCATTCAAGCTTAGGACACTTGTTGTCATCTATTAATTATTATCAGTATTATTACATCTTATTTATTCTTCTCTTTATATTATTTATATTCATTGATCTTACTTTGAGTGGGTTATTAAAGATTACTATTGACCATATTAGATTGAACCAAATTAGAGTTACCTTAGAGATGTTAATGATATTATTATTGAGAATTTGCCTATTATATTTATTCATTAGTTGGAATTGGGATATTAGGATCAAGTAAATGTTAATAAGGATTTTAAGAATTCATGATTATTATGATTATAAATCAATTTAATAATTACAACCAAAGTTAATTATCTTATCAAAATGAAGAATCACTAATTCCTTTTGCATTTTATATTCTTCAAATTCTTAGATCAAAGTTTTGAAGTTAAGAAATATCTTTTAGTCTTTCTAAACTAATTATTTCTCATTCATTTAATTTTTTAATTTGTTGATAAGATTTACAATTTTTAAACTGATATATCCTTAACTGTTTCTATAAGAAATCATACTTCTACTTATATATCTAATTCTTTAAAAAATAAAAAATTGTTATTTAAATTAATAATTTTCTTTTTTTGTTTTATTTTTGAATATCTTTCACAAAAATATCTTTTTATTATTGTCATAGTTCTAAAGTTAAGTTCTATTTATAAAATATATCATTAATATTATTGATATCAGAATCTTCATATAATTATTTCAAGAGCACTTTATTAGAAATAAATCAAAAGTTTTCAAATAATTTTATTCTGTAAGGAGACTTTGTTGAATGGATTTATAAATTTTGAATCTTGATAATATAATAAGATGATAATATAAAATAAATTAGTAAAAAAAAGAAAATTAAATTTAAATGTAAATTATGGATTAGATAATAGGATAAATAAAATCTCTATATTTAAATTAAGTATGAAAATTAGATTTTTAATTATTAATGAATAATAACAAATAAAATTTGAATTATAGTGATAGTTGATTAGATATAATAAGAAAATAAGATTATAAAAATGGATATTGTTAATAGTAAACTATATGTATTAATAATAATAGTGTATATCTATGATGATATTAAATAAATGTCATAGCTGCCCTTGTAGCTCAGTTGGTTAGAGCGCGAGTCTCATAATCTCGAGGTCGTGGGATCGACCCCCACCAAAGGCAGACTTTTTTTTATTTAATGATTGAGGATGCAATTTATATTTTTATTAAATAAATATTTATTAATATTGATAATGTAAAAAATATTAAAATTCAACTTTGGAGTTTTAACAAGACCTAAATTACATATCTATGATAAAGGTAGTAAACATACACCATCTGGAATAAGAGCCACTATTCATGGAGGTACTAGTTTTTCAGGAATTTATATGGGTGGTATACTTGGAAACATTGGATCAGAATTAATATTCCCTCATAATCATTAGTAAGGATTAATTTAGATAAAGATATAATTATGAAGATCATGTAAGAGAATTGAAAACAACATCTGGACCTGGTTAAAATTGGTTATTACATGATATGAATTATGATAATAAAGAAATGATTGAATGGACTATGAAAAATTCAAATGTTGTTGTTAATTTACTTGGTCCAAGAAAACATTTAAAAAATAGAAAAGATTTTGAATGGATTAATATAACTGTACCTAAAAGAATTGCTGAAGCATGTGCTAAAAATCCAGGAGTAATAAGATTAATACATTTCTCTGCTTGTGGTGCTAATCCACATGCTGAATCTTTAGATTTATAAACTAAATATATTGGAGAATAAGAAGTATATAAATAATATTAATATAGGTATTAAATGCCTTTCCTAATGCAACTATTTTTAGACCAAGTGTTATGGTAGGAGATAATGATGACTTTGCTTATCATTGGTAAGTTTAAAAGAGATATTTCCATAATTTTAATATTGTACCAGATAATTGTTAAGCTAAAAGATAACCTGTAAAAAATAAATAAATAAATTAGATTTTTGTTTAAGATGTGGCATAAGCTATGTTAAATGCATTAAAAATGCCAGAAACTATAGGATAGACTTATGAATTAGGAGGTCCTCATGTATATACTTTATTAGAATGTTATGAAATGTTTCACAATATTGTATAAAGACCACCAAAGTTAGCTCATATAGATAAACAATTATTATTAAAAATTGGTATATTTATTTATAGGATATGTTATAGCATAATATATTCCAAATTGGAAATATTTTAATATTGATTACATTTTAAAACATGGAGATGATATGGTTGTTTAAGCAGGATCTAAAACAATTGATGATTTATGTGTTAGACCTTTGTCTTTAACATAAGCACTTCAAAATATCTTTTGGGATATTTAGGCTCGTTATGGAGGATCAAGCGAATTATATGAAAGATGATTTCACTTTGTGGGTTATCGAAAAAGGATTAGAAATAATAATAATATTTATTCATAAATATTTCTTGAGTATCTCTTAAAGTTCTGTTTCATTTACAGGTTTTGTAATATAATCTGACATTCCTGCATCTAAACATCTCTTTTTCTCTTAATAATCTGTGTAACCACTACATCCAATAATTATCTAACTAGGATTAAAAGCTAATATTTATTTGGTAGTTTAAATTCCATTCATAATAGGCATTTCGACATCCATAAATATTAGTTTATATCCTTAACATGAATTACTACACTTTTTATTTTTCACTTTTTCTATAGACTCCTTACCAGAAAGAATAGACTCTACATCCATTTATTAATTTATGTTTTTTAGAACTCCTTTTAAAATTTTATTAAAAGCAAGTGTATTAAAACATTCATCATCTACAAGTAAACAATGAGAACAATAAGAAATAACATCTTAAGTTATTTTTTATTATTCCTAATTATAAGTTATTATTTCATCAACTTCTTAATAAAGTGGGTAAATTTCAGGAATTTTAAATATTTCCACTTTCTTTTTCTCAGGCAATTCTATTAACATATCGAAATAAAAGTACGAATAATGATTATCTATATCTATTTTAGATTCTATATTTAATCCACTACATCCTATATTTTAAGCAATTTAATTACTAATAACTAATCCTAAACCAACACCTTATTCATTTAATTTTTTGCTTTCTTCTGAATTCACTTTAGAAAATGCCTTAAATAATTTTTATTAATCTTCTTTACTAATTCCTATTCCATCATCTCTAACACCAATTCTTAAAAAAGCTGATTAAATTTAAATGCTGATTTCTATTTTACTACTATTAAATTTAAAAGCATTGCTCAATAGATTTACAATTATTTATTTCAATCTGTTTTTATCAGATATGATATACTTTGGGATATTACTACAAAATTATGTTTCTAATTTTAGATTTTTTAATTTAGCTTTTAAAGCGAACATTTTAATACAATCTTGTATTAAATGCTCAATATTAAATGCTATCTTATTAATTTTGAATTTTCCATTCTTTATTTATGCCAAATCTAATAAATCATTTGACAAATTTAAAATATATTTAGAATTATCTAATGCTACTTGTAAATCTTCTGCTATATCTAGATTATTTATTATTATTGGCTACATTAGTACACATTCAATCATCTAGATTATACAACCTAATGGTTAACGATATTCATGACTCACAAATGATAACATCTTTGATTTTTAAATATCATAATCTTTTAAATATCTAATTTTTTATCTATGTGTAACATCTCGACAGATTATTAATATACTTTTATCTCTTGTTAGAGTTAAAGTGAATTCCATCAATCTTTCATTCTACTCATGTCTTGATTATCCTCCAACATTAGATTAAGATATTGTTATATTCTTATTTGTATTTAATGCTAGACTACCACTAAAATGAGTATTCACTGTTATAACTTCTGCTTTCCTTGACTATAACATTTTTTCTAATAAATCTTTCATACTAATTATTTAGTGTTTTTCAAACATTTAAACATCTAAAATTGGTTATTTTATTGAACAAAATAAATCCTTTTATACAAAGATAGATTTGCATAAACGAGAAAATTATAAATTTGATAATCGTTATTATATTGATTCTCTTCTTGAATTAAGATCTTCCATTATATCTTAACTCTATATTTATAATGTATTTAAACTCTCTAAAATATATAAAATTTCACTCTCCTATTCACGACCAAATAAAATTCTAGTTGCACTATTCATATACTATATTTTATAAGCTTGATATTTCTCATCTTATATATCTAATATTATTAATCCTTCTTATAAATATTCTAAAGAATTATAAATTATTTCAGAATTGATATAATGTTATTAAATATTGCTAAAATTATTACACATAATTCTTGCACTATCTTTAGATTAATCTAAAATCATATTTTTATCACTGTCAACAACAGAAACTACTCTTTTTCCTAAACTTTCCAGTTTATTTATTGCACCAACTCCATCTATTTAAATTGTTGTATTTAATTAATTTTAGTTTTTCTATTTCAATAAAATACTATCCTGCAAAGACAAAAATAAACATAAAATTAATTAAGGGCATTCTTAATTAAATTCACTCACTGTATGTAAATATATTTATTAAAATACACTTACAACTATCATTAAACCATAATAAAAAGTCATTGGATTTATTATCATTACTTGATTTTATTTCTATACTTTCTTAATAAGATCTTTTGAAAGGTATTAACTTATTATTAATTAAGCATATGAACCATGGTTTAAGTTTTATTAATTCAGAATTATTAGACAAACCAAATCTATTTGAATACAAAATACTGTTCCAATCATTTTTGCTCTCGATTTAGCTTAATGCGATAACAGTACTACAGGGGATAGCAAGCAAATGATTATCAAACATAATAAATTACTTGTATTTCTACTCTAAATATAGAAATAAACTGAGTAACAAAATGACATCCAATGAATTACTTATACATTCAGAAATTATCTGTCTATCATATTATAATATCCTTAGCTTTTCAATAAATATTAATATAAAAACTTATAATTATGCGATTAAAATATAATCAATTTATACTTGCAAGCCTTTTTTTATCTTTTTTTTAATTTATAGACTTAAGAAGTCATTTAATCTAACATAATCAATTTTCAAATTATCAACTCTTCATTAATTTCTAAATTCAAACTAATATATATATATTTATTTTATTTTCATTAATTCAAAATTATTATTCTAATTCATTATTATCATGAATCATAATTTAGGTTGATATATTTGTGATTTTTTTTAAAAAAAGGAATATTCTTCAAACCTAAAATTATATGAAAACTAAATTTATTAAAAATATTTCATGATAAATCATTAGTATTATTATAATGATCACGAGAAGGAATACTAAAATTATAAATAATTTATTTATGTAATTCCTAATCTATTAATATTTTCTCCATTTATATTTGAATCATACTTAACATTTCTTAATTTTTATTCTAAACAATATCTCCTCCTAATACTCTCTTTATCCATCTACTATTATACTTATTAAGACGTTTTTAGATTTATTATGCTTTATTCAATTACTAAAATTTAAGAACCTTAGAATTGTTTTATAAAGCTTCCCTTTCCTATTTCAACATTTTGATTGAATTCTATATGTCAGAGGTTTAATTTAGTGTATTTTATATTTATTCAACTGTATATTCATTACCAAGAATCAATTGAATTTATTCAAGAGGAGATTTTTCTATCTTTTTAGATCCTTTAATAGGTAAAGGCTTTTTAGCAAAACTCATAATAAATATATAATAAATCTAATTAAAAATAAACGACTTCTAATTATTGAAATCATCTCCTATAACGAGGTTTCTTAAAATTAAACCATAAATGAAGTATTCCCCTTGAAAAGACTGATTTGAAACCCATACGATCTGAGTAATCCCATTCTTTGCATAAAATTTAAAATGCTAAATCTTCATAAGGAGGACCAGCTATAAATCTAATAATACAATAATCTGGATTTTCACATGTTTCTAATGTATATTTAGGTGCCTAAAATATTATATAAATAATACTTAAGTTTTATCAATTAAATCTGGATAGAAAACATTAAATTTATATCCTTAAATAGTCTTAGGAGGTGGATTATCAACATCATAATGAGTTTTATTATACATATTCCAATCAAAACCCATCTTAACTCTGTTGAAATATTAAGGACGTTTTAATTTATATTTTTAACCCCAAGATGGCTCTTATCTTTATGGTACCACCTCATTAAAATAAACCTCATCTTCTTCTAAAGGTTTTGATCTTTCATATTCAAACATTTATTGAGCTAATATATCTAAACCTTCAACTATGTCTTCTAATTTTCTATTATTTGGTATAGAAAAATCAGGTAATTTATTTTACTTTCCTATATGTTTTTCTTTCTCTTTTTCCTTTTCTTTTTTCTTCTTCAATTATTATTTTTCTAATTCTACTTTTGCATTATTTAAAAATTCTGTTAAAATTGTTACTCTTTAATCTGTTAATTATTTTAAATCATCATTTTCCAATATATAATCATCACAATCTACNTATTATTATAATGATCACGAGAAGGAATACTAAAATTATAAATAATTTATTTATGTAATTCCTAATCTATTAATATTTTCTCCATTTATATTTGAATCATACTTAACATTTCTTAATTTTTATTCTAAACAATATCTCCTCCTAATACTCTCTTTATCCATCTACTATTATACTTATTAAGACGTTTTTAGATTTATTATGCTTTATTCAATTACTAAAATTTAAGAACCTTAGAATTGTTTTATAAAGCTTCCCTTTCCTATTTCAACATTTTGATTGAATTCTATATGTCAGAGGTTTAATTTAGTGTATTTTATATTTATTCAACTGTATATTCATTACCAAGAATCAATTGAATTTATTCAAGAGGAGATTTTTCTATCTTTTTAGATCCTTTAATAGGTAAAGGCTTTTTAGCAAAACTCATAATAAATATATAATAAATCTAATTAAAAATAAACGACTTCTAATTATTGAAATCATCTCCTATAACGAGGTTTCTTAAAATTAAACCATAAATGAAGTATTCCCCTTGAAAAGACTGATTTGAAACCCATACGATCTGAGTAATCCCATTCTTTGCATAAAATTTAAAATGCTAAATCTTCATAAGGAGGACCAGCTATAAATCTAATAATACAATAATCTGGATTTTCACATGTTTCTAATGTATATTTAGGTGCCTAAAATATTATATAAATAATACTTAAGTTTTATCAATTAAATCTGGATAGAAAACATTAAATTTATATCCTTAAATAGTCTTAGGAGGTGGATTATCAACATCATAATGAGTTTTATTATACATATTCCAATCAAAACCCATCTTAACTCTGTTGAAATATTAAGGACGTTTTAATTTATATTTTTAACCCCAAGATGGCTCTTATCTTTATGGTACCACCTCATTAAAATAAACCTCATCTTCTTCTAAAGGTTTTGATCTTTCATATTCAAACATTTATTGAGCTAATATATCTAAACCTTCAACTATGTCTTCTAATTTTCTATTATTTGGTATAGAAAAATCAGGTAATTTATTTTACTTTCCTATATGTTTTTCTTTCTCTTTTTCCTTTTCTTTTTTCTTCTTCAATTATTATTTTTCTAATTCTACTTTTGCATTATTTAAAAATTCTGTTAAAATTGTTACTCTTTAATCTGTTAATTATTTTAAATCATCATTTTCCAATATATAATCATCACAATCTACTGGTTCTGGACTAACACATTCATATTCAGTTTATTCTTAAATTTCAATTTAATAATGTTATTTTTCAGTTGCATTTCTTTCTACATTAATTTATATATCTTTTGTATTTATTCCTACATCCAATACCAATTAATTATCTTATCTCATACTTTTGTATTTTAATTCTTTACAAAATACTTCATAATAATTTTTTAATATAGTTTTTGCTTTAATAACTTTTAATTTTTTTAATATCTTTTCCCAATAATCAAAATCTATTTTATATTCAGCTCCATAATTTAACATTTAATTTATTTCTCCTTCTAATTCATCTAATCCTTCTCTTGATTTACCTTAAAACATTTTCTTTATATCCTATTTAAATTCACTTTGAATTCCAAACTTTGGACATTTTGGATCTTTTTCTCTTTATTCTCTCCATTCTACTTCTGCTTATGCAATTGAAATTATAGATGCCCAATAATCTTAAAAATTACTTTTATTATCTATTTCTATTGCAAATTATTTTTTTGATTCATTCAAAATAACTTTTTATGCTTCATGTCCTAAATTCTTAATAAATTAAGAAGGATTATGCATAATTTATTCTAATTATTTTTGATGTCCTATTTAACCCTAAATAAAATAAATTATTTCATTACTTTATATATACAACATATTCTTACAAATTTATCAAATGGAAGTTCTCTTTATTATTGAATTCTTATCAATGGTCTTAATTTTTCAACTTTCTCAAAAAAAGCATCTTCATTATCAATCCATTATTTATAATTTTCCATTTATCTTTCTTTATTTAATCTATTTTTCTCTTCTTCTAATTTAATTTTCTCCTCTTATTTCTTCTATCTTTAGGATTTTAATTTTTCTATTTCTTTCAACATATCATCTAATTTTTCTTTTAAATCATGCTCTGATATTCCATTCAAACCTTTTTCATCTAATTTACTTTTCCATATTAAAGATTTAGCTAAATTTTTATCACCATAAGGATTGTCTTAATCAGTATAACCTATTTTCTATAAATATTTCTATTTCATTTTATCTAATGAAGCATATGTCTTTAATAATTAATTTTTCGACTACATTTTTATTGATTTTTGATTTTTCTTTATGAATTAGTGTTTTCTTGAACTTCTTGATCTAGATGATGAATTTGATGAAGATGAAGATGATAGTGATTCTGCAGATGATGCTGAAGATGATTCATCTGAATGTCTTTTTTTTAAATATTCTTCAATCATTAATTATATTAATATAAATATTTAATGTATAATTATTAATATAATTCTTGTCTATCTCTTAATTCATTTATGAAAGCATAAGAAAATCAAGAATTACAATTCATTTATTTGTACTATATATTATCATTTCATAATTTTATTTCTTAACGTAAATTTAAAAGAATATAAATCTAATCATTAAATGTGTATACTAACATTATTAATTAAAATTTTAATATTTTCTGCTCCAATTTAAGTATAAAACCAATTATTTTATGTATTCGAAATTTTTATAAAATTATTAACTTATATAACATGTATATTAAAATAAGATTTTTGATTTTTAATAAACGTTGTTAAAATTACTTGAATTCTTATTTTTTAAATCTTTGAAAACAAAAAAAACATTTTATAACGACTTTTTAATCTATTTGGATTTATAATTATTTTACCTAGATAATTGAGTATTATTTTAATGAAATTTTTATTTTATATATTCATATCACTATCAGTTGGAGGGTCTACATTTATGTTGGCTCATTTGTACTTTTTTGATAATATGAGAGTATTTCCCCAAAGAATTTTATTCTGTCTCTCAATATCAGATTTTCTTTTCTCAATAGGATTACTTATGTACATAGAACCTGATGTTAATAACTATAATAAATTAAGGTTTTATTATGATAATATTTTAGATGTACTATTTAAGGAATTATAACTCAATTTTCATCAATTAGTGCCTTTTTGTGGAGCACTACTATTGCATATTTATTATATATTTCAATTATGATAGGATAATAAAAAATTACATAATTAGAAAGATACTAGAAGGTAATTTTTATTTGTGGTAAACGATAATTACAAAATAGGGTTTGCTCTTCCTATATTTACATCTATTTTACCATGTTTTTTTGATTCTTATGTTCCAATTCCATAAAAATTACCTGTTACTTGTTCAATAAGTTCAAATGATGAAAATAAATCAATACAAGAAAATCATAATCTTAGTTTGTACTTAAATCTATCTTTGTTTTATATACCTGTAATTATTGCAGTGGTAATTTCAATATATTTCATCATGAGATCATATTTCAAAATTAAAAAAAATAAAAGTCTGTATAAATTGCTTAATAAAAGATTAAACATACAATTAATTTTTGCAAAAACTCTTATATTTTATCCTATAGGATTATTTATTTGTTGGTTACCCTCATTAATTGTGTTTTTCATTTTCACTTTCAAAAATGATTGGTTTTAATAGATTCAAACATAGTATGAGATTCATAAATATATTAGAGTTGTTTAATATGGTTTAAGTTTTTTATAAGGGTTTTTTAACAGTTTAATCTATTTAGTTAATATTAATTTAATGAGAAGAAAATTAAAAACTCTAGATAAAATTTAGTAAAATGAAAATGTGAAAAATAGTATGTCAAATAATTTAGATGATAGTGTGAAAAGCAGTTCATTTAGTAATGGTTTTGAAAATCTACAAGATATTTGATTTTTTTTTAATTTATTCATTTTTCTTTTTTTTTTAATTGCTATNTAAAACCAATTATTTTATGTATTCGAAATTTTTATAAAATTATTAACTTATATAACATGTATATTAAAATAAGATTTTTGATTTTTAATAAACGTTGTTAAAATTACTTGAATTCTTATTTTTTAAATCTTTGAAAACAAAAAAAACATTTTATAACGACTTTTTAATCTATTTGGATTTATAATTATTTTACCTAGATAATTGAGTATTATTTTAATGAAATTTTTATTTTATATATTCATATCACTATCAGTTGGAGGGTCTACATTTATGTTGGCTCATTTGTACTTTTTTGATAATATGAGAGTATTTCCCCAAAGAATTTTATTCTGTCTCTCAATATCAGATTTTCTTTTCTCAATAGGATTACTTATGTACATAGAACCTGATGTTAATAACTATAATAAATTAAGGTTTTATTATGATAATATTTTAGATGTACTATTTAAGGAATTATAACTCAATTTTCATCAATTAGTGCCTTTTTGTGGAGCACTACTATTGCATATTTATTATATATTTCAATTATGATAGGATAATAAAAAATTACATAATTAGAAAGATACTAGAAGGTAATTTTTATTTGTGGTAAACGATAATTACAAAATAGGGTTTGCTCTTCCTATATTTACATCTATTTTACCATGTTTTTTTGATTCTTATGTTCCAATTCCATAAAAATTACCTGTTACTTGTTCAATAAGTTCAAATGATGAAAATAAATCAATACAAGAAAATCATAATCTTAGTTTGTACTTAAATCTATCTTTGTTTTATATACCTGTAATTATTGCAGTGGTAATTTCAATATATTTCATCATGAGATCATATTTCAAAATTAAAAAAAATAAAAGTCTGTATAAATTGCTTAATAAAAGATTAAACATACAATTAATTTTTGCAAAAACTCTTATATTTTATCCTATAGGATTATTTATTTGTTGGTTACCCTCATTAATTGTGTTTTTCATTTTCACTTTCAAAAATGATTGGTTTTAATAGATTCAAACATAGTATGAGATTCATAAATATATTAGAGTTGTTTAATATGGTTTAAGTTTTTTATAAGGGTTTTTTAACAGTTTAATCTATTTAGTTAATATTAATTTAATGAGAAGAAAATTAAAAACTCTAGATAAAATTTAGTAAAATGAAAATGTGAAAAATAGTATGTCAAATAATTTAGATGATAGTGTGAAAAGCAGTTCATTTAGTAATGGTTTTGAAAATCTACAAGATATTTGATTTTTTTTTAATTTATTCATTTTTCTTTTTTTTTTAATTGCTATAAAAATATGTAAAACTTCAAATCTGCAACTGAATACTTGGATGAAATTGGATAGTAGCTTAACTTTATTGATTAATATTATTTCTAACAAGTAGATTAGGCAGATGCTTAAGCTTTATTAAAATTTAAGAAGGTCTATAAGTATATTGATGAAGCATATAAAGTATAATTAGTTATTTAAATTACAGTCAAATTTTATAAATGATGATGGTTTATTTTAAGTTTATGGATTTGTCTTATAAACAATCAAGAAATTTAAAAGAAAATTAGAAAACAGAATTTATTTTGATAAAACTGATTATTAAGCAACTCTTGAAAAACTTGAACGAACATAAACAAAATTTGTTCCTGTTTATAAGGATCTTATTTTGGATGCTTAAAAATTAGAAAGAATAGATTTAGAAAGCTTATTAGATTCTAATATGATTCATCATATATATACTAAAAAAGAATTAGGCTAATTTGCAATCTAATTGTTTGATTTCTTAAATTTAGATTAAATCAAAGTACCAAAATAAATTTTAGGAGATTTGATAAATGAAATTGTCATGAATTATAATGTTGTACCTTATCATAATTTTACTCATGCTTTCTAATTATCATAATTGCTTTTTTCATGCTATATGAAATCAAATTTAAAGAATTTTTGTAATTAACTTGAAATATTCTCTGCTATTCTTGCTGGCTTAGGACATGATTTAAATCATAGTAAGAAATTAAATTATTATAATTTTAGAGGGCGTTAACAATATGTATAAAATAAAAAAGTCTAAGAAATTTAATATATTAACATCGGAAATTGCTGTCTTAGAAAATATGCATTGTGCCACTTTTTTTAATATTATACAACTCAACAGAAAACATGATTTCTTTCAATACATGTCAAATGATGAGGAAAAAACCTTAGCTAAAAGATTGATTATTACATCAATATTAGCAACTGATATGGTATTTATTATTTTAAATTATACAATAGAGTAAACATGCCAAACTTTTAGCTAAATTGTAAAAAAGAGTAGAATGCACTAAATCATTTGAATAAGGTGTAAAAAATGATTTAATAGAAATGCCACGTTTCTCAAATGAAAGACTTGAAGATAGAATTTTTATTCTTAATATCATGGTTCATGCTTGTGATATTTCTAATCCAACTATGAAATTTGACAATTATATGAATTGGTCCTATTTATTAACTTAAGAATTTAATGATTAAGTATAACTACTTTTAAATGCTTAGACTATTAAAGAAGCTAAAATAGGAGTTGATGTTACTGCATTTTTGATCTATAAAGATAAACCTACTTATTATGGAGGATAAATATTTTTTTCAAGTATCCCCTATTTTATATTACTTAGAATCTTTGGTTCTTCCTTTATGGATTCAAATAGGTGAACTATATCCAGAACTTAAATATTTACCTGATGAAATTAATAAGAATTTAGAAATATTACAATAAAAGCTAAAATAATGATGTCATTCATATTATTATTCTAATCTAATTATTATTTATAATAGAGATTATTATTTCTTTTTTTAAATTTCTTTATATATTTTACTTATTTGTACAAAATCTGAAGTTTCTATTTGAAATATAAAAATTTTATCTTTTAAAACGACTGCATAGTTCTAAACTACTATTCTAAATGATTAAAATCAAAATTTAAATAATTTAAGTCTAAAAAGTTACTTAGAGGGAAAATTTTTCAAAATTATTGAAAATTTAAATTTTCTATAAAATTGTGTTTTAATAAGAAATTCAGATTTTTATTGCTTAATTTAGTGTTAATGATCTTAAATTAGTGTTTGATAATATGTTATTTTTTATATTTATATAAATGTATTTTAATTAATTTGTGATTTAATCAAATTTAATGTTTTTTTTTTTGTTTTAAATAAAGAATATAAAAAATATAGATTCAAATTCTTAAAAGAGTTTTCTTTATAATATTCTTATGCTTTAAATGTCTAGATTTTTATTAGATTTTAGAATTGTAGATATATTGAATAGATTCTTTTTTAAGGAAATTCATCCTAAAATTTAATATTTATTAATACCCAAGAATGCGAAATGTTTTTAAAAATTCAGGATTGCTTGTATGTTTAACAATATGTGTCAAATTACTAAGTTTACTTTTTAGAGATTATAGAAGTTCAAGGAATTCTTATCCTTTTTATTCTCCTAAAATCTTAAAAATAAAAAATTGTTGTCTTATAGAATAAGCAACAATAGCCTTAGCAAAATTTTTATGAAAATTTGTTGTATCAAGCTCTTTTAAAGTTTTTGAAGATTTAAATGCCTATTTTTTTTTATTTGTAATAAAGCTAGATTTTTCATTCTCCATTTAAGAATTAAAACTCTCATCTTAATCAATATCACAAGTGTGATTGCTTTATGGATTTTAATTAAATTGATCTGATTATTAAAACAGTTTCTCTTAATTGACAGATTATATTTCAGTTGAAGGTTAAACTTAGCAAAAGTAGATTGGATAGCAAATTTGGCTCTAATAGAATGGAAAGTAGATTTAAGGTTATTAAGAATAGAACATATTTAAGATAATTATTAAAATTAGTATACAATGATTTTTATGAATTATTGAAAAATTGTATTTTGCGTTTTTTTTGATAAATAAAATAACAATAAAAGCTTTATCATTTTTTTATTTGTATTTGTAAATTCAAATTAATATTAGCCTATAAGTATGATTTTTAATTTAAATTTATGATTTTAAGTAGAAATATTCCAATTCGAAATAGAAATATTATTTTATAAAAATAATTAATATTTATAATTTAAAAAGCTTAAGGAATCAAATTTTGAAAAGGTTTTTTCTAATAATGTGCTTGCCTTTTAAATGGCTAGTCTTCTATTAGATTTTTGAATTATAAATATAACTGATGTAGTCTTTTCTTAAGAATTTGTTACTAAAAGCTAATTATATATTTATACCACAATATCCTAAAAAGTTTAATGAAATCTTCATCTCTTGTATATTTATTAACATGTGTCAGATTTCTGATATTGTTTTACATTTTTTTTACAACTCGATAGAACTTAAATGCTTTTTTTTCTCCTAATTGAGCTACTACAACTGCATTTTATTGTTTTATATATAAAATCACTGCTTTAGCATAGTTTTTTTATATATTAGTTGATCCATTCAATTAATTAACAGCATAACTTTTTTCTTAATTCTCATTCAAGCCTGTTGCCCTATAATCTTCATCTTTTTCATCTGAATATTCTACATCCAAATCTAAATCTCCATTATCTTATGATTCAGGTGGTTTTGTTTCTTCAAAATGTTGTTTAGTTGAGTTATTAAAACAATTATTGTTTGATACTTCTTATTCTCTTGGTTAAATTTAGGTTTAAACAACAATTTATTATGGGTATATAATGTACGGAGTGTAAGTTTGCATTGGATAGTAGCAAAACATAGGCTGATAGGGAAAAGTGCAATTATACATTGAGTATGTTTGGTTTTGAAAAATAATTAATGAATTAATTTGCGTTTCTTTGCCTATAAAAATTCATAAAATTTTTAACTGATCAATGAGTTACGTTAAAAGAACTTCTTATGAACTATTTTAGAAATATTATTCTTTTACTTAAAACTGAAATTTTATCAGGTAATGTAAACTTATAATTATTTATTCATATTAGTACAAATATTAGTAAAATAATCTCATTCCAATATAGATTAATGAAAAAAAGCAATATGAAATTTAATTTTCAGTTATTTTCATTAAAGAATCTCTTTTTTCAATGAATTTCTGTTTAAGAACTTGACTATATTGAAAATATTTTCAGTTAAATCAAATTCTGATAACTTTGTTTTGTTGAATTTTTTATTAATTCTAATAAAATAATGTATTTATTCAAGGCATTTAACTTTATAGATATAGAAAATACTAAAAAAAGCAAAAGATTATAGATACAAAATTGTAAGAAATTTTTCTCTGTTTAAATTTTAGATTTATAAAATTAAGTTAAATAATTATCTTAAAGAATAAACATTTCCATTTCAATTAATCGAAAGACTGAAATATTATTTGGATTAGAATCTCAAGTTTATGAATTGTTTAATTTTTTTTCTTTATTCAAGGAAAACTTATTATAATTATAATTAAATGAACATAAATTTTAGATAAAATTTTGTATTTTTCAACCTGTTACTTTTAAGACTTTAAATTCGTTTACTTATTTTTTAAACATTGTAATATTGATATTCTTCTGTTGAATTTAATTTTTTTGATTCTTTTTTGCATTTAAAAAAATATTATCTAATTTTAATTAAAGTGCAGCAAATTAAAATTAATTTCTTACTTGAACTCATTTTTAAACAATTTTTTAATTATTTTTTTAAGATTCAAAACTAGGTTAAATCAATATCTTTTCTTTTTGATAGATTTTAGAGAATTATTTCGTATAATAATTATTTCATATAATAATTATTTTTTATCAATTTAAATTTAAGTAGTAATTACCTTGTCAATAATTAAAGATTGCTTCTAAAAGTTTTTAAAATCATAAGGACTTTTTATTTGAATTTAAGAAGCTATTTATACTAATGGAATATCTTTATGAGACTAAATATAGAGTTTTTTTAAGTCAATATAAGTAATTATTAAGTATGCTTTTCCTTTTATTTTAAGTATTTTTATTAAATCTTCTTTTCTCTATAAGAATAAATATATTATTTATATTAATGAGTATTGCAAATTACTTTTTGCCAATTTTTGAAAATGTTTAAGTTAATGTTTTTAGTCAATCATTTTTTATAAATTTATCATTATTGTTTAAAAATAATTAATAAAATTTAATATATTCTTGGAAATCAATCAATGTAAATGAATAGCTTCTCTTAAAGTAAAAATTAGTTGGTTTTAGAATTTTACTTATTTAAGTATAATTATAACCAAATTAACTAGTTAATTAATTAAATATGCTTGATAATTATTGGGATTAAATCTTGCTTTGATAGATTTATAGAAATCATCTATAGATCTTCAAATAAGTACTTTAGAAATATTTAATTAAATTTCTGACATAATTGTTTTTTTTTGAGATTTTGTTTAAACAGATGAGAAGAAATCAAATACTATTTAACTTTTTGAATTTTATCTTCAATTAATTTGGTTTATTTGATGGGTATTATTTTTTGATTGTTTTTTACAAATTACTTTATAAATTAAAATCATAAATAAATAAATAATTTATGCTCTTATTATATTTACTAATAGTTATTGCTAAGACTTAAATAAATTTAGTTTGGTAGATATATGATCCATAGAGTGGATTAACATCATCAGATTAATTAATAACCTTTGGATAATATAATAAAGAAATAAGGGTTTGGCCTTCAGATGGAAGTGTATTTAAGAGTGAGTTTTAATTATCTGGTAATTTACCTATGAATCCTTAATTTCCAAAAGCAAAGATTAATAGTAAATATATGAGTTTTTATGTTGGTATTACTGAGAATAGTGGGGCTACTCTGACTTTAATTAAAAGTGCTAATAAAGATTATTAGTTCTTATAGAATGTAATATCTTTTATTCCATCAACGAAATAATGTATAATAACACCTTCTGTAGATTTTAATACAATTCCATTTGGAGGAAAAAGATAGATTACTTTAGATTTTCTTAATTGTATACCAATAACAGGTTTATAAATAAAAATGTTATATTAAACAATTAGTAAAACAATTATTCAAAAAAATCGTGAAAGATTTGCTGAAATAGAAATATCAGCATTAAATGCAGCTATAGATACTTCAATATCTATATCATTTTAAGTGAATTCAACATATTATCTAATTAGTACTTTAAATTTGAAAGTAGTTACAAATTAATAATCTCTACCTATTTCTACAATAGTTAATAAGAATAGTGGGACTTGTACTGGAGCTACAGGTATTTTTACTTTTAATTGTGGGAAACAATCAATGCTTTATTATAGTTATTCATATTAAAATTAAGCAATAGATTTTAATAAGATAAAAGAATAATTACTTTTAAGAAGATAAGGAAAACAATATACTGATGTTAATACATATGAAGGATATGGAGTAAGTTTTATACCAGATAACATTAATAAAGATATAACTTTAGTTGGATTAAGAAGTAATACTGTTTATACTATTTTTGCGGTTTGTGAAGATGAAATTTATTAGTAATAATAATCAACTATATCTTTTAATCGATGTGATAGCTTATAAACTATTAAAAAAATTACAATTTAATCTTATTAAATGTTTTAGATTACAAATTTAAGAGATATTGTTTGTGATCTCATGATTTAATTGTCTTTAAAATAAAATTAAGTTAGTTCTGCAGATGGATTATTTTGTAATAATGTTGCATAATCAAAAATTAATGGAAATAGATAATATTATGTTCCTGATGTTAATTAATCATAAATTAATTCTTATATATTCTTTTTATATCCAGATTATGCTACTACTTATGATTTTAATATTAATAGTCTCTCTATTTCTCAATATTAAGTTTAAAAATTAACTATAGAGAAAATTACTCCGAATTTTCCTATTATAAGTTAGGAATTTTTTATTGCGGATGAAAATTAAATGAATTTCACTATTAAACTTAAAACAGATGGATTTATTACTATTGGATTAGATTTAATGTAAAACACATTACCTAATTTATAATAATTTTCAAATGGATTAAATTATCTTAATAATCCTTTTATAAAATTTAATTAAAAATTCTTAAGTGCTAAATAACAATATTCATTTTAATTTAGATTAAGTGACAAGAATAATTATTAATTAATATATTAACTTAAATCAGTGCCATCAGATGGGGCTTTATATTCTCCTTTATATGTAAGGAAATTAAGTTTGTTACAAATGTAAGAACTTTAGAACTTTATTATTATATGTTTGAGTTTTATAATGTTGTTTTATCTTTGAAATATATTTTATAGAATTTATAATTCTTTAAATTCAAATTCAAATAATTGATTGTAAAATTATTATAATTACAATAAAAAATTTATATAATTTAATAATTAATATGTCCGATTCTGATGAATCGATAGACTCGGTTGAATTGGAGCATTAAATGCTAATTGATGAATTCAAAGATTTATTGAAAGAATATAATGAATTAAAATAACAAAATTAAGTGAAACCTAAAAAATAAGAAATTTCAATGGAGAATTTTGAAATTTAATGGAAGCAATTATTAGAAACTAAAAAGTCATTAGAAGATAAGATAGGTTAAATACATTGTTAATCTTAAGAGAAATAAGAGTATTATTTTAATGATAATTAGAGAATTAGAAGATTATTAAGATAAATTGTTAATAGTAAAAGAATAAATTTTTAAACAGAATAAAGAATTATAAGAGAAAGAATAATTAGTAAAATTATTGTAAAAATAACTAAAAGATATGTGATTATAAATATATATATATTAATTAAATCATCTAATTTCACACATGGTTAAAAACGAAGAAATATTATTGGGCATTGATGATGGATAAATTTTCCAAAATTTTAATGTTTCATCTCCAGATCCTGTCAAAATAGTAGATTCGTCTATAAATATCTTTAGTATAAAAAATACCAGGACTAGCTGACAAATATAGGACTCTTTCAGAATGTCCTTCTAATTAATGAATTTTTTTGATAGTTGGATATTGCCACAAACAAATTTAATTTTTTTCATATCCATGAGTTGAAACGAATTCATTAATAATTTTAGAAAATCTTAATTTACAAACCTGTGAATCACAATTAATACTAGTGATTAATTAATTAGTTAAAGAACTATGAATTTTAATAGTTTTATCTTAATTTCCTCCTCCTGTAGCTAAAATTCCACTAGAATTAGGATTCCATGCTAAAGCTCTTATTGCAGCTTTATGAGATTTAATTTCCCATGATATATATTAATTATCTGCATTTGTATTTCCACCTCTTAATTACCAAATAAAAACTTTATTATCATTACCTCCAGATGCTAATTATAATTCATTTCCATCAAAAGTTATTCCACATACTTCTTAAGTATGTCCGTGTAATTCAAACACTTAATAATTTGCAACTCTTATATCACATATATTTATTGTTTTATCTTTACTACCATATGCAAATATATTAGAATTAGCCCAATTTATTGTACTTATTCTTTTTGTTGATTAATTTATACATCCTATATAAGTATTCTTATTGTAATCCCATAATTTTAATTATCCATCATAACTTCCCATTCCTAAAATTTATCCATTTGTATTCCATTAAAGAGAAGTATAATATATAGGATTTATTTAATTGTTAAATGGTTCTGTCAATTTAAATACTTTTAATGTATCAACATTATACAAATATACACATCTTTATAAACCTATAACAATTACATTGTTTTTTCCCCAATGCAAAGTATCTTAATAAAAATCATCTTCTAAACCTGGAGCATCAAGTACTTTTATAGGTTAGGTATCTATTTTTCTTTTTGGTATTTCTTACTATTTATTTGGTTATAATTTCTCTGATTTTTATTTATTAAAATTCAATATGCTAACATGTTTATTTTCATCTATTTCTAATACATTTTCACTTAAAAGTTCTTCATATGCATTCTCTTCTTCTATTTCAAATGGTTATATTTGTTTATTAAATAGATTTCTAGATACATTAAGTGGAATGTAACGATCTCCATATGGTGATGTTTATAAACCTATTTCTGGAATTATTTATTTTTAATTGTTTTTTAACATAGACTTAGGAGTTTTCCAAGGATTTATATTTTTCGGAGAATAAAAATCATTATTATTATTTGGCGATTATATTGTTGTCGATTAATTTGTTTTATTTTCTTTCTTTTCTTTTGTAGGTGTGCTTAATTTATAATTTATTTCCAATATATTATCTTCTTATTAAGATTATAATTCTTGCTACATTTGAATTTTATAATAATTATAACTATTAATTGCCAACTTAAAATTGAGCTAAATAACAAAAAAAATTTATCATAATGAATCAATTTATTTCCTTAAGTTTTCAATCGCTGTCTAATCATAAACTTCGTCATCTATAAATTAATTATATTCATTCTAAAATCATTATAATTAAATATACTTTAAAAGCATTCTTAAACTATGTTACTAATTAAATAAGTTTAGTTTTATCATGCTTATTTTTTTTTATTACATTTAATAAAATTAAAATTTGTTGTACTAATTACAATTTATAAATATGTAATTATTCTATTTGTAATTTTTCATATGCAACATTGTCTTACACCATTACATAATTTATAAAGTTATTCACATATATTTATGCAAGTTCTATCTCACTAATGTTGTGATTTAATAATATTTCAAAAAAGAACCAAGTTGAAAGTTAAGTTATTTATTATTCTTAACATTCTTTACAATTTACTAATTCAAAAATTTCTGTCATTTTTTAAACTCGAATATATTTTTATTTATTTTATAGATTTTCTAATACTAATTTCATTTACATCTTGAAAATTTCTGATGGCCATATATTTGATTCTTAATATGCTTAAATTATAAAATCAGTCCAAACTTAATCAATAAAATATTCATTATATAATTATTTCTACTATTTTACTTCTAGATAATCCATACATAAAATCTATCCAAAAAAAATATTATTATCCTCAAAAAACTGCATAATTACATTACAATCTAAAATTTCTATCAATATTTTTCTCTTCTAACTTAAATAACCTAAAATTTTAGGATACAATACCTTCATTATCATTTGTTATTATATAATCATACATGATATCTTAAAGAAATAGCAATTTACTTAAATCAATTGCTTATTTTTCAAATTATAATATGTCATTTTATAAATCATTTTTTTAACTAGATTTTATAAATTCTTATGCTTTAAATACATATCTCAATCTTTTTCTTAAAGGTAAGACTGCTTCAATATCTTCTAAAGTCATTTCAGAATTCTCAGCTAAAGAAAATTGAGCTAATTTGAGTAATAGTTGTATTAACAAAAAAACTGATTGATTATCTCCCTTAACTGATTTAATTAAAAGTTATTATTTTTAAATTTACAACTTTTCAAGTTCATTACATTATAATTCTAAATCTTAATTATAATCAATAAAAACTATAAATTCCTTTAGTTTTTATTTAATCAAACCATTTAAAATCACTTCAGTTGCAGTTATTAACTGATATTTATTTAATATTTCAAGAGAATCTTTTAGTATATCATAAACTTATGTTTTTGTTAAACCTTTAGGAGGATCTTAATAATATTGTATTAAATTATTATATTATTGAATTAGATCCAAAAAACAAATCCTGTATTAATCATCAAACTGATCTTTTTCTGATTGTGAACATTTTTATGCTAAAAATTGTATATAGAATCTAAATGTACCAAAAGGATACATATAATTAAGAAAGCTTTATGATAGATAAGAATGAGAAATAGCAAAAATGACCTCTTCAACTGATTTCAATGCTTCCTTTAATTGTTCTTGTAATTCATCTTATAATTCTTTATAATAAATAAAAATTTCTCTCTTTTCAAGAACTTTCTCAAAAGTTATTTAAGGAGCCTTAGAAAGCTTTAAAATTCTTTTTATTTTTTCATGAATCTATTCATTAGGGTTTAATTTGATTATATCTAAAGGTTAATAAAAATAAGATACTTTTTTAAGTTGCAAACTAAAGTATTTCATCAAATAAATTTTATGCTAAACTAATTTTAAAATCTTAGATAGTAAAATATTCTGAAAAGTTTATATGCATGTAGGATGCCATATCTCTAAATTTTTATTTATCACTTTTGATTATATGAATCATTAATTATTTTAATGTAAGTAAACTTGAAGATTCTCCATTTAGTATAGATTTGACTGATAAATCAAATAATTATTATTTGTTTGAATAACTATTAATTATGTTTCTGATTCCATTTAGATCTCCAAAGAAATAAATAAAAAATGATAATAATTACTTTACTTATAGACAATATTCATAAAGTCCTTTCATTTAAGTCTAATTAAATAAAATTATAAATAATACATGTTCTATATCAACATTAACACTTTAAAAAAGTGATTGATCAGAATAGTTTGTACTTCTTGTAATATCTAATTTTGAACTTAAATCAAAGGATTCATAAATTTACTTATTAAATCCTTTTTTGTAATTTTAATGTTCTATTTATTCTTCTTATGATGATTCAACAATTTAATGTTTTTTTTTTTAAAAATAATTAGGTTCATTATCGAATAATTTCAATAATTTGTCTATTTGCTTATAAACCATTTGAAGTTATTCAATAGAATAACTTTCTATTGGTCGGTTACTTTCTAAATTATATACTTTCTCATCAATAAATTTTTTAGTAGTTAATGGTGCTAAGATTTTCCAAATTAATTAAGTAGTACTAAATACCTTTTTAGACTTTTAATTTCTATCTTCACTTAATAAAGATCTTTTAACTAATGAAAAATAAGCTCTCATAGCTTTATCTTTAATAATTGATCCTTTACTAACATATACTTAACCAGTGACCCATAAAGGAATTCTTTCATTATCATCAAAAAATTTTTATATATTTTCTGAGAAATGTATTCTCTAGTAGGCCTTTTACAAATCAAATTAATATTGCTATTAAAGTTCTACATTAATATAAAAAAGCGAATCTTCTTAAATTATTATTTATAAAATTTGAGAACAGCTTTCTTCGATCCCAAAAGCCCTTATTAATTTTTCTAAAGGAAAGTCTTCATAATTTTGATTAATGAAATCATAATGTGTAACTTTAATAGCTGTGAAAAAGCAATCAATTGGTCTCATTTTTACTATAAACTCAATTGTATGACCAGCTATACATACATAATGTTCTGGTAGATTATATAATTATGATTCATTTACATCAGAATGATTGAATATTTTTTTGATAGAGAATTTTCCAATATTATAAATGTTTTTTGGAATTTCTTAGTTAGAATCAACAGAATGCAATTAAATATTTTCAATGGCTTCTTTAGAAGAATCTCTGTATAAAGTGTATTATAATTAATTATATGAATTGTATTTGGATAATTGCTACTCTAAATTTTTAATATATTAAATGTGTGCAAAATCAATAAATTAAGCAATAAGGTAGTTATCAAAATGATATAAAGCTATTTATTCATCTTTATAGACAGATTTTAACTATTGGTTTTGTTATATATTTAACATTTCTTTTTATTTGTATTAAATTCTACTTTCATCAAGACATACCCCATAAGGAATTTCTTAATCAAATTTCATATATGGATATTTGATTTAAGAGATTTAATATTCTGATTTAAGTTTGATTTAATTTTAGGTGCAATTTAAATTATTAAATCTAGATTAATACAAATTAACATCGTTAAGACTTCTATCTTAAACTTCAAAAGTGAAATAAATTTGAAGTTGATCTTAAGTTGTTATGATCATTAAAATATTATTAGTATGCCATTGTTTTTCAAAATTCACATGTTAAAATTTCAGATTTGTTATATCAAATGTGTTTTTCAATTCAGCATTATAATTGTATATATTTGATTACTTAATTCTAATAATTTCTGTAAATTATTAATCTTTTAATCCAATATCATAAATAACTACATAAGTATCACAAACATTATCATCTTAATCATATTATTCAAATAAACCAAAACATATATTAAATTCTTCTTGAACTTATAATTATATTAAACCTTAAGTAGTAGCCCAAGGTGTGAAATCCTTAAAAATTCTATTAAATTATTTTTTAATTCTTTCTTTAATTTAAGATGTATAGTTCTAAGCAGTGTCAATAGACTTACAAGTAAGAAACCCTAAATTACCTCCATATATGAGATTTTCTTAGTAAAATATAATCTAATTAACAATTTCTCCATTAATATTAAACCCTTTTTTTAGCATTTGAAAGTTATCCAAATCTCCACGAAAAGTGTACAAAAAGATATAAAACTCTGAGGCAATTGCCATAGTCCATAATTCATCTTAACATTAGAAAGCCACCGCCGAAATGTACTCTGTATGATAAATTTATTGTTCTTTAATTCTTAATGGAAATTTGTACTTCTTGTCATCCTAAGCTATATTTAATATTTATACAGTGTTGTAATAATAATTGAGATCAGCCTAAATTGGTGAATAAAAATAAAATCGCAAAAATCTTTAGTTAAACACAAAGTAAAGAAAGCCTTCCTCTATACCACTAAGAGTGATTGAATCATCAAATTTAATTTTTTCATGATGGAAATTAATAAAATGGCCTTTGTATATAGGTATAGCTAAAGTTTTGTAAATAAATTCAAACATAGATTATTTTAAAGAATTGGAGTTTACTAGTTTCCAAAGAGTGTGTTTATTGGGTTAAAAGATGTAGATGATTTTGTAAACTTAAAATCTTTGGAAACTTGTTACTGCATAATCATCTTGGGTTTAGCTTATAACATAGTTATTTAATTAATTATATTCAGCAATGATGAGTTTTACATGGCGCCTTTTCATAATCTATAATATTTCGTATTAGATTTTCAACTATTGGATACTCATCAACTTTATATATATTAAAATAACTTACTTTCATTGCTATTTTCACTTTAAACACTATTTCGTTTAGTCTATGATTTAATTTATTCTTCATCACTAAACTCTCTCTACTCAATAATTGTTTTCAGATTCTATGTTCCTTAACGCTGATTTTGAGATTTACATTTTTGCTATGTATTTATAAACCATTAATTAGATATTGCATCCATTAATGAACATTAACAAAGTAGTTTCCTTATAAAATCTAATTGACTCAAAGAAAAAACATGAAAGTAATTCTCATTTGGAGTTTTCATTTCTAATTTCATTTAAATTCTACCTGTCAATATATCTATATTTAGATTTATTAAATCATGATCTATTCGGAAATCTGACATATACTTTATGTACATTTTAATATAGTCATTTTTATTCTATTTTTCATAGTATTTTATACTTCCATCTCTAAAACATTTTTTTTAAAGAAGGTGATCATATATAATAAGACTCCTAATTAATACAAATCACAATGTATTCCTGGAATTTGACCAAATTAACCACTTTTATATTAAAACTAACTGACCCAATCCCAATATTAAGTAACTTCATCACTTTATTTGAAAGGCTATCAAAATGAGTATTCTGAATACATAATAGACGAATCCTATAACTTATATTTCCATATTTATTGTCTCCTGGTTTATAAGTACATTTAAAGCATTAAGATTGCCATGATATGCTTCATGATCATGTAAATAACGAAGAAGGATCAATATCTAGTAAAATACCTAAAGTATTAAATTAAAGAAACAAAGGTACAGATGCTATTTGCGATTCGTTTAATTGTAATCCATTTATAAGAGCATTAAATAAAGGTTCTCCTTCATAGTAATCAGTAACCACGATATAATTTGATTGATCCTCATAAATACCTTTGACTTATAAGATTGCAGGATGTCTACTTTCATGTAATAATCCAAATGTCTATTCAAGGTAAGGTTATTATTTATTGATGAAGTAAGCAGACAATTATTCATTATTCTTGATATATCAAAAAAGATTACTTGCTTTTTGTTTGTAATCTTGTAGAAATCTTAAAATAGCTACTATTCTAATTAAAATTTTAGATAAAAGAGCTTTAGGATACTAAACTCTTTCATTTAATAATACCAAAGCAATTATACATCTTCATTTTTAAAGAGAAGCAGAATATCATTGTCTAATGTTATTAAATAACAGGTATTATTATTAAACAAGAAACTTTGTTTTTTTATCTGATATTACGATAATTGAATATTATGAATACCTATTCTTAATACATTAGGATAGAGTATGCAATATTCTTAAACAAGATTCCCATCAAACATTATTGTTAATAAATAATTAAGCTTTATTTCTGTTAGTCTAGGCTAATGATTCCATTATTTATGGTGAAGTGGATGTACAAAATTATTAAGAATAATCTTGAATTGATTACAATCTAAGTATTCTTTATAAGTTTGATCTGGACAATATTTTTTAGGAGAACGAACCTAGACGTTCTACATTTTATAAGTAATTTAATATAATATAATGAAGGATATGAAATAAAAATGATTAATGTGTTTATTTTTTTATAAATTAAATAATTAATTTAATTGAATATGTGATCCTAATTTTACTTTGATAAATGCTTTATATCTAAAAGAAAATAAAAATTGAGAACCAGATGATTTCATATACTGAATAAGACTGTCATCACTCAAAGGATTTCAAGAGGACCAATCATAAATTTTTTAATTTCAAACAAAATTTATCATTTATCATTTCTTTTTTTTGGAATCTTGTTTTTTAAAATTATAACTACTAACATTAAGATCATAATCTTAAAAATCAATTGTTACAATCGATGAAAGAACATAGATTTATAGTGTGCATCCTAAATTGATAATCTTTTCTACAAATAAAACTCCAACCTGTAACATTATTCAAATACTCTACTAATATTTATTATTTTTTTTTTTATCCTGTGCTCTAACAAATATAAGATGGAAATTAATTATAAATTTACATTCTAATCACGACAAAATATATTTTAAATTATCTATGTTCTTTAGTAAGGAATATAATATTGCCTTTTGAATCAATAAATCTAATTATTTATTTAAATTCAATTTGGGGTTCACAAGCTCTCATAATTTTTTAGCTAAATTTATTGGAAAGAAAAATAATTAAAAATCAATACTACAAATAAAGATTAGATATTAAAATTTTTAAATTTTAAAATTTATGCTATATGTAATCTTTAACATATTAATACTATCAAGCATTTAAAGCAAATGCAATAAAAATTGATAAGATAGCAGCAGTGCTTGATGAAGAATTATCACTTTTTGAAGAATTATCACTTTTTGAAGAATTTGATACTACTGAGTTATCGAATAAGGATATTAATTTTGAGCATTATTAGCATTTGCCTTCAGAAGTCCATCTGTAATTATAACCTAAAAAACTACTGCAATTTTTTTCAGTGAAATCCTTAATATCAACTGCTTCAGCACAGGAATCATTTTACCAAATACATGCTATTGCTTCATATCTACTGGTCTAAGCATACTAACAGTGATATTTGTCCTTCTTATGAGCACATGTCTCAAAAGTACATTCATTTTTTGCATATACGCAATGACTGCTTTCACATACATTTTAAAAGTCATTCAAATCTGTGCATATATAGGCTTTGGTTAATGATTAACATTCGTTAGAATTACTCCAAGCACAAGTAGTTGTTTCAGAATCTTATCCGTGACAATCATCATTTGTTTTATAATTAGAGCATATATTTTTTTCACATTTATTATTACGAGTTGTGCATTCATAAGAATATGGGCAATGTATTTCATCATAGTTTTCACAAGATGAGAAATTCTCACATACACCTTTGCTATTCCAATAGCAGAGGCAATCTTTTTTACTTTAGAAATCTGAGCATGAGTATTCATAATCAACACACTTTGAATTTTCCCAAGTGCAACGATAATAGGCATTATCCTAAGTACAATCGGGTTGAGTTTTATCTGAACAAGGTACATCTTCAATTTCTTGACAAGTAGTATTCCATTTACAATAAGGTTCTAATGTTTCACAATCACTCTTAGCCGTTAATTCTTCACATGAACAACGAACAGATAAATCAACAGTTATAGCGGCAAATATTGTTGCTAAAAGGCTAACCCAAATTATCAAAAGTTTTTTCATATTATAAATATTATTAATTTTAAATTTAATATCATTTTATTATAAACTCCTACAGGTACTTCAAATCTTTCCTAAATTTAATTAATTTAAATATTTTTAATTTTTATATATAAAGCCAAAATATATTAACACATATGTATTTTTAAATTATTAAACCAAGGAAAAAGTGGATCAAAATCTATATGTTTATATAACTTATAATATAATATAATAATTTAAAATATCATCATTATTGGCAATAATTAACAATATAAAATAATTTAATAATAATTAGCCAATAAAGTTTTAAATATATAATAAACATTCATTATTATTATTATATTAACATTCTCTAATGGCGTTTAAATTATAAAGCATTCTATAACATATAATGATTCCTGTCATAATTTACAGGCTTATTGAAGCAATATTTATTTATTAAAACATTGATAATGTGTCTCTATTAAAGGTGATTTGATAAGGTTGATTAATAATGAGATATTAACTATAGGTTGGAAAGTTGAATGCTTTATTATTATTATTATTCATTTTTATATATAAAATGAAAAAGCAAACAAAAGGGGAGCCAGATCTTTTGATTGAATCAATGCAAAAACTCATTGAGTAAATTTACTTATTTTATTAGTAAGTCATATGAATGATAGTAAATAACATTAGGAGGAAATATTTCAATCGCTTACACCTACAGATGTTCAAAAAATACTTACAAATTTTGAAGATAAAAACTAAGTAATGCGAAAAACATCAGCAGCATTTTTATGTGAACTTGTATTCGATAACCCTACAGTTTAAAAAGGGTTTTGTGAGATTTCAAATATTCTACCTATGGATGGAAAAGTAAAAATTGATATAATTAGATTTGCGTAAACAAAATTCCATAATCGCTATTGAATTAGTCAAAGCATTTACCTGAAATCTTTGAGACAATTAAAACTGCATAAATTCCATTTGATACTGATTTAAATTATCCTTTATGTTGGTATTTTGAAAATTAGAGAGATAAAGTGTGGAAGAAGGGAGTCAAGTTTATTAAATTTGAAAAAAGCAACAACAATGCAAAGGCTAGAATAGAGAAGTTTATTGATCCGTAGTTGCATCTATTTGGTTTTATAATAGCAAATAAAAAGGATATATAATCATAAGAAGAAATAAAGAAAGTTACAATATAAACTAGATAATTGTAGAGTGTGTCCACTTACGAATAGAATGTTAAAAGAATACCAAATGTTTAAAAAATGAGACCAAATTCAGGGCAATCTCCAATTTAATCAGTAAGTCCTTTAATCAAAAGATAAAGAGTAATGAATGCGTCTGTAGATTATGATACAAGTGGAACAAAATCATCTCTTGGAAAAACAATGATAGAAACAGAATAATTACAAACAATAAATGAAATAGATAGGCCAAAATCAAAATTAGAGAGTAAGANGCCAATAAAGTTTTAAATATATAATAAACATTCATTATTATTATTATATTAACATTCTCTAATGGCGTTTAAATTATAAAGCATTCTATAACATATAATGATTCCTGTCATAATTTACAGGCTTATTGAAGCAATATTTATTTATTAAAACATTGATAATGTGTCTCTATTAAAGGTGATTTGATAAGGTTGATTAATAATGAGATATTAACTATAGGTTGGAAAGTTGAATGCTTTATTATTATTATTATTCATTTTTATATATAAAATGAAAAAGCAAACAAAAGGGGAGCCAGATCTTTTGATTGAATCAATGCAAAAACTCATTGAGTAAATTTACTTATTTTATTAGTAAGTCATATGAATGATAGTAAATAACATTAGGAGGAAATATTTCAATCGCTTACACCTACAGATGTTCAAAAAATACTTACAAATTTTGAAGATAAAAACTAAGTAATGCGAAAAACATCAGCAGCATTTTTATGTGAACTTGTATTCGATAACCCTACAGTTTAAAAAGGGTTTTGTGAGATTTCAAATATTCTACCTATGGATGGAAAAGTAAAAATTGATATAATTAGATTTGCGTAAACAAAATTCCATAATCGCTATTGAATTAGTCAAAGCATTTACCTGAAATCTTTGAGACAATTAAAACTGCATAAATTCCATTTGATACTGATTTAAATTATCCTTTATGTTGGTATTTTGAAAATTAGAGAGATAAAGTGTGGAAGAAGGGAGTCAAGTTTATTAAATTTGAAAAAAGCAACAACAATGCAAAGGCTAGAATAGAGAAGTTTATTGATCCGTAGTTGCATCTATTTGGTTTTATAATAGCAAATAAAAAGGATATATAATCATAAGAAGAAATAAAGAAAGTTACAATATAAACTAGATAATTGTAGAGTGTGTCCACTTACGAATAGAATGTTAAAAGAATACCAAATGTTTAAAAAATGAGACCAAATTCAGGGCAATCTCCAATTTAATCAGTAAGTCCTTTAATCAAAAGATAAAGAGTAATGAATGCGTCTGTAGATTATGATACAAGTGGAACAAAATCATCTCTTGGAAAAACAATGATAGAAACAGAATAATTACAAACAATAAATGAAATAGATAGGCCAAAATCAAAATTAGAGAGTAAGAAGAGCTCAACGAATAACAATATATCAAACAACTAGAAGAGATTTAAATGATTATATTAAATAACTAAAAATAATTATAAAATGGCTGGTGTTTTAAAAACTGTTGGTGACTACTTTGAATTAGATAAGTATCAGAATGAGATAGCTCCATTTGTGAAGGAGAACTATAATATGGTTTAATAGATGATATAGACAAAAGAGAAAGAGTGTTTAAATAAAAATTTAGATAATGAGCAGAAATATATCGAATGTATGTAGAAGAATGCTGAACGATCAGAAAGGGCATTAAAAAGACTCGGTAATGAGATGATAATAAAATTGAGAATATGGAATAATGTATTGGAAACAAAAAACTTATGAGTGTTTTCATAGTGAAGCATACAAGGATAAGGAGATAAAGAATTTTGATAGATGTAAGCCTATAGCGAATAATGAATTACAAGAAATCTTTTCGAGTTTTAGGTTGTGAATATTGATGATCATTAAATATAAATTTTATTAAAAGATATGAGTAAACAGCGCAAGACTCAATTGGAAGAATTGCAGGAAAAAGAGAGTAGCTTTGGTAGAGTATTCAAAGTGGCAGGTCCATGTAAATAGTGTTCTTAAATTTAATAGTGGTGGTGGCAGAGAAAATGGCAGGAGCCAAGATGTTTGAGTTAGTGAAGGTAGGTTGGGATAAGTTAGTTGGTGAAATCATTAAGTTGGAAGGTGATAATGCGTCTATTCAATGCTATGAAGATACATGTACTTAAAGCTTAATTATTAATGATTAGCTGGTTTGACAGTCGGTGATCCTGTTATGAGAACAAAGTCTCCACTTTCAGTTGAATTGGGACCAGGTAGATTTCCTAAATATTTTAGGTATTTTGACTTAAATTTTTGACGGAATTTAAAGACCTTTATAAGTGATTGCTGAACAATCGGCTTCCATTTTCGTACCAAGAGGAGTTGATATTCCAGCATTAGATTAAGATAGAGTTTGGGATTTCAAACCTTTACCTACAATAAAAGTAGGCTCTATGATCAGCGGAGGGGATATCTATGGATCAGTCTTTGAAAACAATCTTTTTGATGAGCACAAAATATTAACAGCACCAAAAGTTTAAGGAAGAGTCACTTACATTGCACCTGAAGGCAATTACACATTAAAAGACAAAGTTTTAGAAGTAGAATTGGATGGCAAGAGACACTAATATGGAATGAGTCATTTCTGGCCTGTTAGATAACCTAGACCAATCATTGAGAAATTATAGGGTAACACTCCACTCCTTACAGGATAAAGAGTTCTTGATGCACTCTATCCTTCAGTATTGGGAGGTACCTGTTGTATTCCAGGGGCATTTGGATGTGGCAAAACTTGTATTTCTTAAGCGCTTTCCAAATATTCAAATTCTGAATGTATCATCTACGTTGGATGTGGAGAAAGAGGAAATGAAATGGCTGAAGTGCTCAGTGAATTCCCTGAATTGACTATTCAAATGAAAGGTAAGGAGGAGAATATTATGTAACGTACATGTCTTGTTGCTAATACATCTAATATGCCAGTGGCTGCAAGAGAAGCTTCTATTTATACAGGAATTACTTTAGCTGAATATTTTAGAGATATGGGTTTCAATGTATCTATGATGGCTGACTCTACTTCAAGATGGGCAGAAGCCTTAAGAGAAATCTCTGGTAGATTGGCAGAAATGCCTGCAGATTAAGGTTATCCAGCTTATTTGGCCTCCAAATTGGCTCAATTTTATGAAAGAGCAGGAAGAGTTAGATGCAGAGGTTCTCCTGATAGAGAAGGATCAATCACTATTGTCGGAGCTGTCTCACCTCCAGGAGGAGTATAAATTTATATCAAGTTTAGGATTTTACTGATCCTGTTACTACTGCTACACTCACTATTGTTCAAGTCTTTTGGGGATTAGATAAAAAACTAGCTTAGAGAAAACATTTCCCATCTGTAAATTGGACCATTTCCAATTCCAATTATGAAAAAATTCTAGAACCATATTTTAATGCCTTTGATCCTGAATTCTCACATTTGAGAGTTATGTTCAAGCAAATCTTGCATGAAGAATCTGAATTAAATGAAATTGTTTAGTTGGTCGGTAGAGATTCTCTCTCTGAAGATCAAAAATTATCTTTGGAAGTATATTATCTCTCCAATATAGATTGCCAAAATTATTAGAGAAGATTTCTTATAATAGGATGCCTTTAGCAAATACGATTATAATTGTCCACTTTATAAAACTATTGGTATGATGAGATGCATTGTCTCATTCTTTGAATGCGGTAAAAAGGCTATTCTTGAATCATCTGGTGATGCCAAAATAACTTGGAATATCATTCTGAATCAAACTAAACCTTAATTTGTCAAATTATCATAAATGAAATTTGAAGTATCTTTATTTTTATTATCTTAAGGATCCTAAATAACCAAAATAAGAACTTATGAATTATTTCACTAAATTTGTAGATGAGATCAAATCAGCATTTAGAAACTTAACAGACAAATGAGTATCATTAAAAATTACATAAATAATTATTTTTATAGCTAACCTAATCTATTTTTTTTATTTTTCCTTCTCTGCTGAATAATTAGTATGATTCACATTATTTTTTTAAAACTCAAGATATTGTTTTTTCAAAAAAAATGATTCAGATCTTAATACTTGTTGTTTAAATTTTACTATTCTAATCTATAAAAATGAAGCTAAAGATGATATCTAAAAAATAATTATAAGATATATTTAAAATTGTTCTTAATTATGAAAAAAAATTAGTATCATCAAAAATATTTTTTTAAGATTGCTATTCATTGCTAACGCATTCTTGAAAGTTTCCATCAGTAACTTATTAATTGAGTAATCAATAGTTTCTACTTTTCATATTGATAGAAAATTAAAATTAGTTTGCCTTTTCTATACAAATTTTAAGTTTAATAACCTCTAAAAATTGAAAAATTAGTTAAGGATCAAAATTGTAATTAGCAAAATTTATTTAGTCTAAGCCGCTGCCTTAAATTAAAGCTTAAATAATATTAAATAAAAAGAAGTTTATTCTTGATATATTGTAGAATTAATAAAAAGCAATATTTGCATGAAAATGTTAAAAATGATAGATTTAGCTATAATGAGAAAGAATCTGCAAAATTTGATGAGCAGTTGCTAAAAGTTGAGAAGAAAAGAACAACAATAATGATTAAGAAATTGAAAATAACTTAAATGAGATACCAATTACAGAGTAAGTTGATCTTAATTAATTTTCTTTAGAGGAAATATTATTTAAGACCAAGGAATATTTAATTTTTTGCAATCTTCATAGGCGTTCCATTTGTTTTAGTCCTAAAATTTTATTTCTTTCTATATTATCAAGGTTGTCGCAAATCAAAGGAAAAGAAATAATCTTAAAAAAGAATGAAAAAAAAACTCAAAGATTATAAATTCTGAAAATAAAAAGAAATCCTATCAGTAGAATAAAGTGGAAGTATTAAAAAATAAAAGCAACTAAGATTGATTAACATAATAAAAACAACTTATTTTATAAGTATCCATTATATGGCTTATATTTGTACATTTTTTTAACTTATAAATAAGAATATTTATAAAATCTAAGATTCAACTATTTTGGTTTCTGAGGGTTAAATCACAAAAAACAAATAATGAAGTTTCATTATTTTTATAAATAAATATTTATTTGTATTAATAAATTAATAATAATTAATTTCCAAAAAAATATTCTTTTCAAAATTTGCCTTAATCTACCTTTAAATCCTAGTTATAAAGAATTAATTGAGATTAATTGTTAATTATTAATTGTTAATATCCTTGAACTTATCATTAATTTGTTATAATTTGGAATTCCTCAAATTAATAATAAAAATTCCTTCACCTAAACCTTTTAATATTTTACCCATAGCCAAAAAAGCATTATAATTATTAAATTATAAATGACCTCGAAAGTCTTTTCAGAGACATAAACAATTTATGAATAAACTTTTGCAACAAAATTGCCACCATAATCTATTCAAGTGGATTAATGGAGGAGCTAAATAATTAATTTAGCATAAAAATTTTTATGTGAGCATTAATAAATTAATGAATTAAAAATAATATATAAAAAATCAAAAATTTATTCTCCCCTCTTTTATTCTATGCAATTATGATTATAATATTACAGCTCATTTTTTAGGATCTTGGTTATTTGATCTTGTTATTATTTGATTACACTTAGTTTTAAGTAACCTCAATCACAACTTTATTTTCCCTATATTAAAGTAAATATATCATAAAGAATCAAGAAGATAAGCGTTCATGTATACTTTGATTTATTTATATATTATGAGAGTAATTTATTTTTAATAAAAATTTATATAAATGGAGCATCATTAATACATAGAAAAAATAACAGAGGAGAGAAGGATTCGAGATGAATAGTAAAATTTTAATTTAGGTTCCTAAGACGCAAACAAAGACTCTTGGAAGAAGAGAAAATCAAATAACTATCGCTTTAGCAATTAGAGACAATTAAATTATAATAATTAAAGGAACTTTAAGATTCAAGGAGATTGTAATCAAAATTAAATATGTCATTTATTTAATTGAAGTCAGATGAACGAACATAAAAGGTAAAGGAATAAAATAAAAGAGTCAAATAATTATTAGAGTAATTTAGAAGAGAAAAGTAAGAATAGGAGATTAAGCAAAAGTTATTTGAATAGCAGAGAGAAGAAGAAGTGAAATAAAAGCTACTATAAATAAAGGAGAAATTTAAATTATTATCAGCAGATGAAATAAAGGAGCACTAAAATAAATATAAGAAATATTAAGAGGAGCATTAATAATAATTGACAATTTTGAGAGATCAAAAGAAATTATAGGACACCTACTTTTCTCAATAAGTCTAATCTAGATTAAGAAGCAGAACCTATCAAGCTTAAATAGAAATGATGAAAGAGGAAGAATAAAAAAGAAAGGAAAATGAGGACAGATTGAGAAGACAAATTAAAGAAAGATTTGCTTATGATCACTTTGTAAAAGAACACTTCTTGCCAAAAGTATCTCAGAGCATTGATTTAACAAGCTAAACAATTATTAATCAAAAATCGAACAATCTAATTCCTTAGATAAATAGCGACTCTAAAGTTCTGGGGAATTTGTATTTGAGACAAATAAGAAAATTGCCTAAAAGACCTAGAATTAAATCATAAGCTGGTGCTGAATAATCATCTTCATCTACAATAAAACGAGACTATTTATCTGAGATTCGATAATATTCAAAAAGAAAGACCCCTTAGACTCCCCTTGATATTAAATTTTAAGCTGAAAGGTATATAAATAATCTTAAATATTAAAGATTAGAAAGAGAGTCTAAATAAGCATACACAAAAAATAAATTAAAAGGTGATAAACTTCTAATGGAATCAATAAAGTAAAAAATGCTCTTATTAGAATTATGAATATAAATGATACTATTTAAAGTTCAATTATTTAAGATCATTTTTGATAATTTTCTCAATTCTTGGATATATAAATTTGTTGCTCCATAATTCTAACTCTTTAATGATTGAACAAAATCTTGAACTTTTTCCACTGGTACAATTTCATTCTAGGTCTTTTTTGGAATCATCAAACTAAAATTACAACAAGATATACCTAGAATTAAGGGTATTCAATTCAACGCTTGATTTTTGGAAAGACAATCTTCAAGGGGAAACTGTTTTGGAGTGATTTATTATGTTCTAGGCAATTTTGGAGAATGTGTTGTCTTTGCTAAGGGTTTATATGAATTGACTCCTTTATCTTTTACTTTTTTTTTTGTAGTCTTTTAATTTTAAAATATAGTAAACTATTAATCATTAACATCTTTTCTCTATATATTAATTGAACCATATTGTTTATTACTTAAGACAAATGAACTCTATTGCATTGATTTATTAATATAATAACAGATAAATACTATTATTTATTATTCAGGGCTTTTAATCATTAAATTAATTACAAAACTCTATGAAAGTTTGACTAAATAATCCAAAATTTATTTTTTCAATAACACAAAAAAAATTGTTCTGTTAAACATATCAAAGCACATGTTTTTTTTCCTAATTCTAATTCATAATTCTTAAATGAATTAAGATTGTTAATGTCGACTCTCTAGGAAAGTAGTTTTGCTGTTTTTAGAAAATATTCCTTTCAGCTTTAAATTTTTTTCTTAAGCTAATTAATATGGAAATATATGACAAGTTCATTCTAATTGTTGTAGAAAATTACACTTAACTTTTAATTAATTACATCAATAAACATTTAGGATTTATCTTATATTTCTAGATTTGTTAATCATAAATTATACTTTGATGTTCATATTTACATTTGAATCAACTTATATATATCAAAAAATCTATACGCTGTATTAAATTGTTAGATTATTAGTGTAACTTAGCCATATGCTAACAATCTCAAAGAAATAAAATTCAGTTTAATTAAAACAAGAGATTTATACTGAGCATTTATTGTGTTTAAATGGAACAGGTGATGTTTATTAATAAAAAGAAAAAGTTGCGTTTGATAAATATTTAAATAATTATAATTATGAAGGCTTGAAAATAAATGCGAAAAATTTGCAAATTTATTTTTTTAATTTAATTTCAAATATCTTTATCTAAGCTCTTTATATTTCTATTTCTCTGGTTGTATGATTATAAAGATTTAGAAAATCTGTAATCATTCTTTTGATTTTTAGTTAAAAATAGATTTTAGTAGCAATTTTAAATTAATTACAGGAGTGAGTTTCTTTAATTTATTTATAAAAAATGATATTTTTTTTAGATAAAAAAAAGGAGGAGATAGACTACAACATTTCCATTATAAAATTCAATTTGAATAATATCTTGTTAATTCGATCAAAATGACTATAGCTTCGAAGAATTACTGATAAATAATTGAGGATTAAAGAGACTGAAAATTAATTATAAAGATGAGCTGACAAGATGTAAATGAAAATAATAATGATAATAAAAATTATAATGACTATTCAAGTAAGGCTCTTATTTTATAAGTTTTTGCTTGATAGATTATAAAAAATGAAAGATTCTTTTACTCCATTTAATTTTAATTATCGATAAGATAATTACTTTATAGAGAAATTTATTGCATGATTCTGGCCATAATAGTTTTTAATATTCCTATTTAATGGAAAATTTAATTGAATGTTAATAATAAAAATTCATACTATTTTGTTTCTCTTTAAATGAAAATAAAATACTCCAAGTCCTATTCATAATTTAGACTCATAAAGTTTATCTTTATTACAAATAAAACTCTATTTAATTTAAATTAATCCATATATACATTCCATTTTATTTTCTTTAAATATAAAATGATTTTTCTATATTATGCAAAATGGACTATATGTAGTATATATTATTTGTTGAATATATAATTATTATAGAAAACTTACACATAGTTAAAAATGGCTGATTTTCCTACTCCAATTGATGTAAATCAAATAGCAAAGACTTCTCAACAGGATCAAAATACATCTTATAATTAAGCATGTGTAGTACCATAAGCTTAATAAGGCAATGCATATCTCGTATTTTCTCCTCAAATATAATTACAAAATCAAATCCAATATGCAAAAAATCAAGTTCAGCCAATTATATATCCATAATTCTAACAAACTCAATTATATCTTAATCAACCTTTATTATAAGCTTAGTAATAACAATTCCTACAACCCTAAATTGTCAAAAAATAGGATACTCTGAAACATGAAGAACTGAGCAGAGCTGGTTATCTGGAAAGAAGAGATTTTAATTTATCAGTCTTAAAATATTACCTCATTTTTTAGGCTTTCTCCCTAGTTTTGTGTATTTGCTCCTATAGAAATGACTTTTTGAAGTTTTCTTATGATTTGAATGGACATTTCAAATTACCCTTTTACATATTTGTCACAATTATGAGCTTGGCTTTATTATATTCATACACAAGTCATAAAAAATTGAGAGACAAACAAATAAAAGTCATCTTAATTGTTGTTTATGGATTATGTTATGGATTTTTTATTCAAGCTATTTACTCTTCTACTTATTGTAATTACAATCCTTAAAATAACTATTATGGAAGTATCCTAAATAATTAAGGAAATTGTGAGATTGTTATAATTTTACTTAGTTTCATCAATCTTGAAACATATTCATTATTTTCTTATTGTATGTAGGAAGTAGAAGAATTGAGCATTAAAAGTTAAATTTATTTTTATAATTCTAGATTCATTTTGGTATATAATATTACCTAACTTGACTTTTGGAGGTATTTTGTTTTCCCTTTATTACAACTATGAAATATTATGTTTCATGATAGCTTTCAGTTGTTGTTTTGGATTTTATCTTCAATTCACTCTAAAGAGGATGATAAAATCAAAGAAAGTATTTTATTTAAATATAAATTCAGTTCAAATTACGATCAGATGAAGGTGCATTTGCATCTGTTTTATTTAGTTTCTTAATATTGGTTCCATTCTTTGATTTGGAAATCAAAAGCAAACAGATACAAGCCGACATAACCCAAAGCGAAAATTCTGAATAGAAAAATGTACAATGAGGAAAATTATAAAACAATATTCATAATTTATATTACTATTACATAGTATTCATATCTATTAATATAATTATCTAATGGCTTAGCAATAGAGAAATGAAACAATAGTGCCTATTTTAGTTACATAAGAGGAATATAATGAAATTATGAAATAANAGTACCATAAGCTTAATAAGGCAATGCATATCTCGTATTTTCTCCTCAAATATAATTACAAAATCAAATCCAATATGCAAAAAATCAAGTTCAGCCAATTATATATCCATAATTCTAACAAACTCAATTATATCTTAATCAACCTTTATTATAAGCTTAGTAATAACAATTCCTACAACCCTAAATTGTCAAAAAATAGGATACTCTGAAACATGAAGAACTGAGCAGAGCTGGTTATCTGGAAAGAAGAGATTTTAATTTATCAGTCTTAAAATATTACCTCATTTTTTAGGCTTTCTCCCTAGTTTTGTGTATTTGCTCCTATAGAAATGACTTTTTGAAGTTTTCTTATGATTTGAATGGACATTTCAAATTACCCTTTTACATATTTGTCACAATTATGAGCTTGGCTTTATTATATTCATACACAAGTCATAAAAAATTGAGAGACAAACAAATAAAAGTCATCTTAATTGTTGTTTATGGATTATGTTATGGATTTTTTATTCAAGCTATTTACTCTTCTACTTATTGTAATTACAATCCTTAAAATAACTATTATGGAAGTATCCTAAATAATTAAGGAAATTGTGAGATTGTTATAATTTTACTTAGTTTCATCAATCTTGAAACATATTCATTATTTTCTTATTGTATGTAGGAAGTAGAAGAATTGAGCATTAAAAGTTAAATTTATTTTTATAATTCTAGATTCATTTTGGTATATAATATTACCTAACTTGACTTTTGGAGGTATTTTGTTTTCCCTTTATTACAACTATGAAATATTATGTTTCATGATAGCTTTCAGTTGTTGTTTTGGATTTTATCTTCAATTCACTCTAAAGAGGATGATAAAATCAAAGAAAGTATTTTATTTAAATATAAATTCAGTTCAAATTACGATCAGATGAAGGTGCATTTGCATCTGTTTTATTTAGTTTCTTAATATTGGTTCCATTCTTTGATTTGGAAATCAAAAGCAAACAGATACAAGCCGACATAACCCAAAGCGAAAATTCTGAATAGAAAAATGTACAATGAGGAAAATTATAAAACAATATTCATAATTTATATTACTATTACATAGTATTCATATCTATTAATATAATTATCTAATGGCTTAGCAATAGAGAAATGAAACAATAGTGCCTATTTTAGTTACATAAGAGGAATATAATGAAATTATGAAATAACCTGATTATATATAACAATAGCTATTATAATAATTGCAACAAAAAAAGTAGGAATAATAATAATAATAATAATTATATCAACACCCCTATTTACAATATCAAAATTAATAAGATAATAATAAATATGGAGTTATACCAGCAATTCCCTCACATCCTGTTGAACATTTCAATTAATAATAATAATAGTATTAATACACTCCTTAGCAGTAACTTTTATAACAGTATAATCAAAATTTAAATTAAAATTTAATACAAAAAGAAATTATAATCTTATAACATAGAGAAGTTGAAGCTGCTGGAGAAAATGAAGTTAAATATTTTAATCAAAACCTTGCCAAATTTTTTTCAATAGAATTAGGAATATCTATATTGCTTAATTTTATTTCAGCAATTTTTAGAATGAGGATGATAAATTATTATTGGCAATGGAATGCTCCTTTATGGATAGTTTTAGTACTTTACATTTTGTTGAATCTATTCATATTGACCAATCCAAAGATAATTTTACATGTATTTTTTTTTAATTTATATTAGAATAATCATTAAAAATTATTTTATGTTATACATGTAGTTTTATATTCCTTGCTCATGTAAGGATTGCAAATAGCAGTATAAGGATATGTATATTTTGGATGGAACTACTTCTTTTTCTTTTATTTCATGATTGCTGCTAGTTTAATTTGTGTTTGTATAATGATAAAAAGAAAAGGAATAAATTTATCAACGCCTTAATATTTACCATCAACTATTGTTCCTGTTTGCTTTATATTACTTCTAAAGATTCTTTTTTCTTATGAATTCTATTGGCCTCTATTTTTGTGGGGAATCTTTGTAGTTATTTTTGCATAAGGACTAGTATTGCTTTTTAGAAGAATTAGTAAAATTGGATATGTAAATAATATATTTATTTTTAGAACAAACATCATACCAATGATTTTTATGCGATGGCAACTGTTATGCCTATTTTAATGATCAGTCCATTTTATGATAACGAATGATTATAAATTATAAGCCAAATTAAATAAAAAATTTATTATAATAATTATATCGATTCCACTATTTTCCTGAAATCTTTAAAAAATTATAATTATAATATCAATCAACATGAATCAGTAGCTAACGAGTATACAATTCTCCTTAAAAATCCTAATCAAGAATAATAAATAATGATACATGAATTGTTTCTATGTTATTTTCAATTTTGTTTTAGCAATTTTCACCTTTTAGTACTTGTATCAACCTTTCAATATAATGATTTTTAGTAATTAAAATGTTTATTGATTAGTTTTAATTTATCAACCTTTTATTTCATTTTTTTATTCAATGCAAATACGATTTCTCTCGAATAAATTGTAGGTGATGTACAGAATTTTACCTTCAAATAGTCTAGAATCAGTCCATAATTTTAATAATGTAGTTGACTCTTAAATTAATAAATCAAAATTTTATTATCAACTCTAATATAATTAATAAGCTTAGAAATTAATAATTCAAAGTGTTTGTCAATAATGATAATGATCTATAATACTTTATTAAGATTTTAATTACACAGGTTTCTCTTAAGAAAATTTCATACCAATTTTTAAATATTTTGGAAATTCAATCTCTTTTTAATGCCCAGAACAGGCTACAATTATTGTTAATTATATTCCATCTACTTCACAACATATATATATAATTTCTTGTTCACTTCTGAATTAATTTTCCAAAAGCCATCATAAGGATTTCTTAATCTTATTTCTATATACTATTAAGTAAATTTAAGGCATCAACTAATAATTTATCACTATTTACTTTATTTACTTTAATCAGATTCAATAAGATTAGACATTAAGTTTGAATATTGTGAAGTAAATTTTAGCTAATTTTTTCAGCTTTAAGGCTGAACATTTAAAAACATTCCTAACATATTTATTTTAAATTGATTTTTCTCTAAAATTGTTATAATAATTATCATTTTTTTTCATATGAATAATTGTAGTTATACATTATTATTGCAAATATTACAAATTTAAGCATTATTACATTCTTATAAATAAAAGAATCAACGATAAATTAGATTATTTAGCCCGTAAGCAGTAAAGACTTAATAAATAAGGTGTTATATATTAATATACATAATATATATTAATGTTATAACTGTAGTTTTCTAGTTCATTTTAATTCATTATCTAACATCTTTGGAATTCTCTCATATAAAATTATTTAATATAATTCTTTCTTAATTATCATTATCATTTCTTCTTTAAAATAATAGATTCAAGTTAAACTTTGATTATTAACTTTCTTGATTACAAATCTATAATACAATTACAATCCAAACATTTATATTAAATAATTGTGCCAACTCAATGCTTATAAATTGTTAAATAATATAAAATAACTTTCAAAAAAGATTTTTTTATTTTATATGTTATTTTTTAAATTATTTTAACAATAATAAAGATATTTTTATTTTTCAACCTCTCTTTCTAAATCTTACATAATTCTATAATAATTAAAGTTCCTTTTTGATAAAATAATTACTTTTTATATAGATTTTCTGTTTTTGTAAATGATAAATGCTTTACAATCAATTAAAAATATAAACATCTTAAAATAATTATAATTTTTTAACTTAAACTTAATTATTTAAGAAATCATATAAATCATATGGCAAGCTACCAATAAAATAATATTTTTTGACTCTTTTACTGTATAATAAAGATTAATAATTTATGTTTTCTTTTTTTAACATTTAGATACATGGTTGTTATTTGATTTCGTAAAAGATTATGGGATGTAATTTATTATATTTTATTGTTTTAGATTTAATGATAAGTATATTTATTTTTGATAATTTAGAACTTTTAAAAGGAATTTTGGTTGATCTTTTGGAATAATTTCCTAATTAACTCCTTAATCAATATTGATTCAGTTACAGTTTTAACGTCCCATGTAATCATCTGGTTCTCAAAATTTACATTCTTTTAAGTTAAGTAAAAGCCATATTAAGTTTGTTGTAAATCTACTGAGGAAAAGTAAAATTTCAGAATTATCTATTAAGTTCAAACTGAGAAGTGATCAATAATTCATTAGAGTAGTGCTTATATATTTTTAATATTGAATAATAATTTTTTTTTTTATCGAAAGATTTAAATAATAAAATGCTAAGATTGTTATTTTAATCATGTAAAAATTATGAGAAGATAATCAAATACATATTTTTAAAACTTAGAAAAACTATTAATAAATTTCGATTAATGAATACCAATATAGATAAAAAAATCGGTTAAAAAATAAATAAAAATTTTAAATAACAAACTTCTGAAATGATCTAAATTGAAAACAATAGCCATTCTATTTTTTCAGTTGTGTATTCTTATATTAAGTAAATAGAAAACTTGATGATATTAAGTGTTTATCCTAATTTTGTTAACAGTTTCATAGACTCAACTATTGAGAAATACATAAAAATCTTTGTTTTACTTTGAGAATCATTAAATTCATTCATTCTCCTAACGATCAATAAAAAATAAATGAAATAAATAAAAAGGGGAGAGTTCGAAATAATTATTAGACAATTTGTCTTATATATATTATTTTCTATTAGCTACTTATATATGTGACAACCATCTTGAAAAATTTTATTTTTATTAATGAATTTTGTACTATATTTGGGCCTTTATCTAAAAATTACAAAAAAATGTTTAAATTAATTAAGTCTATAAAAATTTGATTTACCTGTCGTTGTTTATAATCAAAAAAGATATTTAATTAAAAATTAATAATATATATTTATAATATGAACAAACTTTTGATAATATGGGTTAGCCTTTTAGCAATAACATTTGCAGCTATAACTTTTGATACATCTGTTCGTTGTTCATGTGTAGAATTAACGGCTAAGAGTGATTGTGAAACATTAGATGATTATTGTAAATGGAATACTACTTGTCAAGAAATTGAAGATGTACCTTTTTCTTGTTCAAATTACACTCAAACAGAATGTACTAAGGAAAAGACCTATTATGATTGCACTTGGGAAAATTCATAGTGTGTTGATTATGAATACTCATGCTCAGATTTCAAAAGTAAAAATGATTGTCTCTGCTATTGGAATAAAAATAATGAATGTGAGAGTTTCTCATCTTGTGATAATTATGATAAAGATAATTGCCCAACCAATTCTTAAACATGCACAACTCGTAATAATGTATGCGAAGAAATTATATGCTCTAATTATAAAACAAAGGTTGATTGTTACGGATAAGATTCTGAAACAACCAGATGTGCTTGGAGTAATTCTAACGAATGTTAATCATTAACCAAAGACTATATATGCACAGATTTGGATGACTTTTAGGATTTATGTGAAAGCAAAAATTGCGTATATGCATCAAATGAATGTACTTTTAAGACATGTGCTCATAAGAAGGACAAATATGACTGTTACTATGCTTAGACCAGTAAATATGAAGCAATAGCATGTATTTGGTAAAATGAAACCTGTGCTGAAGCAGTTGATACTAAGAATTTCACAGCTGAAAATTGCACTAGTTCAAGATTAGGTTATAATTACAGATGGAATAAAGAAACGTCAGCATGTTAAGAATGTGACGATTTGATATCAAGATTACCTGATCATGCTGTTATCTTATCAGTTTTTGTTGCGCTTGCTTTAAATGCTTGATAGTATTATTATTTTAAAGATTAAATATTTTAAATTTTCATTTATTTATGTTCCTTTAAATTAAATCATTCTATTAAATTAACTGATTTTAAACTTTTATTTTAATTATATTTATTAGAGATTTATGTGAATTATTTATAATATTCTTAATCTTATCAATTTATCGTAAAGTAATATAATTAATAGTTAAAAACTTTATTTTTTAAAATATCTAATTTATTTTTATCATTTCAAACTATTCTATAGTATTCATTTTTCAAGATTTAATCCTTTTAATAAATTTACTATGACAACAGCGATTTTATTTAAAAAAAGAGTTATTAAAATATCTCAATATATTTTTTTAAAATTAGTTTTAAATCTTTAACTAAAGAACATAAATAAGTTCGAGTGAAATTGTA